ATTTATCTATGTAGTATATTATTTGCAACACAGGTGAACTTCAAGTGGTTCTTGATCGCCGTTTGTACCAGGATGATAACAGAGGCTTGGGTCAGGGCGTGACTGACAACAAAGTTACCCCCGCTAACTTCAGGCTGGTTCTACAGCGATTCAAAAGTCCACATGAACCTGTAAGTAAAACAGCATAAGGAAGCTTATTAAGATAGGCATGGTGGTTCACTGAAGCGTCCTTATCAAGCTTAGCAGTAACATCTTGTGTTTTGCAGGACGGTATTCCACTTGCCTACCCCTCCCTCCTTAGTCACAGATTGCTGCACCATCTTAATCACCCGCTGTTCACGTTAATAACTCCAGCTCAGTCCGCTGACTCCGAGAACCTGCTGTCGGTTTTCGAAAGTTTACAGTCCAGTCTACCCAGTGATGTCTTCATGGTCACCTTGCGCTCAATTGGAGATAAACAGCGGCCTCGACCCAGTGGCGAGGCTTTGTTGGTACTTCACCGTCTAGGATATGATTGTAATTTTGAATGCAAGTGCCTCACAACGACAAGTAAAGGACAGGTGAAAAAAGTCGAGCATTAAAAAAATGATCTAAATTAAGGGAAACTTAGATGGAGAGAGAGACAAGGTCCTTCGAGGGCTCTGCGGTTTCATTTTAAGCTGGGCAGTGGTAATCTGCAATAGAACCTGAATTCATGTTAGGGAAACGAGGAAAAACTCGAGTTTAGGACTGTATCGACGGAGCCAACTTCTGTTCCCTCCCTTAGATATCGAATTGGAAACGCTTTTTTCCACAACTGGTTGTAGGCAGACTCAACGAAATTTCGCGAAAGTTATCACCAATGATTGGAAGTGTGGCTGACATTCCCTTTTTTTGGTTAATTTCACAGGTGAAGTTAAACCATTTGTTCCAGGATCTGTCGATCGACAAACTCCAGTCGACTTCTCTGACGATGTTACATGACTACCAAGAATTAGATCCCAGCTCCCCTCTGAACGTAGAACCAATGGAACTTTATTCTTACAAGATGAGACTCAAATGATGACAGTTTATATATTAGTGGTCACCCTAAAATTTGAGATCTACCATAAATACTCAGGGCTGCTTGGTTCGAAAGCCGGCTAATCCAGGGAGAAAAGGTATACTTAGTTTAATTTCTCTTGTACAAAAGCGACTAGTATACCAAAATTTTAGGGATTTTAACCTTGTGGCAAAACTTATCTCAACAAAATATAAACAGTGAAACTCTGCGAACTGAAGAAAAACTCAGTTACTCCTAACTAAGTCTTACCTAATCGTGTTCTGAACAGCTCGACTCAGAGTTGTAACCGTCAAAGCTATTTATACAAGGACCTTCACTGACTACAGTTTATGGATAATAACGTTTAGGGCTCTATTCTTGTTTTGATTGGTTTAAAACACATGGAATGCCGCTAAGCAAAACGTGCAAAGTAATAAAATAAACGAATAACAGATAATTGTCCTGATGAGGAACTGCTAGCTTTGTAACAAACTTAATCGACCATTTTCATATTAGACCAAACACACTAACAACAAGAAACAGTTTTGAATTAAGTAATGGTGTTCAACTCTAGCACCGTGAGGACAGCGAATGCATTCATAGAACAAGCGTATTAAGAGGAACGATACTGTCTTTTCCATTCTAGCTGCTGTGGTCTCTGTCTATTTCACACCTCTCGACATAATACGAGAGAAGATAGACAGTTTACAATCTCTAGCACAAAAGTAATCTGCATTTAACAAAGGTAGCAAAACATTGAACAAGTAGACAAATGTATATGAAGCTATATTGTGAAAAGGATAGAATCTTTAACTCTCAATGAATTTTAATCAATTGAATTAAAAAAAAAATCGACGTATTTTCCTGGTGTTGGTTGATGAGATTTGATGAACAAAATTAAAACATGATGTCTCTGAGATTATTTAATGCAGGAACAACCTCCTTCCTTTTTCTTGTGTGAAAACGAATGTCAACTCGATGCAGAATTCTTCGTGAAGTGTCTTTGGTGAGCAAGGCTCTTGTTAACGGCGCTATGCTTGTGTTTCATCTCCTAGTTTTCCACATCTCTTTATTTTTTTATACTTTAAAATTCAATGAGCTTTGAGCTTTTTTTTTTTAATTTATTTATTTCTGTTTATTATTATTATTTTTTTCATTATTATTATTTTTTTACAACATGATACTTACATTAAATACATTAAGGTTCCTTTCACGAGACTCTCTACGTACATTGCGTTACACTACTTACAGTATTCTTAAGATACAATTGACATTTATGCTACTTACATTGTTCTACTTACACTGCGTACAATGTGATAATGCACACATATTTAGAGGCACATCATTTACACAAACACAAAAAAAGAGAAACTTATTCACAAAAAATTAAAAGTTACAAAAGTCAAAAAGGCTAAATTGTGGGTGGGATTGATAAGAGTAAGAGCTTGGGAAAAAAAACCCAAAAGTACAACGTTTAGCAAAAATTGATTTTCAGATCAGCATAAGGAGAGTAAGATAAAGCCTGCGAGCAGGCTCACATTTGGAGCCCGCCCGCAAACTATATAGCAATTATAGTGCATGAAGTATTTTGTCCCACTTCTGTTGAAATTTATTTGGTGAGTCAGTCACGATAGATATTTGTTTTTCAATTTCTAAATTATATTTCAGCTGTTGCGCATATTCTCTGATAGACGGAGATATGTTCTTAAATTTACAGCAATAAATATAATCCCTTGCGAGGAGCAAACAATGGCTTACTAAAATATCTTCTTTCTCTCCGGCTAAAACCTAAACATTCATAGATATCCAAAACGTGTGAGGCTTGTATCAAATGAATTGAAACGAACAAACGATGAACCCTTCCCCAAAAGGTTTTCGTTACCGAGTATTCCCAGAAAAGATGGATTAATGTTTCCTTGCCTGTTTTTCACAAATAACAGAGAGCAGTCTCCAAAATTCCTATTTTAGATAGAAAGGAATTCGTTGCTATACGTCTGTGGAGAAATTTGAACTGGAAGTTCCTTATCTTAGTACTGAGCGTACACAACCTTGGTAGTAAATAAATCGACCTCCAGCTCAAATCCTCCACCACTCAGTTCAAGGTCACAGTCCCTTGCCCATTTTTCTTGACTCTTTTGGGGGCTAGTAGAATTTTTTGTATTTAAATTTTACATGCTAATTTAGTCGGCTTGGTTGTTGCAATCAGTTTTTGCACCGAAAACCCCTGATCCTTTCCATCTTGCGTTTTCAATTTCAAAGACTTCATAGCGCTCCTTATGGCCGAGGTCACTTCATAAAATTCAAGATAAGCAACATTTCTCTCTAAACTCTCCATAAGTTATGACCCTAAAATCATCGTTAACAAGATCTTTGATATTTTGAACACCAGCTTCTGCCCAGTGCTTGTGAAAAAAAAGGCCTATCAGTAATTCTGACTAATGAGTTATTCCATATTATGCCACCACTACAAAAGTCGTGTTTGGAGAGGAAAGAGTCTCCAAAATTAAAGTCCACCCAGATTTCGATAGGTTCTCGGAGAGCTTTGAGCTTTCTGAGTGACCCTGCTCGCGTTATTCTAGTAAAGCAAAGCAGCTGTGGGTTGGCAGACAGTAAGGGGAGTTAATTAAAAATTGATCATACCGCAAGAGTTGTCAGAGCTCTCTGCACTGTGGTCGGGGTTCAAGGAAACGAGATACACTGTTAAGTTGTAATCCACTTACAGGAACACAAAACGTGCTAAGCCCGGCCCACTCGTTTAGGCTTCAACCGCAGGATTTACCAGTCCTAAGTGTCGAAAACGAAACACCGGTTCTTAGAAACTTCGTTTTCGAGTTAGGGTGCTTTGTTTTTGAGTTTAGACAATGTTTTGGTATTCGTTTTCTCTGAGTTTCTTTTTTGTTACTACCGGGATCTACCCCGGATATGAATAGCAGACGAGGGTGAGAAAAGATAGATAAACAAGATTTTTTAATTATCGTCAAGATCAAAACACTCGGCGAGTTATGTGTACTTATGTGTGGTCGATTTCCATCAGAGGGTCTTTGTGTTTTACAGATGAGAGCACATATTTCCGTTGTCTTTAATTAACTGATCCATTTTCAAGGAGAGTCGCCAATTGAGGCTTTTCTGGTTAGCATTTCATCACCAACTGGAAACAAGGAATCTCTTTTAATAATTATTGTTTTAATTGTTCGGTGTTCCGTTTGCAATTTGCTTAACCGACCTTACAACATGAAAATAATAAGTCTTTGAATTGATTCTTCGGATTTTGCCTTTCTCCATTACAGCGTACATCATGTTTTCAGAGATTGCCTAAGCAATGCGCCACCTTTGATTTATGACAAGAGGCCAACATTTTTTTCACCCATCCCCGTGATCTCTGAACGTGTTCCAAACCGCAGTCAGGGATCCATTTGATGAAAACCTAAGAGAAGCCGCATCACTGTTTATGTGTCACGCCCAAAATTAACCTTTTTTACATTGAAAGGCATGTGTGGTATTTTTTTAACCGTCGTACGCACGTATCAATCAGACAATTCTTTTGTTTCATTTCAAACTGGCCATCTTAAAATTAGGAATCTTCTTGAGCACATGTGATTATTCCTACCTGGCAACTTGAAATAATTAATTGTTTGAAAATGCGCCAATCTGATTTGATATTTTGTGGTATGCACTTATCAAGGGGAGGGCAGGGCAAGGCTTTTAAAAACTGGCCGGGTTAAAACTTTTTGATTCACATGCCGGCAAATCAAAATCCAATGATGAGAACAGCATGCTGAGTGAGTAGTGGGGTTTGTGACAATTCCTGAAGGTTTTAGAAAAGCGGCAAATGGCTCTGATCTTTAAATCAGCTTGTTATTGTTGATTTTAGAGAGGTTTTTCTCTGTAATCCCGAGGGACTAAGCCTATAGTGGGCGTTCCTTTGTTGATGGACAAGCGCTAAGACAAGTGTCACGCCTCATTGCGATGCAATATGAGATGAATTTCCTTTTACATCCGCGGGGTTTCCGGATCAGTCTCGTTGCATTCGGACCGTACTTCGGCGGTGTGTTGTTCTGCCCCGGTCACAAACATTTGGGGATTCCTCCACGTACACAAATAACATTATTTTGCTTCAAAAAACCATCCTCGGTCGGATTTATAGCACATTCAACAAGTAAAGACAGCGATTTAAAGTGTAAGCGAGGCACAGACGAAGCATACTACAATACCGCAACTTGAGGTAAACCGGGGAATACAAATATTATGCTCGCTAAGGAAATCTGTTTCGATGAAAAAGTATTTCCTTGGGTTATAAACTCTTCAAAATTTTAGATTTTGACGAGGGACGCCTTAAGTCAATGTGTTTTAATGTGGGTGACTCTTAAGTTTGAATGGAGCATGCTTCTGTTTGATTCTTTGTTGTTGTTGAATGGATCATGTGTGACAACATAAAACGAGATGCAACTACCATTGACCCCAAAGATTTTAGTATATCGGGTTTTTTTCAACGACTTTAAAGGATCTGCCGAGGCTTGTCTGTTTGATTTGATGAGTCGATCTTTACTGTAAAATCAGAAATCTCAGATGGAAACTCACAACTGTCTACAGTAACATGAACACGCGACATTTAGATGAATAATAAATTTCGTATTCCACAGGTGTCTGTTTGTTGAACTGACACGGTGAGAGTGGAAGCATCATGAAAGTCAGGTCGTTGTAATTTTTTTCGGGAAAAGAAACGCTTGAACAGAAGATCGGATCGCAAAAACTTCCATATCATAGAAACGGGCTCCATGGGTCTTGCGGTTGAGAGATGTTGATGGTTCTTTGTATTCACAACAAACACAAAAGCGGTTACAAGATTTCTTTCCCCGTTGCCTCATTTCGTAATATTTTGTTCAAGTTGGGTCAACGATCTGCAAGTGATCCGTGTATTTTCTGCTAGGAAAGCGAATTATCTTCTGTCTCTATTTCATCCAATGTATTGTCATTTAAATCGTGGAAATTGTGATCCACAAGTCGAACAATTTTGTTGATATTTGGTAAACATGAGTCATGTGCCTAGTGTCGGTTTGATCAAAGATCCTTGAATAATGTTTACAAAACGTCCTGTAGATTTTCGGTGGGTTTCTTCTGTAGTTTTTTTCGGATCAAAGTGCACTAAAAGGCTTTTGTAGTCTCGTTGTCAATATTACACCTTGAAGCTAAAAACATCATCGCAAGACTTTTCCTCTTTGTTAAACGCGCGAATTGTTTTCTCTTTGAGACGCACAAGATCCAAGACTTCTTGATTAATTTTTGTTACCTATCAATGAGTTGAAAATGTAAAATTTTTCCTCTTTCTTCGGGATTCTTGATGTCGTGACTTTCATGTAGACACATTTTATTGCTGAGTAATTTTCCCGTCTGGTGTATGTTATTGCTCGTTCCTGTTTGTTTTTCCAACATCCCTTGTTCTAGTGTATTTTTAATCCTTGTTGTTTAGGCTACAGCGATAACATGTATGCAGAACATTCACAGAACAATTATAGAACGAAACTTTTTTGTATTTTTTCCATGTACGCCTGAGGGTTGTCACGTCCAGTCTCTCGGCTTTGTAAACACGCCACAGCGGGATACAGGGCATGATGATTTCCAATACACAAAACACAACAGCCCAACAAATGTCTTTTGGCCTGCCACTACCGCACTTATCCTAAGCTGGTCTTTCCATTTGAAATTGCTAAGAACCAATTGTGATTTTAAAAGAATTATCTTTTGCGAGATTGCTATCGCGTTAATTTGTCGCTTTGATGCACGTATATCGTCAGAGGAAGAATTTTGTGACCTTTCGCAATGAGAGGTGAGCAAGCCCCCTGGCTCAAATTTAATCGCTGTGGTATTTTGATGAAAAACACAAATATACCAATAAGAAATGTTTACAATTTAAAAGTCAGCTCTGTCCTGGTGTAATGCCCTTTTCGATCGTCAACCGAGCGTGGTGAGTTTTCAATACATTTTTCCAGTTTCAGGAACGTGTGATGACAGTAAGTTTTCCTCACGTCGTCAAGCCATTTTGTTTCCAATTTGCGTCGCATGCGAGTTTATGTTACAATTTTGTTGCGTTCGATGTAACGGGTGGTTTAAAAGAATCTCTCAAACATTCTTTCCCCGTTCAAACGCATCAGAATTACAATATGGTTGATTTGCATCTCTCCAGCTGACAGTAATTGAGCTGCGTATAAACACAACGGAAATTGCCTTCGGTTTTTATCTGTCAAATATATTTCGTTGCCTTTCTATCTTATCTCTGTCATCACACTATCTTTGTGTCAATACAGCGGTGGTCGGATGGTTGTGATTTTTCATCTATTCCAACCGTGTTTAAATTGAGCTATTATTATGGTAAGCTGAGTTTTAAGATTTAGGTCAACCTGTTTGTGTAAACTCTAGCTGGCTTCGCTGTAAAGGTATCCTGGTTTCCATCGTTTGTTTTAACTCTTTGTCCTGTCAAAGTGCTTTCTAACAAACCACTTGAAGATAACGAATTAACCAGTCCCTATCTGATGAGCTTACCAAGTAAGAACATGCTCTCCATACTTTCTAATGGAAATATCGCATAGACACAAACTTGCCTTTCAAGATTGTACGTTAGATGTCGCAAATTGATAATTTTTACCATCTGTGAAGGAAAAAAAAAGGCTATCAGATTTCATCTGACAGGCAACAATTATATTGAAATCCAATGAATGTGACTAAATACAGTTTGGCTTAAAGTAATTAAATGTCTGCAGCATTTTGGCAGTTGTATAGGAAATTAAGTTAGATTTACCTGGCAAGTGGGCATTTTGAATTACTAAAAGTTAACCACTTTTTATGAATTTGCACTTTCACAGACTGAAACATTTTACTCTTATCTCTGGGCTCCACAACCACCATCTGTTCAGGCTAGGAGACCTTGGTCTTTCCCCATGGATACTGAACTGTATCTTCAAGGGTAGAAGATATGAAGTCCACATTTCTGACACATGTACAAGTCTAGCTCACTTCTCCTCAACTAAGCTTTGCTGTTGTATAACTATCTCCTGTTCCTATGTGTGTGAAAAGAAAAGTATTTTCCAAAAAACAATCTTGTAGAAGTGGCAATTACATGTATGAGAAATTCTTCAGATGTGTAGCATTAATTATTTACCAAAATTTTCACACTAAGACTATTTTGACAAGTGCTCTATCAAATAATGTTAAGGGTAAATTTTGAGGTGATTGAATTAGTTCTAAATTGCACTCAGCTTAGGGAAATTTAGAGTTAAAAGGAAATTTTTTCAGAGGTCAAGGTGCACCTTGCAGGGGTATGATTCCCTTGATCTCTTATAATGTTGTTTGTTTTTGCATTAAGATGATCAGCTTAAGAAAGTCAGACATGGCTTATCGTCATGTTATTTCAGGAGCTAACTTCATGTTCATGTGTTGTTTTAAGATTAAGATTACACTCCGCAATAGAGATTGAACAATTTTCACATCTTTCTCACTAAACCAGACTGACAGCTTTAAGTTGTTTACTGTCACAGGCCAACTAGAAGTGTGAACACAATCTCTTGACTCTTAGATCTGTTACAGGGGAGTGTCAAGTCTGAGTATTTTTTTTGAGTGAGACTTTCTCAGGTCATGATAAAATGGTCCAGACTTGCCTCATTGACAAGTCTGCAGGTTGCATACCTCCTTAACTTGATCATAAGGAGTTGAAAACCACAGATCACAGAGAGAGTAGGGCTATATCCCAGCAAACTCACCAGCTTTTTGTACTACATATACTTTATTTTCCATTGATTTGGGAAGAGCTAAACAAGAGAGGTCAACCAAAAGTTGTATGAAGAGTACAATTTATTCAGTTTATGATCACTGTTATACACTTGTATTACAACAATGTACTTTCATTTTAAAAACTTGGGGCCTTTTTCAGAGGAGGAATCAGGCTCCATGATTCAGTGTTTGATAACAATCTTCTTAATGGCATCATGACAAAATATTTTATACCTCTTACTAACTAAACAAACCAAGTGGTAGAAAGGGGGTAGGTTTCTAAAGAAACTGTGGTACTACGTCGCTGGGAGAGTATAGCTGGTAATTTAGTGTTAACAACTGAGTTGAAGACATAAATTGGCCACCCTTAAGAGTAAAAAAGCTGACATTTTGAGCATTAGCCCTTCGTCAGAGCTAACACTCGAAACATCAGCTTTTTTACTCTTTAGGGTGGCCAATTTACGTTTTCAACTCAGTTGTTAACACTAAATTACCTAACCAAGTTGAAGGTCTGTATTGTCAGTTATGGACTGAGTTTTTTCTTCTCTGCTTTATGACCCAGGTGCCGGCTAAATTGACCAATCACAGTGCACATACTGAGAGACATGAAAATTTCATTTATTGCGGAATAATGGATGTGTTTACATGATTAAGAAATATTTGAAATTTGGGTATTTTTTGGTCGGCTCAATTTCACGTGTGCATATACTTGAATTACCATGATTCCTGTCAATCATAGGTTAACATCACATTATTAATTTGCTTTTTTTAATTTGTGATTTCAGATTTTGTCAATCATTACAATCCTTGCCAAGGCTCTAAACATTAAATTGTATGATCCCACACATTTCTTATTGACAAGATGGCAGATTGCTATGTAATAGTTACAACAAGGAACATTTTATGGATGGTGTTGTCAGTTGTCGCAACGCTGGCTGTGATAGCTGGAATTATGACACCCAAGTGGTTGTATGGAAGATCAGTGCTTTTCGATGACAAGAACTATAATTTTACATCTCAGTACATCCCGTCGGAGGCGATGTACAGGCCATCAATTGGCATCTACAACCGCTGTAAAAAAATTCATAAGAGTGTTGGAGGGGATCCAGAACTAAATTGTTACACTTACATCAAAAACTTTATGGATATTCCTTCAGCTGCTTGGCAAGCTTGTCTGTTTTTTCTATGGTTTGGTACAGCGCTTCTAGCTATTGTTGTACTCATGTCCATCGTGGGATTTTGTGCACAAAGTATAGGAAAGAAAAGTATTTTCTCACTTGGTGGAGTGATCCAGGCTATAGCAGGTAATTACTGGGAAACATAACTTTTGTTGATAGTTGTTTGTATTCTTTCAAGTGATTAGTTTTTTTCCATACCTTGGAGCATTTGGTCCTTTTTCAGTTAAGCCTCTTCTTGTTTGACACGCATTTTCAGTTAACCCTGTTCTTGTTTGACACCCATTTTCGTGAAAAATACTAAGGCACAGCCTGGAATACTGCTATAGGAAACCAACTTTCTTCTGTTAAACAATTACAAAAAAAAATAGTTTATAGCATGATACTTTATGAAAGCATCACTCTGTACGAAAGATCATTAGTCAGCCTTGTAGTGAATGAATCATAGCTTTTCTTGCCTTGTAATAACTGTTATGCATTCTCAGTTCCAACAAACTGAAATTAAACGTTGAAAAACTGCAACAAGCTATTGGTCCAAGCGCATGCATATGCATAAGTGAATTGTTGTAGCAGTGATCTTGTAAACCAAATTCAAAGGTTTCTTTTCCTGGGAGCTAACATTTGTTATGTGGGGTTCTTTATAGCACTCTTTCTTGTGATTGGCCTTGTTCTCTACCCTGCTGGCTGGGGCAGTGAAACAGTTGGTGATCTTTGCACAAAGCCATCACAGAAACCTGGAGCTTTTGTACTTAATGAATGCTCGATGGGATGGGCATTTTATGCCGTGCTTGGAGGCACATTGTCATCATTTCTATGTTCCTTGTTATCTGGTCAAGCAGAGAAGTCTACATCAAGTGATGACGTGCAAGATGAAATTTCAGACGGAAAGACTTTGATTTGTCTTATTTAATTGGATTGCTGGAAGTTGGCAAGGGTATGTCGCAGTTTCCTATGTTGTGAGGACTGTTGTCATTATCAACATGGCAACTTTTCTTGTGGACTTGTACGTGGCTGTAATGTGCTGTAGCTGTTAAGGTTCACTGGCAAATTCTGCTATTAAGAGAACATTCAATCAAAGAACAGAAATCAAGGTGTTTGTTTATAGATATAGATTAACTTGTGGTTACAAATAACTTTAAAATAGTAATTGCATGATTTTAATCAAGAATGTAAAGTTAGTGGTAAACTGGCATAAATTGGAGTTTTGACAGTGATGGAATCAGGATCTTTTCCAGACCATTTATAGAAGGTGGTACAAATTTCAATTGATTTGAAAGATTTAATCTGTTAAAAGGGATGAATCACTGATGAGCATGTTATCAAATTGTTTGTTTTGAGAACGGAAATGTTAACTGAAAAGTTTCCAAGTATCAACCATTTCTCTTGAGCAGTTAGAGGGCTGCTCTCTGTCACACATTTCAGAGTCACCTTGTGAGCTGTTGTATTTGAAAAAGAGTCTCAGTGTATGTTACATGATTAAAACTTGCTTTTGAGAAGACTGTCAGCATAAGTTAGTAGTTGTATATAATATTAAAATTAGAAGAAAGAGTTCTGTTCACAATTTAAAATAAACAGTACAATAAACAGTATATTTGGTCAGGAATGTCAGCACTTGCATTTCTGAATTTGATTTTAAGTGTGTTTTTTTTAAATAATATTGATTGACAGGACTTCTGACCTTAAAAGGCTTAAGAAAAAAATGTTGTAAGCTCACAATTTTCATGTAATAGTTATCGGTTACTATTTAACATGATAATTATGTCAAATTAATGGAAAGGATGTTTTGAACAAGTATTTTTTTTACTCTTTATTGTTTTAACTAAAGAGATTTGCTGGTTTCAAAACTGTCTATTACAGTTTTTAATGAAATAAATTCTTATTTATATTTACAAGGTCACCCTCAGCCTTATTCCTACCAAAGGACTACATGACATTTCTAAGCACCAAAAAATCAACCATTTTCAATCAACCTTTTTTGGAAGTTTTAATCAACTGAGTTAATTTCTTCATCAGGTTTTGCAATCCAACACTATGTTTTGTCCTTTCCACTAATAGTTTGTTCATCCATGTTCCCTGTTTCTATCAACATGATGTTTCTATGAATCCTCAATTCCTGCCAAAGTTATTGATCTGTGGAGTGTCAGTATGAGAATTTCAAGATAGTAATGATTGACCCTGTATTATATCAACAGACAATTGATTGACACTCTTATCATAGTCAATTACTTGCTGATAGTTGGTCAACAGTTGAACACCAGTTAAACCATTGACATCCTGGTTAACATCCTGTGAATAAGGGATGAGTTTCTAAAGAAACTATCGTGCTGCGTCGGTGGGGGAGTATAACAAGATAATTTGGTTTAACAACTGAGTTTGAGTTGATAATGTAAATCGGTCACCATAGTGGGTTTCAAAACTGATGTTTTTGAGTGTCAACTCTTCATCAGAGTGAATGGAGTTGAGAGAGTTGAACGACCATAATCTACTGCCAACCAACATACTGATGTGGCTGTTAATCAAGAGTGCTCCGAATTAACTTATTTTAATCTTGTATGATCAAGCCACCTTTGAGGTCCACTAGGTAAAGTCTGGCCAGAACTAACCAATTATCCTTTCTCTGTGTGGAGATTACTGCTTTACAAAATAGAAAAATTTCAGCATAATATGAAATCACAAAATCGTATCAAACAGTAATGATGATCAAGCCACCTGTCCACCAGGTAAAGTCTGGCCAGAATTAACCAATTATCCTTTCTCTGTGTGGAGATTACTGCTTTACAAAACTGAAAAATTTCAGCATAATATGAAATCATAAAATCGTATCAAACAGAAAAGATTCTCCCATCGTTCTATGAGGCTTCATATTTGGAATGAGCAGATGCAGATTTGAACCCTTCAGGTAGACTGATCTGGGACAATAACTAACCTTTAGAGGTCATCTCGGGTTTTCTTTTTCAAATATCTTTCCATGAAAAATCAAAGCCTTCTGATCTTTCTGGGGGTAATTAGAAACCCAGAAAATGTGACATTAAAGCCGTCGTGAGGTCTTTTTATTTACTTTTAACAACGACACGAAAAGAAAAAGGGCAGGCAATTTTCCAGGACTAAGGAGGATAGCTTAATTCTAACCCACCTTCACACACATCAAAAATAGTTGTACCTTAGGTAAATTTATTATCTGGAAAGAAAAAAGTGGCAAATTAAACCTCTTGCAATGGAAAGCCCAACAAGTTGCACTCTTCCCAGGTCTTCCCAAGTTTTCTCAGCTGCTCACACAGGGGTCTGAATCCAAGTTTACTTCTCGTGAAGCGCGAAGAGAGTTAACATGGAGGCATTTCTGAAGTTTACGAAGGTGGGATTTTATCTGTATTGTTATTTTAGGACGACTTTAACCGATGCGGTGCTCTTTGTATGGTGTGATAAGTTGAAAACAGCCATATGTACGATTCGGTTACCTCCAAATCGATACAAATCGGAAAACTATGGAGATGCAGAGGTGAAGATATTGTCACCTGGAACATCATGCATGTATATCTTTACATGTAGAAAAAAAACCTTTAAGTTGCAAAGTAAAATGCGCTGTACCGACTGATTTCTTATTCCTAACTCCTTGACTGATGGTTTTGCCTTTTCATGTTCACAATAATTATCCAATGTAACCTTTATTAATTTATTTTGTGATTATATTTTGTTGTTTACACAGGTAATGTAAAACCTTATTTTTATTGAATATAGTGTTGGTATAACCGTTGTAAATGTATTTATTTGTCATCAGAGTAAACCTGATACACTTTAGTTTATAGCAACTTGATAGCTGACTATATTTTTTTAATAGGTTACCAATTATAAATAAAGATAACTACAAATTTTGAGAATTTAAACCTTATGAAAGTCTGTACTTGCATTTAGGATTGTTTGGCAAATATTTCTCAGTTTTCTGAGGTGCATGTTGTGCTGGGCAATGAAGCATGTGATCTTGACTCTATGGTGTCATCTTTACTTTACGCTTTCTCGATTTACAAGGTGAGATTTACAGTAACTACAACCGTGTTTTGAACTTATTCATGAAGTTCCTCACTTTCCTCATATATGCAGCATGAAATTGTAAATCCACTTAGGAATTTTCCCTGCATTTCTGGAGTTCCATTCTATCAACCCTGTACTTGATCAATTAACTCCCACAAGTTAGTAAAATTTACTTCTCAATTCAATATCAGCTGTCATCAGGTAATGATAATACACATATAGTATTGTTTAGAGGTTGTTAACTTGATATAAAACTTTTAACCCTCTTCACCTTAACATTAGCATGTCTTCTCCATGCTGTTCTTTATACATTTCCTATGGCACTGACAAGGAGAATTTAGCTAAAAATCAAGAACTTTTCAAGCTTTAATTCTTATGAGGCTAATGTTTGATTTGGCAGCAATACCTCAGTGAGAAATTAAATAATAGTTACCCTTAACTAATTCACAATGAAATGTATAGCTCCTGGAAAGGAGATTCGAAAAGTTTAAAAATCTTCATTTAATATGAAGATTTTACCAGAATAATTATGATTATTGACATGGATTAATTACAATAATAATGTTTAGCCAAGTACAATGTAAAGCTGCAAAATATAACTTGCTTTAAAACTTAACCAAACAGACATTTTTTAAAACTTGACACATGCATTACCTTAAAATTTTTGCCATCCCCATCCATGCTTATTCCCTTTTCATTCATTCCTCTATCTTTTGTATTTTTTTTAATTTAGTAATCATTAAAGACTGTTTTAAGGTTTCACTTTTAATTTTTTTCCTCATTGACAGACACTTACCAATGTTCCAGGGAAGCCAATAGCCGTAATTCCTGTATTCAACATACATAAGGAAGACTTTTGTTTGAGGACAGAGGCGGTTTTTCTATTCCAGAGATATCTACTTGACTCAAGTTCCTTCATATTTATAGAAGATGTTGACTTGGAAAACCTACTGGAAACAGGGAAACTGCAGCTTATTTTAGTGGATCATAACATCTTAGCAAAAAGACAGAAACACTTGGATGTTGCTGTCTTTGAGATCCTTGTTAAGTGTGATTGCTACTGTTTTGCATCAATTTGTGCATAACTTCCTTAACATTTTCTTGCTTCAATTTTTACTTAGTCTGTCACTTCTCAGTAAATGTTCCCAGTCCTCTATTTCCTCAGATGATTGATGTTTGCTTCATATTTTTCTTGCAGACCATCATAAAGATCAATGGCCAGCTAATTTGAAAGTAAGAAAAAACATTGAACCTGTGGGATCATGCTGCACACTTGTGACAGAGAAATTATTGGCTTTAGATTTATTAGATGGGCAGATGGCGAGCCTGCTGTTAGGATCAATACTTCTGGACACTATTAACTTGGATCCCAGAGCTGGAAGAGCCACAGATAAAGACAGAAATATTGTCAAGCAATTGCAGGATAAATTTCCTCTAGCCCTAGATGAACTGTACAGATCTGTCAGTACAGGTTAGTTGAATCAGTGACACCTAGAACATTTAACATTGTTACTCCCAAAGGTACTCTTTTTGAGAAGAAAATGGTTGCCTAGTATTCTCTAAACAAATCCTATACATAGTCCTTTGAGATCTTTGTGATTCAAGATTTCCTCAACAAGATCCAGGAAGATCTCTTCATTTCATGAAACCCCAGAAGAGTCCTCAGTATAGTCATGCCAGGGTCACTACATGTTACTGAAAGTAACCAACAGCTCACTTAAATATGAAAAAAACTTGTGATTGTAATTATAAATCTTGGACCTTTTAAGTAAAAATCAAGAATGGTAAACTTCACCCTAAACAGCCCAGTGTTTAACACTGACATGGGAATTATTTATTACAATGGCCATCAAATATTGTCCCACCAACTGAAATCTTTTGCCAACAAATCAACCTCCAGGAGTGACTAGTATCTGATGTCTGCTTACAGTATCACCCCTGAATAAATCATTTGGTCATTTGAATGAATAAAAATGATCACCAATCAAAGAAGTCTTTCAGTACAATGGGAAGTGTGTGGTGAATATGCATACTCAAGGTCTTTCAAGCCTAGTAGCCCCTTCAGCTCAAGTGTATCTCGTTTTCCATGAATGGGATGCTAAACTATAGCTGGACACCCTTCTCTCTCTCCCCCCCCCGTTCCCCCTTTCCCTCACCCTGTCAGTTATTAGTCAATATTTTTAAACAGTTTTGGTATCCATTTATAAATAAGGAGAAGTAATGTGAGATTAATGCATCTTGCTAACGATAACATATCTGTCAGACCTCAGGCATGCGTAAGGGGATCTGACCAAGCCTGAAAGCATGCCATCGGGTTCTTACAACGTTCGCGAACGTTTGACCGCTCCGTTGCCCATGATGAGGCAGCCAGTTCTCAAACCAGGATCATTTGATCCAGAATCTCGCACACAAATTTCTAGGCTTCCGCTTTTCCTTGGTGTTTGATAAAAGTTCCCGGAATTCATCAACTGCCCAATTGTCCCTCTGAACTGCCTTCTAATGTTTGTTAAGTCATTTTAATTTGCGACTTAGAGTCACATAGGGTTTCTCTCATTTTTCAACTTCTTTTTTTTCACTCTAAAACAAGACTTTTTTTTTTTTTAACAAACAGCCAAATTTGATGTGTCAGCTCTCTGCACATTGGATCTTCTTCGTAAAGACTACAAAGCTTTGCCAACCGTTGAAAACAAAGCTCTGAGTGTTGGCATCAGTTCTGTCAGTGGATTATCACTGAGTGATTTCTTCGCAAGAACTCAAGTCCATCAAAGCATTTCAGAATACTGCCTGGCCTCATCTCTGGATGTGTTAATTATCATGTTTCTCTATTTTGTTGAAAGCCTTGATGATCCTCCCAGTAGGCAGATTGCTGTTTGTGGGCCACACAATGAAGCTAAGAGTAAAATCGCAGAAAATTTGTCCACTTCAGGAGAACTTAATTTGAGGCTGTACAGCGAGCGTTTCCAAAACTGTTTCGTGTATGATCAGGAAAACATAACGGCTTCACGGAAAGTTGTGTTTCCTCTTGTACTGGATATCATCAAAAATAGATTTTGAAGTGCGTTACTTTTTTACTTGAACTGAGATGTTAATAATACCTTAGAGGGTGGCTGACTCCCTTTGTAATGGCCTTTCTTCGGATGTTTCAGGTAAAATGCAAAAAGAAGCAAAAAGGTGTTCATTTCATGTGTTCTTCTATCAAAATTAAAGACATGGTCAAACAAGATTGTGAAGAACTTTTTCTACAAGCGGCTGCCGATGGTGTAATAAACGGCTGTTCGTGAAAAGTGGCTGTAAGGCGAAACCCAATGAAGAGAGCCTGCGCAGGCTAACAGACGGCGGTAACAGGTCTAATGGACAGCGGTCAACCGCTTGGCGCCGGCTTTTGTTGGATTACCTGGTTCAAAGAAATGCATGCAAATACACATCCCTTGCGTTTCACGGAAAAGTTACTTTATTAATGGTGACGTCATCTATGCGTCTGAACCAATCAGAATGCGTGCGAAATTTAGCTCACTACATAAATAACATCCTGGTAAATAGGAATAGTTATGTTGTTAGACACAAAGTGCTCTTATCCAGATAGACAGTTCTCCCAGCCACAATGCTACGGAAACCGGCAGGAGCTTTGTTGATTAAGGATCTCTTTATTCTCGTGCAGACTTTACCTCGGCTTTTATTCCCCATAGCTACAGACAATGAAGTTTCCTGTGGAGAGGATTATCGCCTTTTTGTTTATACTAAGCATGTTAATCTTGAATGTAATAGACATTATTGAGGGTTAACTAAATAATGAGTACTAATGGAAATTACGGCAAGCTTTTCCTTACTATTTCTTTTCGATGCATTTTTGAAGTAGGCTTCTGAGGTTGGCACTCATGGTTCTGCGAAGACGACTGGAAAATATGTTCTTTTTTATTTTTCAGATTAGTGCTCTCTCCATGCATTTGCTAATTGAAATATTCACTTTATAGAACTACAGATTCTTGCATAAAGCATTTTAAAAAAAAATTTAAAAATTTATCTTACTACACATTGTCGTTTATGTAAAAATCTATGGAATTCCAAAAATTGTGTCTTTGTCTTACTATTGTCCAGCTAAGAGAAATACAATTTCACCGCGCCTGTCTTAAAAAAAGTTATCTTTCCTTTACTGTATAAATAGTTGATAATGTTTCCTAAGAAAGCTAACGCCAGCCTAATCTTTATACCTTACTTTTAAGAACTGTTGCCATTTCCGTGCTCCCAACCCTTTCCTAAGAGCATTCCTAAGGTCTCTATAACTTCCTCTTCGATTTTCGGTTACTCCAAACAATCAGAAGAATTATGAAGTGTCAATTCACTTTATGCAAATTGTGATCTTTATTGTTAGACCAAAGGACACTCCGCACCTCGTCAAATACAGAAGTCTATTGTTATCAGTGTAATGAAAATGCAAAATAGTCTGCTACGTGCGTTGGAAAAAAGTACTAAGGCATATTTGCCGCTTATGCCGTAGCCGTAGCGACTAAATTCCTTTGTGCCTCTTCGAGAAGCGAAGAAATGTGTTCTACGTTCATAATAGTTGTCGGGATTTTGACAGCTGCGATCAATTTCTGTGAAGTGTGTAGTATCTCTATCAAATGCCAGGTAAGTAAGCCCGGATACTTCGACCAGGTAAAACTCTGTCACGTTCCTCTCGCATAGAGTCCATTGTCCATCGTTGTTTTCGACGTGTTGATGTATCTCGTAGTTGTAGTTATCGATACTAGGTTTGTCGATTTTGGTGTACCAGCAGCTTTCACTGTTTTATTTGATGTTGAGATTACTTCTGTTTACATTCAGACGACACCGAACGCGTGGAAAATAATGGTCTGTGTTTAATCGGATAATTTGACTGGACACTCGAAAGGAAACATCGTAACAAATCTGAGGGAAGGCGAATAGTAAAATTCGTGACTTTCGAAATGCCGAGACCACTGTTTGAAATTGCGGCACCAAGGCTAAGTCATTTTATCGGTACAACTCTTAACTATCATCTTCGCTTTACTCAGATTGTTTCAAGACACTGCTAATGACAGGAAGATGTTGCGCAAGAATTTAGATACTCTCCTTAACGTTCTTTTTGGCTATCACAAAATAATTATGATCTTAATGACAGCGATCATACACAGGCTTTTGTCGCTCAGGAATGTCACCCTAAGCCACAGTAACTACCTTTGAACCTTGGATCTCGATCTGCTTTGTCATTTATTGGGGACCTTGGGACCGAACATGAAATTCATTGTGAGTGAAACTGTGAGACTCGTCGCTAAAAGCCTGACGAGATAAAAAGTTTGCGGTACCCACGAATACGCCACCGCTGAATCTACAATTTCCCTTTTCATTCCGCGCTTTCTCCTGCGGTCTTAACAGCGCCGTTAAAACTTCCATATCTTTTACACATGCAGTTAGGATCATCTTTCTTCTATGACATCTTGCTTGTACAAAGATTTCGTGTCGAACTGTGTAAAAGTAGGCTTTAATTTCGATAATTTTTCAGAGTGGAAGTCGAAAAACTAGAATTCCCAGACGAGAAAACAACTCTATCAGGCAAGGCACTCTGTGCGCTGAGTTTTCTTGATCTTTCGAGCGCATTATGAGAGCCAAAACACAAGTATGAATATTATTTACTAAGAATCTTGGTGATCACAAAATTAACAAGTTGAAAAAAATATTTGTTAAGGGTTGGTCTGTGTATTTTATATAGATATTTTGCTATATTAAGATTGTTTCCATTGGCCCCAGTTAAAAACGGCAGCTTTAAATTGAAGTGGGCCAGCCTGTTTGAATACTACCAATGACTAAACAAATAAACTAAGAAGTTTACAGCGAAAACGGAAGAGTCCAAAAGTTATTTAACATTTAAAGTAGTCATTGGCAGATAACTCCGGTTTCAATGTACATTAGTTGTTTAAAACATTCGTAAACAATTTCTTGCTTGGCATATACAAATTAAATTTCCTTCGATAGTAAACACTACATTTATTACTCGAAAACGGTGCAGTAGCATAAAACAAAGCCATCTTTCACAATTCTTTAGTCTTCGCATTTTCTTCTGTATCCTCTCATTTCCCATCCTTTCGTACCCTTTTCCATTAAACCAATCCTACCCATTTCCTCCTATTCTTTTCTTAGCTGCCTATATTAAATGTGTCATCCAATCAACAGGTCAAAGATGCAACTCGTGGCGTGGAGTGGGCTGCAGTACCCGGCGCAGAGTGCATGTTATTATCTAATGCTGGGATCTTTCTTAGAACAGCAAAAAGTCTCACTAACTCTTATGGTGTGGCTATAATTGAAGATGTTCAGCCAGGATACTATCAAGTATGTACAGAATATATATCCTACACGGGGACGTTGCCTGAGTAACTGCTTCCAGTCCTTCTTTTGTGAATTTCTCCGAAGGTAGTCCCCATAATGATTCTCATAAAGAATCTCGAAGAGAATACTCCATTTTAAATTCAGATATGGAACTGACTTAAAATAAACCGGCAAACGAGAAAAGGGGCAAGTTTCTAAAGAAATTGTGGTGCTGAGTCGGTAGGGGAGTATAACAAAATAATTTGATTTTATATTTATCAGATGAGCTGATCAGTGTAACTTAGCCTCCGTAAAGAGTTGCTAGTTTTTAGAAACTTTTTACAATGGCCAACTTACATTATCGTCTCACTTTATGAAACCAAATTATGTATGAATGTAAGAGGGTTTTAACGGGTGATATGCGTGGGCGGGTTATTCGAGAGAAATGTGAGTGAACGCAGCTCAGTGTTTTACCAGATCGCTTGTCTTATGTCTCATGTTTTATAGAAGAATTATGAGGATCCTCAAGAATACGAATGAGGCTTATTCTTCTCTTTTTTTATCAAAAAGGGTCCGTGGTAAGGGTTTAGATCACGGATCATATCATAGTCATACAATCATATCTTGAGAGTTGCAAAATCATAAATTAAGAGTTATTTCTGGTATCGCAAGACGATTTTGTAGTTTCAATGAACTTAAATATCTTCACAGCGCAAAGGCGACAATCAAATGTTAAAATGGCAAGTTACCAAACTCTCTCCAGTTGAGCGGCGACGTTACCCAAATCCCGAATTTATACGGAAGATAGTCTTCTTGGTTTGGGTAAATTCAGTCTTGTGTCCACTAAAGATGGTCTTCACCTCAATAGATAGGCAAAAACACCTCATCTTCCGCTTATAGAGGTGTTGTATCGTGAGGAGTTTGTTATGATCAAGGTTATTATCAGACGCGAACCATTTTGGAAAACAGACTGTTCGTGATTTAAGTGTCTGCTCTAAAGCGTTTTTATACTGTGCTAAAATGTGATAACTTGTCTTCCAGATTCGAACGTCTCGAATTGGTTACTATACGTTAAACGAAGACCTTACGATCGCATCCCACATTGAAAAACACGCCATGATTAACCAAGATATGGTGATATCTCCGCGTCTCTCCCTCCGGGGAAGCGATGACATGTACCGTATTGTCCTCACTTGGGGGCGTGTCCCCAAGGATTTAGATTCTTACGTCATTACCCCATGGCCTCGAGAATCGGAATGCAAATCTGGAATGGTGAGTAAAGGAAGAATATACTGTAGCAACTGAGGTACAGAGATCTCGTTAAGAGCACGGCCATGTATTAATTGCTTATGTGACCAGCACTCTCCCTCTTTTTAAGTGAATAGTGCTTCCTTCTAAGCAGTTTGTAGTGCTGACTGTTGATCAATTTGTTGAACCTAGCTCTGAAACACTACTCCATCAAGGCGAACTTGAACTAACACTCGACTGCTACTCATTCGTGGAAAGTACTACAAACAAACTAATGGCGTAGCCATGGGTACCAAAATGGGACCCAGCTACGCCAATCTTTTCATAGGTTTTATTGAACACCAATTTTTCCGAAAAATCAGAAAGGCAATGTGCCAGTTTTTCGATTACGTTGTCAAACCTATCGTTCTAAAAAACTTTAAATTACTTCAAAACGATTCAGAGTCTAATACTATCTTTTCGCAACCTCCACTAATTTCATTCAAACACGACAAAAAAATAGGCAGCTTTTTGGTCAGAAGTTCATTTCAAACCAATGACCAATTGGAACTTTCAAATGTGCTCGCTCAAGATGCGAAACTTGTCCTTTCATTCAAAACGTAGAGAAAATGTCGGGACCCAAGAAATCCATTAAGATCACTGACCACTTCACGTGCACTTCCGCCAACGTGCAGTTATTGCAAAAAGTTATATATTGGTGAAACAGGGTGACAACTAGGTGACCGATTCCAAGAACTCCTTCGCGACGTAGAAAGAAATGACAATCTCCCTAATCATTCTTAGCTGAATATGGCCATTTGTGGCCTTTCCTTACTTCTAAGCGGTTCAGAAAGCCTTAAAACTCTAGAAAAAAATTTATCTTTGAAATCGGCACTCTTAATCCCCACGGGATCAACAAACGCATTTCATTTAACTAATGAAATTCTTGTTTTCTCGTCACTATATTCCCACCAGTAGCGTAGCTCCATTTTCTGCATATAAACACACACAAAACCCACAATTCTTCCAATCGCTTTGACAAAGGGCTAACGCTCGAAACGTCAGCTTTGAAACTCTCTACGGCGGCCAGTTTACGTTATCAACTCAGTTGATAATACTAAATTACCATGTTTAAATCAGCTCGTCACATAATTCTTGATAGATCGTAATCAAGAGTTAAGCTTATTGAGCATTATAATTAGTCCTGTAACTAAACAAACAGCTATAAAGCAATTTTCAATCGAGTAACGATATTAATTCGGAATTACTTTGTTATGATTTACCTCGCTCTTTCACGTGTTCACAAAACTCAAGCCATTCCCTCAACCAATGAGACGTAAAACGAATACCAATGGTGGCCTAGTTACCTGCGTTTCCGGTGTTTTACTATGAGTTCTCATCGGTTAGTGTTGTTTTCCTTTGTTATGATTGGCTAGCTGTTGTGATAACTTTGGTCTCAACTTTGGTGGACAAGTGTCTTTTGACAGTCCATTAAAAAATTGCTTAAAATGAGGGCTATATCGCCATCCTTTGTGAAAAAAGTACCTCTACTGAAATCCTTTTTTGTATGTAGGTTTTCTTTGATGGCCAAAGATGTCAACAAGGCTCCCAGACAATCGATCTTGACGTGGATGCTACAGACATGTATGGACCGGAGACCATAACAATGAGAGGGTTACAGTCTGAGACATTTGCTTACTATGTACATATTTATTCTGTGGGTGTCTGCTGGGATAAGATATCAGCCAATGTCAAGATATACCAGGCTTCCACAGGTGGTCTGTTGTACAATATTCAACAACCGGAATGCAGTGAAGGTATTAAAGCTGGGCAGGTGTAGCTTTAGTTTGTGCTGAAGGTTGAGTCATTGTGGGTCATTTGTTTGCCCTTTGCCAAAAGTCTTGTTCGGTTATCGTCGAGTGGCAGTTCCACGGTGCCACATCGCGGGAAAAGGATGTATGATAATCATCTCTTGAACAAAGATCTCCCACAAACACTTAACTGACCTAATGGAGTAACGTAATATTTTGTGGATATCTAACTTAACTGTTTTGAAACATTGCAGATAGATTTGGATACGACAGCACCAACTGTTCCCGTTACTGGCATGTGTTTGATTTTGATGCCTCCACGGCTAAATTCAAAATTTACCAGAACAAGCTCATGACCAAAGCACCTGTGCTCTCCGGGAAGAATAATGCCGATCCCAACTGCACTTGCTTAGTGAAGAACGACATCTCAAGCGTAGACGTCATCAGTTCTGCGGAAAAGATTTCTGTTACAGCGGAGAATCTCATGGTTGATATGTTGTGTGTCAACGAGATGAAGAACATTTACGATAACTCAAGTGAGTGACCTTGTTTAGTATGACAAGGGAGGAAATTTTATAATGATGCCAAACCCATGACAAACCTCTCCCCGACTCGTCTCAAATCTCCCCGCTAGCGGAGAAACGTTTGTCCTGCAGCGCTTGAGAGCCTGCTCGCAGGCTACAGTACAGTTTACACTAACGTTTCGGTAATATTTTTCGAGAAAAATCGAATGTAACAAATAAAGGGCAAAAAGCTCACAATAAATCGCTTATACCAGAAAAGATTTTCCCTTGAAAAGTTGTCTCAACAATTTTGTTTTTAAATCGATTACTCGTGTTTCTGATTTTCATATCTTTTCATTGATCCCTGGAGAGGAAGCAATCTCCTCGTTTGGTCAGGAAATTCCCCAATATGGTTCAAAGAAAGCAAAGAATTCTAGTTCATTTGCATTTCAAAGAGTTGAACTAAAGAATTTGGTTGATTAGCAAATGCCCTACGGGACGTGCCGGTATTAACCCACTACCCCCGTTTTTTTTTCCTTTTTCTAGTGAAGAAGAACATAAGGTTGAATCCTTCTGATTTGGTGGACAAGTTAGCGATGTTTATCAGTGGCCAGATTGAAATGAAGAGGCGTCTCGGAAACAAACTTAAGAATGTGATTGAAAAGGAATATGAAGAATACAAGAGCGCTAAAAGACCAAGGATAACCAATCTCAAAGAAATTGCTCCTAAACAGTGCTGCCGCTACGATGGAAATACGAAATACTCTACCAAGTTTCAGAGATGGGTTGACCATAACTCGGTAAATATTGGTTAATTTTTCAGATTTTAAGCAGTTGTCAATTGAATGTCGACAGTAATCCGAGATTGCATTGGTTTGCTTTACTTCGCTCTGTGATTGGTCCAGTAAAAACTCGCGCCATTCTCTCAACCAATCGGATGCAAAACTAGAACCAATCATTTTCGTTTCTTCTGATTGGCCGTTGTAATTCTTTGGCTTTGGTTTCACGACACTCAATCGAAAAGCACTCTAATGAGAGGACCCGTTTTTAAAGGATCTAGTCATCATATTCTGCCGATGTTGTTTTGGGGATTACGATTGGTACAAAAAGTACCCACATTCGTACATACGAGTTTGTAATAGTTTTCTCAAGATTCATAACTAAACCTAGGTAGAGCTGACAATGTACCATTTGGCTCTTACCGCCCTTCTACTTTACTAGTGAACTTTTTTTTTCGCTATTGCTGTCTCCTTTGTAAGATGTCGCTTATTGCATAAGGCTGTGCGTGAAATGCCGATTTACAGAGGCAGTCTAGTCATAATACTATTACTTTTAGCTAGCTATCAGTCTTGTTCTTCACAGAAAACCGAACCTTCTTCTTTTTGTTGTGATAATTTCTTCTTCCTTTTTCTTGTTTTGCAGAGCTGCTGGTCTTGGCCAAGCGAAATAAAAGAGGTATGGATTTCCTCATCTTTGAAGCCAGCATTTGTAACTATTGCTAACTAGTTTATCCTGTTTCAGATGCCTGATGAACTTGTTTCGGCTTACGACTGGACTATTCCGCTGGAGAAGGAAATGATGGAAAATGTGCATTCCAAGTCGCAGAAGGTACTACAACTCTATTTTGAGCAAATTTACAGTGGAATACGCCGTTCAACCCGTCAAACAGTGATATTTGAAAGCGAGCACATTTAAGTATTGCTTAAGAATGTCACGAGATGATCTCTAAGTAATTGTGATTTAAGGAATTGGAAATTTTGCCTAAATTTTTGACGGGGTTCTGTATCCCAAGAGACTTCCTAACAAATAATCGACGAAGCAAGTTAGAAGCGGGGCAAATTGTGGTAGTTCTTTGTTTTCATGAACTAGTTGCGCACATATAAATGAATTTATTATCAAATCGATTTTATTGCTATGTTCTGAGTAGCGCCCCATTGGTAACTGGGAGAAAGGGAGTTTCCTTGCATGGGTACTCACGTCCCGTTCGTTACTCCCTTTTGGCTGTAACTTCTCGTTTATTACTTTTGTAACTCAGGAGAAAGGGATTTGAACCTGGTCGATGCCTCACTTTTTTGAGTGGATTGAATTCAGTTGCTTCACAAAGGGGTGGATCCGTCTCTTGGCATCTAGAGTCAAATTTGAACTCTCTTTAAGTTATCAGCCTGTTATTGCCTTTCAGAATTTTAATCCTCGCGGTCAACACAAGTGGCAATATTTCGCTGACGATGCAACGGGATTTTTCCGTAAATTTCCCGCTGCGTTAGTCAGCTCGTCCAAGTGTGGTAAGTTTAAATTTGTTATGTTATGTAAAGTAGAGTATTTAAGATGGAAGCATTACTGAAGGCGAAATTCCACTCTGCAAGACGATGTAAATTTAAAATTTCTCTCTGTAATGGTTAGGGACCAGAGACGAGCGGCTTCAACCATGGTACATTGCGGCTATTCTACGACCAAAGAATGTTGTCATACTGTTTGATATCAGCTATTCCATGAAAGAAGAAAACAAAATCATATTCGCCAGGACCGCCATTACGCCGATGCTAAAGGGGTTGCTGCCGACAGATTTTGTAAATGTAAGTTTTCGCACAACTTTTCTGCGCCTGCCTAGTAGAATATAGCGTTCTGAAATAAAACAGACTCTTAAACGAGATTTATGCAGTGGAAGAATACATAGGACCTTTTACGAAACTGAAAGGCAAATTCCAACTTCATCATCAGGTGATCGCCTTTGCGGAGTCAGCGCTTCTCCCGGGTATGACGCACAGCGGAGATTCAGACAATACATACAACAGCTGTTTTAACACTCAGCTCGTGCAAGCCAATGGCCAAAATCTTCTGGACTTGAAAAGGTAGTCATTGTGAACAGTATATTGATGCTAATTGAAAATTGTTCATCACTTCTGTGACCTGAGCACGTTAACCTTTTCATTATTAGCTTTTCTTTTTATTGTCTTCTACACCATTTGTATGATATTATTTTGTAGAATTTGGTATCGGATCACCCCTTAATTCCCTAATTGATATACGCTACAGAACATGTTAAGTCTATAAGTTTTCTTCCCTGAGTTCTCCTTCAGGTTCTCTATTTGTCCACACCTACAAAATCAAAACGTTGAATTAAAATCCTACCTCAAAGGCTGGATGAAGAGCCATCCTTTATCTTTTATTTTTCCACATTTATCTCTTAAACTTTTAAAAACTTCGCGGCCTATGACATTTCAACCCCTATGCTTGCAGTAAATTACTAGGTTCCAAGCTGAAGTCACTCATCTTTTATCTTCATTTATTTTACATCCGTATTCTAGATTTGTTGAGGATGTTCCTCTTGCCTCCACCATGACGTCTAATTATTACAATGCGATTTCAATGGCCTTAAAACTGCTCACGAACATGAAGAACAACCGCAACACTCACGTAAGTTACGCAGAACTGGATCTCATTTCACCAAGCACTTTCGAGCACTTCCCATTCCACAATTAGCTGATTATCGAGTATGTCCATCCGGTGGAAACTTTTACCGCTTGGTCCAATTAGTTAACTTTTGTTCTCCTTTCCTTTGATGCAAAATGAATCCTTACTGAGCCGTGCATTCAATTTAATTCTCAATTTGAATTATTTCAACAGTTGATTTTTCTAGCCGGAAGTACAGACGTTTCTACAGAAGACATCAGTGCCCTTCTTTCGGAGAGTAACACGACAATTAGTGTTTACACTTACAGTTTACTAGGCGGAACATCAAGTAACATCTCGGCGATGGACGAACACTCTGTAAACAGACTTAAGCAAATGGCCCGAACAACTAATGGAAAATATGAAGTAAGTTGTTTTGGGGTAGTTTTTAAAGCTTTAACGTAGGTATAATCAGTTGTACTGCCGTCAGCCAGAAGACGTGATTGTAAAAACCACCAAATATTACCAAAAACTGGAAATTTAAACAGCACCAAGTAGTCACTTAGTGGATCTTACAGAGTTTCATGCAGCTAAAAGTTTAAGTTCCCAGAAAATAAGTACTATGACAAAACAAAAACCAAATTGTCATGTGTATCGTTAATGAATCAAAGCTTTAGCATCAAGTGGATGACTTTTTATTCAGGCCACCATATATTATGCCTCCTTCTAGAGTATCACAGATTATCGAAAGCTGGCCTTCTCTATGGGTCGCTTTTACAGGAATATTCCCAGCAGTAAGAAAAGCGACGAAGGACCGAGAGTAAGTAAAGACAAATCAAAGAGTGTCATTTATTTTTTAGAAAATGCACAGATCTTCTAGCGTCAGAGTGTCAGTTTGCAGGTAGTTGTCTATGGTACAAAACAGCGGACAACATTGGGCATGCGTGAATGGATCAATTTTTGCCAGCCGCGCGCAGATTTCCCGCGCAAAAATGTAAAGGAAAACATGAGAAATAACCGGTGCCACCTAATATTGAACGCATGTATTTCGTTAGATAGTCATTTGCTTCTTAACACTTTCGACGTCTTCATTTCATTGACAAGTAAAATGTTTCACGTTCGTGAACATTGTTCTTCCAGCTGTCGTCTCCTCAGTTTGCTGAGAGATTAGGAATGTACGTGACACTTGGAGTTCCGTGTTACAGCAAGGACGAGGTATGTCTCATCACTGTTTAAATTCGGCAGAAAACCTCTTAGCCAGTGAAGGGTTAAAACACGCCCAAGTCAGAGATATTCAGAAAACTGTGTTACAAAAGCAAGCATCTTGCAGAACAGAATCTTGAATAGGATGTGGGTGTTAAAAACAATGCCAACAGATTAACATGTGAGTTTGAATATTTGGTCTGAGAGAACAATGAATTTGCATTAATTTTCAGCACAAATGCTTAGTCAAAAGAATCATGTCGGCTTAGTAAAACAATATCAGAAGAGCTATAGCTAGTGACATGTTATCTTGTGGAATATACTCTATACTCGTTTCATGTTCGTTTTATTTATCCGTTCTCTTTCCAGTCTTTAATTGGTGTTGTGGGAATCGACATAGCTTTGAGTGAGCTCCTTCAAAACACTGTGGTGAGCAAGCAATATTTTCCTTCAGAATTTTATGCGCTACATTTTAACTATTCTTTCACAAAAGTTTCAGCTTCATTTATCAAACGTTTATTACAGTCGTTTGGTCCCGGTGAATTGTCGTACACCTTCGTTATCGAAACCGAGAATGGCCGAGCTCTGGTTCATCCCCAACTTCCCGAACCTGAGGAAATTCAGGAAGAGCCGGTGGTGATAATTATCAGTGACCTGGAAACTAGTCCTGGTAAGAGATGATTCTTAGCCATGTTTAGTCCTTACGAGTGTTATGAGAACCCTACACAGGGGGGGAGGCGGAAGGAAAGAGAGATTGGAGCGGGCAGAACGCGTGACGATTTCCATAGATTTTGATACCGTCAAATCTGGAGAACCTCGACTGTATTCTTATTTTCCCTATCTGCAACACTAAATTATTCCCATCCTTGAGTAATGTTAGCCATAGATGTGTGAGCTCTATCAATACTTCAAACAGATGTTACTGGGACAGCGCGGGACTGACACTGAAATCTCGCTATGCTGCGACATGTTCTCTCACCTGCATGGTACGTCATCTTACGCCTTTGGCTTTCATATTTATTACTTGTGTTATAGGCTTTTCCGAAATCCTTGCTTCCATGATGAGGAGAGAAACCGGCAGCAAGACTTTAAGATCTGAGAGGGTGTTATCGCGGGGAGACCCGAATTTTAATGGTACGGCAATGGTATTAGTAATGACACCTGGAATGAATCCTCCAAAGCGACAACAAGATTATTTAGCAGAATCCTTACTACCGAGATTCATAATACTAGAACTGAATAATAATGGCTAATGAATGCAAAGAAAAATTTGAGCGTAGAAAAGAAAAACTGGTCCAGTCCCAGGTTAATTCCAACATTCACTTGAAAATTGTCAAAACTGTTAACTCTTTGATCCCTAAGAGTGACCAGCATCTAATTTCTCCCTACAATATCACCCCTGAATCACATATTAAGGTAATGAGAATAAAGGAAATGACTACCAACTGAAGAAGCTGTTGACTATTAGAAAAATTCTTCTCGTCAGCACCTCAGGAAATGTATAGAGAACAGTATGGAGAATATGAATACTGATACTTGGGGCTGAAAGGGTTGAAGCATTTGTCGAATTTTCTTAGTAACACCGCTATCACTTACTCGTGATAGCAGGCTCTTTTCTAGCGTCTAATGCAGATCTTTTTACCTTCTTTTTCACACCCTCTTTTCAGGTGTTATTTTCAAATGAATATTTTATATTTATTTCTTTTTCAGGTTACCGTGGTGTGACGGCTAATTTCACTTATTCGTGGAAACCTGTCAACAACACAAACTTTGCTGTGTGCATAGTTGTAGCGTCAAGCGAATTGGACACAAAGGTTACATATGTATTTTTTTATCAGTTTTGACGGGAAAGTTTACTTAAATTAACGTCTTGCAGTACACAGTTACATTGGGTTGAAGCCAAATTAATCAGTTCAGCTCTTCAAAACTGTCAATTCGCTCGGATTGAATTACATGTGACAATGAATTAGGCCTTTGAGAAAGAGGTATACGTTTTTAGAGAACTTAGATAACTTGGATAAAAAATATGAAAATTTCTCATCTCCGTTGGAACTAATAACATGATAAGGAAAAACATACACACACCTTTCTTCAACCATAAGAAGGCCACACGTCTCAAAATAAAGGGGCGGCATTTTCAATCGATCTATTGTGCTCATTAATGCTTACCCCTTCGTCCCTGAAATATTTCATCAGTTGTATTCTTTGAAAGAACATAAGAGTTCAAGGTGAGGTGTTAGGTCTTAAGTGAGTAACAAAACCTCTCAGACGTTTTTTTTTGTCGTTTCAAGTCGGGAGAGTTGCGTTAGTCAGCTATTTGCATGTGTGAGCCGAATTTACCAGCAAAGCATCTAATCAATTTCTTGATCTCTTTTCTTCTTTAGGAAATAGTCAGTCACAAACCGTACTCTCAGCCTGATCTCTATCACCGCTATGATTTGGTGAAATACTTGGATGTTGGCTCGATTATCGAGGACAAACCAATCGCTTTTCTGAGCAACACGTCTTTTCCTGCGACGCTTTCTCGCTCAAAGTAAGTGTGTTGCACGATATTTGTTCTTTACATTTGAAAATTCGAATTGGATCCTTTTGCATTAAAGCGAGGAGATTAATCTAATAATGTCCTGATTCATAAAAAAATTTTTAGAGAAGAATTATGCGTACCAGCATATTATCTGACGACAAGGTGACGTCATTAGTTCTTATAATGTTTTGTGATTGGACAAAGATCATCCAATGGAATCGAATGTAGTTTAGTAAGCTTTCTTTCTTAACTGGTAAAGATACAGTTGCTTCCTCGTTAATAATCGGGAAAAGAAATTTTGCAGGGAATCCATGTGTAAGAGAGAATAATTTGGAATGAATAACTTTTATTGCAGATCGTAGTGATTTTTGTATGACATGATGTTCGAATTTTGTTTCTCTTTCTTTTCTCCCCTCTTTTAGTTATTTTCTCAGTTCCAGTTGTTTTAATGATCCATACATGTTTGAGAACATGCCGGTAAGCTCGTTTGATTCCTTAGTAAAAATATCTGGATGATTTGAATGTTGTTTTAAAAAACATTTGGAATGCCCAAGAAATTTTAATTCCCTCGAGACCGGATAATGAAACAGCGCGATGTTTTTTGCTAGAGTGGAAACTCTGGCGCTACTTCCAACTTTCCACTGAACTGAAGGTAAAACTAATTACTTTGAAGTCCAATTCTTGGTCAAGTACTATCGGCGATCTTGTGCTCTACACTTTCTTAATCTGTTTCCGCTCTCGTTTATAGTTTGATTTTATAGAAGTAAACGGCTGTTGAGGAGCTAATGAATTAGCCGTCTAAAACATGACAAATGGACGATTAAACTTAATATTATATTTTTCAAACCGCTTAGTGACCTTCACAGTCATTTGTTGGTTCAATCATTTTTTATTGTCGTGGAGTCTTTTGATAGGAAAGGTCAGGAAAGTTGACTTGAGTCATATAGCTAACAGCTGACTGGTCACAATCTCCCTTAGGGGTATACAAAATATTTCAGATTGTTGACAACCCTCTTCAATACCACAACGTTCGCAAAATTGCGACGGCGGAGCCTAACGAGAGGGGAGAAAGGAGGGCAAGACTTTGAGCAGTCACCGCTGACTGGTATTGTGGAGGCTCAAATTTTTTTAATGCATATTGTATATATTACAGGAAACCCTTGAGTTTGTGAAGCACCTGTCTGATTACGTGGATGGAGTTGTTGATACATCTCCAATACCATCACTAAAGAAAGGTGTTTTAGTGGACATACGACTCACTAGAGAGATAGAGAAGTGGTATGGATATAAACTAAACCAAAATATTATTCGTAATGGTAAAAGGACCGCGTGGAGTCCACTTCGGTCTGTTATCGTGTGAGTGATTAACAAAATCGGACGACCGCTGAGCGGGAGCCCGATTTGTTCATCATGAGTATGATTAAAGACAGAATTGGAAGACACGAAGTCCTGTTGCCAATTAATCATATCCGTTACAATTTCCGAAGAAAAAAACCGCGGAAATAAGTCAAAATTGACAATGGAAAAAGTATCTCCTCTATCTCTAGAGACAAAGTCTAAGCTAAAGAATTCCAATTAATTACCAATTAATCATATCCGTTACAATTTCCGAAGAAAAAAACCGCGGAAATAAGTCAAATTGACAATGGAAAAAGTATCTCCTCTATCTCTAGAGACATAGTCTAAGCTAAAGAATTCTTTCCTTTAGGAAATTCCCAAGTTTTGTAGGGAAGGGGTTGTTGCTATAGTTATTGTAATCAATTCTGTGGTTGGTGGGTTTTTATGAGTGGACTTAGTATGATTGGCTGCTTTAACTGTTCCATTACAGGCGTCGTATTACAACCAACTGTCTGATTACACTTTCCGATTACAACTCTACAGAAAAATTAGTGAAAAATAAAGCAATTAATGCACCAATCACTTTTGAAGAGTTTGTAATGATTATGATAACGTCAATAATTAAAACTGTGAGTCATTAATGAGTTGGGCCAATTAATTCAACAAATATTCCTTGCGAAAGATCATTTTTTTTGCGGCTCAAAACAAAAGATTCACAACATTTTTTTCCTATGCATGTCGTAACCTTTTAACTCCAAAGATCTGACTGTTAATTTTCCCCTTTTACTGCTACATATTTCCTCTTGAATTTGTTACGTCAATTTGGCGTTAGGTCAAGATAACAACTTCTACTTGATAAGTTTGAGTATTTTCATTACCTTGTACGGGATAATATTTGGATATTATAGAGAGAAGTTACACGTTAATGACTTCTGGGAGTTATAGGGTTAAATGTAATTATGAAAGTAAAAAAATAAGACCTGAAATCCATCAGTCGTATGTAAAGTGCATTGCGAAGAAAATTGCAAAGATTATTTCAAATCAGTCTGTTAGGACAAACACAGCGAAAAAGATCCATGTTTCACGCTATGAGCGACTAGAAACCCATCCTACAACGTAAGTTTTATCACCTTCACATCACTGTTCACCCTCGTCAGGCTTATCTCAGTTTGCGCACAGTTTCGTTGATTATCATAGAATCGCCTTCGGCTTTATGGTTTTTGAATTGATCTCCTCTGTTCTATCAGCTGGAACCGTAACCCTATGCATGTCCTCGGTAGCAGCGCAGCATGGCGGTACATTGCCACCAATTCTGGGGCGATGAGGCAGTATCCGGGCAGGCAAACCTACAATAACAGGTCAGGGACGTTATCTTGACAATGTGAAAATACTGTTAATAGTAACCATGACGATGACGATTGCGATTACGATAACGATGACGTAGAGATGACGATGACGATAATGGTAACGCTGACGATAGCGATGGCCACAAAGTTAACGATGACGTTAAGTTGGTAATGATAATAACGATAATGATTTCATAGACACTGACGATAATTACGATGATGACAAGAAATATAGAGGATAATGTTGACGATGTGTTGAAAATGACAACGGTAACGATGTTGACTATGAGGTGTTCTTCTGACCAGTTTGTGAATAATTTTTTGCTTGGGGTTTTTTTTTACTTTGTTAAGATATGACCCTACCACTCGTCCTTGGTACTACGCGGCCAAGTCGTACCCAGGAAAAGTAACTTTCTCAGTTCCTTATTTGGTAAGTAGTAAGCCATTATAAGCGAAGACCATTGAAATGAAAGCTAGACAACGTAAAACTGTTCACACACCCTTTTCTGTTTTTCCTCGTTACTCTGTAGGACAATGGAGGGGCTGGAGTGGTGGTTACAACAAGTCAAACAATCAGCAGTGATTCAATGGTAAGAAAGTGGACTCTGATGGTAATCTCCTCTCAGCTTGTCCATCCGTTTCCCGTAGCTACCGACAGAAGTCCACTTTTTGACTTCTCTCATTTGTATTTTCAGACTACATAATTAACTGGCAATAGTTCGCATGGCACTACGCTGCAACTAATCATGGTTTTATTGGGGTACAAGAAAACTTCCCGACTATTCCAATGAGATCAATGACGTTAAAAACCACCCTTGTCGCAAATGTTAATTTTAGTTGATTGAACCATGTTATCGCTTGCGAGTAAATTCCATTGATCATCGATTTATCGATTGTCATCCATTTATTGAATGGTCTTCTGATATCAATCTTCCCACCGCAGGAAACGAGAAAGGTTCACATTGCATTGTTTTGCTTTTAAAATATTTCCTTTTTTCATAACTTCAAGGTCAGGGCCGTAATGGGTATTGATTTTAAAATGATCAAGATTCATCAAATAGTCACCGATAGTGGACCTATATGCAAAAAGAATTCTGGTGAGTTTATGCTCCAAAAGTTTAATATTAAGAATAGCAGCAATGGCCAGAGACTGCAGTGGTGGCATATTTGTTCAGTTCATGTAACTGCTACGACTTTTTTGAGAAAAATGTCAATTCCAAACATTTTCGTGCCTGTCGGGTAAACACCAAAACAGGAGATAAATAATTAATCTTGCTAATATTTACTTTTACAGACCTTTCCACTTTCCACATAATGTCATTCCTCTGATGGGAATCTATTTGTTATTTTTCAGCTTCATGTATGCTAATTGATCCAAATGGCTATGTGGTTTACAGTAAACAGTTTATGTCCAGTCCCAGGTTTGTAGTTCTGGTTGGGTCTAAGGACATTCAATGTTTTCATGCTGGAGCACTCGAATTTTATCAGGCAACCATATTAACTTGAGAGGAAATTTTAGTCTATGATGATGTATCCTCACAACTTGATTCATTTTGAACTCTTTGCATGAATATGGCTTAATTTCGGAGCGAGTTGTGGTGTTGCCTCGACACCCACTCACCAACTCACCCACCCACCAACTCACCCACCCACCCACTCACCCACTTACCCACCCACCCACTCACCACTCCTCACCCACCGACTAACTCACCCACTCCTCACCCACCCACTCACCCACTCATCCACCCACTCACCCACCCACTCACCTACTCATCCACCCACTCACCCACCCACTCACCCACCCACTCACCCACCCACTCACCCACCCATTCACTCCGTTGTGGACATTTACCTCACATTGAAATCCGCATATCGGAGCTAGAGGGTCCGTCAGGTTAGAAAACGCGAGGATGTTATTTTCCGCCACAGATAAGGACAATCAACATTACTCATTTTAAGAAACGTTTAAAGATAACTTCAATTTTTTGCTGGAGTGTTGCTATGTTTTAACACTTTCTTGAATTTATAGAGCTGCTAAAGAACGCGTCCATCTCGCCTTCAAACATCCAGAACTGCTGTTAGACATAAAGAAGAAAGGAATAATATCCACAAGTTTAGCTTGTAATGACTTGGAGGTAAATATCATGATATCACAATCTTCACATTAATTTTTGTCCGAACTAAAAAAATGATGGGAAGTCCTACAAACCTACAATGAACTAGTGTCTCATTTAGGAATAGAAGTAATCTCTTTCTATTTTAAACGCATGAGGCAGTGTGTGTATCAGACGTGAGTAAATGAAGCTAGAGAGAAAACAGGGATTACATCTCTTCACTCATTTAGGCGAAAGGTCGGCAGTGAAATATCGTTTTTGATTGGTAAGGAATAAGTGTATAATGGAACCCGAGAAGTATGGAAAGATGCAAGGAATTTCATCCTAATAGCGATCGACAAGAGCCCAAATTTTTTTTAGACATTATGTTTAATGATAAGCTCTGTATTATATTTGTCTTTTCAGCTTGGCCAAACTTACACCAACTACAAGATAACTGACACACTTCCTGCGTGAGTATTTTGTTTACTATAAAAGGCTAATTTAATTGAAACATGGCGTGAACGAACACAGTGGTGGTGAGAGGGCTGCGGCACCCTCTGTGTAATGAAACCTCAGGGTACCCATTAGTATTTAAGGAAGAATCCGGGTACTACTACTCGGATACAAAAGTTTATGTAACCCGCCTGTCGTCACGTAGGACTCAAAGGAGTTCACCGCTAGTTTTAGTAAAATAATAGTTACGTATTCCTGTTGGTCTGACGATGCACTCACTTCCGATGTCGATTTCCTCTAAAATTACTTCATGATTTTGGTCTTTCTTGGTTTTTGTAAGATCTCATTCTCTTGCATTTCAGTGGTATTGTCCGAGGAAACTTGACATGTGGTTATTACATCATGGTAGCCGTACCGAACACAAATGTGTACCTCGTTGTCCTTGATGGGGGAGACTGCCCGGACCCCGCTATTAAATGCACCTCGGTAAGTTTGCCCAACAATTGGGGATCCTGTTCCCCGCCTCCTTCCCTCTCACTCGAAAGAAACGATAGAAAGGAGAAAACAAGAGCGTTACATTCTAACGTAAACAAATTAATTGAGTTGATCTAAAGATCAGTTTCAAGTGCAAGAAATAATTTTTAAAATACACCAACCAGTTGCAAAATTAGTTGAATCATTCTGCATTTTCATTGTCAGAGTTCTCTATGTCCGAAATCTCGAAAAAATAACTCCTTCCCTGCTTCTTCCCCGCTTATCAACAATGCTAGCCAACCGATATCATCGATAATCTTGGACTGGGGAAATGTTGTCATGAGAAGCCAACAGAAAAGCTGGTTTGAACATGTTGGTATCTGGTTGTATCAGGCGTGTGAAAGATAAACTAACCAATCCATCAGACAACCTACAATAAAAAACCTTTGGACTTATCAGTAATCTTTATTAAGTTGTTTATTTGACATTGAGGAAGGTGTGGTAATTTTTTTTCTGATATTTCGATGAGTGACTCTTCTCCTCTACCGTGAATCCAATCAATGCTTCCCTCCTCTTTGCATCGTTATAATGTCAGCCAGGTCCAGGTCAGGAGTTCACAGTTTGAAATAACTCAGACTTTTCTCTGTCTCTTGTTCCCAGTGTTCAAAGAAGTCGTGTGCGGATGGTATCACTAAAGATATTTCCCTGTCGGCGCCAATCTGCGTGCCTTGTCTGTGCAATGTACCTTACAGTCCATGTGCCCTGCACTATTATAAGGTATGGATTTACCTTGTGCTGATCATGTCTCTTTGCTCTCAAAGCTAACAATGATCATCAGATTTCAAGTCTACCGTGACCCATGTCTTCTATAGATATGTTCAAATCTGCTGAAATGTATACTAAAACAAGTCTTATCTAACAGAAATTGGGGATGTCTGTGATGAGTTTTTATTAACAAACTTTTATGTTGTGCCGACGGACAGGAAAAACTCGTTGGAACTTATTTTGCTCTGATTAAAGGCTTACAAAATGAGTATTGCCTTTTACATTCTTATATCTATCAACGAGGTGTGTTTCAAATGGTTTTCTTTACAGAGTCCAAATGCTGCAGTGGCTTGTCCTTCAATTCGTCGAAGCCTGGGGACGACAAAAAGCGCTTGCAAGAAGCCTGATACCGACTCCGTCTTCGTTCGCGTTCCAACACGTGACCCAAGCCTCCGTTCAACCCAGTCTCCGCACCCGAAGAACCCATCGGGGTCTGGTAACAAGTTGAACTTTTTGTCGGTGTATCTACGGCTTATGTCGTTTCTTTGGCCATTTTTCCTGCGTTGATTAGCCATCTTCCCCATCCCCGATTGTAGAATTTAGAAACGTAGAAACTGGGGAGAAGTCTTCTATTGCTAAATTGTAAATATTTAACACAGCATCAATGTGTTACAGCTTATTTAGATAAACGTTTTTAGTTACAACAGAACTTTGATGTGTCGTTGCAGAAATTGTTAGGATACAGTTTAAGGTCGCCTCGAACGCTGCTGAACATGCTTAGATTAAAATGCTGAGATTAAAGTGTGGATTCATTGGCCAACAATTGCTATCAAATTCTTGCGCAGATCTTTGGCAAAACGTGAGTGTCACAAAATACAGACGGCTTCGTAAGCCGTATTTTCTAGTTAAACGCTCATAGTGTCGAAGACAATTTTAGTTTGCTATGCCCAGTTGTATTTACTGATTTAAAAAAATACTTCTATGGTCGAGACTCGCTATCTTGTCGAAGATATATTAGGTGAATTTTTCTTTAGCTCATTTTGTCACGATCTTCAAAATTTGACGGTGTATTTTCTGTAAATAAAAGAGATGCTTTTATCTTGAATCATAGGGGTTTAACTGATTTGTTTATTGTTATACAACTTGTTTTTTACAGCATCTTCGTTACGTACATCTTTCTTTTAACATGCAACAATCGCCTGGCAAATGAATCAATATGCGAACTCACCTCAATTTTTAAGGAGGATTATGCCCTCCCCCGCCCCTCTGTTTTAGAGCCATATACGCTGAACACAGCGAAACACAAAAATCCATGCACTCTATGTCCTGCTATTTTATGTAGAAAGGGGATTTTGTTTGGATGGCTAAAATACACTCTCTTCAAACTACTCTTACACGTCGAAAAATATCGTTTTAAAACTATAAACATCCCGGACAAAGTCAGATCTATGTTTTTCTTGCAACGTTTTTTCACACAATTCCTTACTGCATATTAGGATATCTCTCCTAAATTTTAATCTGCGAACTAAATTACACCTAAAATGTGTATAAGAATTAGGATACGTAAAAAATGTTTTCGAAATCTGCAGTCAGAATTGTTGTGGAACTAACTTTTTTCTAGGAAGAAAACAAAATACAAAATATGGCACTCTTCCTTAGCTTGACTGTCTTCGTTTTGCAAGTGGCATTAATGATTGAATTGCAGACGTATTTAGATATTACATCTGCAGTTACCTTTGACTTTTCGGATCAATATCAATATCTGGGCAACTGCCCACCTACCCTCCCCTAACTGTTGTTGGGTTAGGGGAGGGGTAAGTGGGCAGTTGCCCAGATACTGAAATTGATCCGACTTTTCTCTTAATTGGAATCGCGTTTGATTGTAAAAGATATTAAAGGATATATTTGGTGTGGAGATATGGCGACAATTAACGATATTTAACCGTATTCATGTTTAGAATTGAGAGGAGGAAAAACCAAAATTAGTATCTGCAACATCTGCTAATAGGTGTCACAGACAGATTCGTTATGTCTGTGATTTACCACAGTTTACATTTCTTCTTGGGATTCATTCTTCGACCAGCGGAACACTTGAATGCTTCGGAGAATTCCTCCATATTTGACAACGAGCCGATAATCCTGAAGAAAACGGCAACGAAAATATGAAAAGGTGAGCAACAAACTGAGAAGACGAATGCACTCATCAGGGCTCCTGAGTGAATTAGACTGGAACTAGTAAACTAGAGAAAAATGTCCACACAGAGGCAAGATTGTAACAAACCGTCAAAAAACCGACGCTTAACAAACCACATGGAAATCAGCGTGGATCTAACTGAAATCAACGCAGCTTGAATTAAATTTCGAGAATATATCGTGGTTCAACCCTATTCTTGGTTTGATTTTTATTTTCCTTTGGCTTTTTTAAAGACGTCGAAATATGGTGAAAATTGGACGTCAGCTTCTATACGTCATTTAAAATATCAGAAGAACCATTCGAGGCAAAAAGGGCTTATGATCTTAGATATATAAGAGGTGGATCCAGGGAGGAGAAGGGGTCCCCACTTCCATTCACAGAATTTCTTGTATGTCTTACCTGTAGCGTGGTATTGAGTGCACGCTTGCTTTTGTGAAGCGGAAGGCCGCTGATGGAGTCATGGCAGCACAAAATGCCTAAACAATGCAAAACCCATTGTGAGTAACGGCAAAGCTTTAACCAAAATTTAGTTATATAAACCTTTCACTTCATTGTAATCCTCCCTTCTGTCTGCCACATAATTCCTATGATGTAAGCTCAGAGAATTTGACATTGGAATAACTAATTATGCCCTACTCGATAATTCTCTGTTCTCATCACCAGTCTATTTGATATTCTATTGATATTGTAAGGAGAAATTATGTCTTGGGAACTCAAGAGGGAGCAAGAGTTAGCTCTATTCATTGAAACTCCAGCCCTTAGGATAGTTACATTACATCGTCTGGAGGTCACTGACTAACTGACTTCCTAGGTGCTTCGTCATATGTCCTTCTACCCAAAAAGCAAAGTTGTCCGTAATAAAACGCACGAGAATTCCTTGTTTTAACTATTTTAATCTCCTCTGCAAGGAGGAGAAAAATGAGATTAAAACAATTAGCTCAATAAAAACGGAATTCAAGGTTCTGCCCTACCTACTCAGCTCCTCATCTGACTTAACTACAAGCCTCCCCCACCTCACCCACTCCTCACCTGACTAAAGCTCACAAATAAGAGCTGCTCGTGAGTCATCTGCAGGCCAGGCAACTGAGGTTCGGGAGCATTGTTCTTAAGCCAATCCTTATATCCCTGTATATAAGATTCATAAACAAGTTAAAGTGTTATGAATGATAACTAGCATATAGATTGTTACCAAAAAAAAGAAATCACAAAATCACTTTACATAAATAGATATTGAAAAAAATTAAATAGATACATCGTATTCAAAATGGTTTGATGCAAGTTGTTCTTCCGGGAGCTGATCTCTACCTTGCACCCCCAGCATCTTCTAACACCACTTGACTACTGCTAGTTCTCAGAACAATCAAGAGTGAGTGAGACAGTCATAGATGAAATAGCTTGATTTTATGGAGGTGAAATGTGGTGTGATGTGTTACAGTTAGACTTACCAAATAAGCCATACGAATGCCACCGTTGTCTGCAATGTTTTCACTCAAAGTCAGTTCACCATTCAACTGGATCAATTCAGATAAAAAAGTAAGAGCTTGAATAAAAATCTTGAATAATAAAAGGCTTTACCTAAAGCCTGCTTTTTGCGAAGTGTAGATTGATAAGTATATTGATAGATAACAGGATGGAGGGATGAATGGATGGATGGATGGATGGATAGATGGACGGATGGATGAATGGATGGAGGGATGGATGGATGGATGGATGGATGGATGAATGGATGGAGGGGTGGATGGATGGATGGATGGATGGATGGATGAATTGATGGAGCGATGGATGGATGGGTGGATGAGTGGACGGATGGAGGGATGGAGGGATGGATGAATGGATGGAGGGATGGATGGATGGATGAATGGATGGAGGGATGGATGGGTGGATGAGTGGATGGATGGAGGGATGGAGGGATGGGTGGATGGATGAATGGATGGAGGGATGGACGGATGGATGGATTGATGGATGAATGGATGGATGAATGATGGATGAATGGATGGAGGGATGGATGGATGGAGGGATGGATGGATGGATGGATGGATGGATGGATGGATGGATGGATGGATGGATGGATGGATGGATGGATGGATGGAGGGATGGAGGATGGGTGGATGAGTGGATGGATTGAGGGATGGATGGATGAATGGAGGGATGGATGGATGGATGGATGGAGGGATGGATGGATGAATGGATGGAGGTATGGATGGATGGATGGATGGATGGATGATTGGATGGAGCGATGGATGAATGGGTGGATGAGTGGACGGATGGAGGGATGGAGGGATGGAGGGATGGATGGAGGGATGGACGGATGGATGAATGGAAGGATGAATGGATGGATGAATGGATGGAGGGATGGATTGATGGATAGATGAATGGATGGATGGACGGATGGACGGATGGACGGATGGACGGATGGACGGATGGACGGATGGACGGATGGACGGATGGACGGATGGACGGATGGACGGATGGACGGATGGACGGATGGATGGATGGATGGATGAATGGATGGAGGGATGGACGGATGGATGGATGAGTGGATGGAGGGATAGAGGATGGGTGGATGGATGGAAGGGTGGATGGAGGGATGGATGGATGGGTGGATGAGTGGATGGATTGAGGGATGGATGGATGGATGAATGGAGGGATGGATGGATGGGTGGATGAGTGGATGGATGGATGGATGGAGGGATGGACGGAGGAATGCATGGATGGAGGGATGGATGGATGGATGGAAAGAAGGACGGATGGGTGGAGAGATCAATGATGAATTAATAGAAGAATAGATGGATGGGTTGATTGATGGATGGCTGGATAGAAGGACGGATGGGTGGAGAAATTTATGATGGATTTATGGATGGTTGGATGAATGGATATGTAGATGAATGGATGGATGAGTGAATAAATATATGTAGGATGGATGCATGCATGGATGGATAGATGGATGGATGGATAATGAATAGATGGATGGATGGATAATGAATAGATGGATGGACGGACGAGTTGATAGTGAAAGGTCTACATCTATCTAGCGCTTAGTCACCTGTTAAAGAATTCCAAGAAAATGTTTTCGAAGTTCAAGTTAAAAAAGTTTTTCACTGATTTAACTTTAAAAAAGCGATTCGTCAAAGTTAAAAACTAAAGTTGTCATCTTGTATATCAGCTACCACATTGAATGCTTCTTAAGCCAATGAAAATAAATGAGCAATGGCGAAAAAAGTTGCTCGAGTGATGCTTCGATTGTTGAGTTTTAAAAGCAAAAAAGAATATTTTCTGCCTATAAAATGCGTTTGAATGTTTTCTTTTTTTGTGAAGTAATTGAGCCATAAACTGACCAAGTCAGAGTGGACAAGAAAAAAAAAATGGTCGAAACAACTTAGACTTTGAAGTCACCGCGACCCTTTGCTTAGTGGCAATCAATCACTTCTCACTTTCTCACTCCCCTCCCCCCACACCCAACTTTTGTCTTCAAATCTCTTAAGTTACATTAATGCTTAAGGATGTCACCTTCAGGCAAAAGTTACTCAACCGAAATATTCTTGCCAGAACTCGACACTTGCCGAGCACGATTTCAACCATCCGATGAAAAGGTCCCGGAGTATAACGGACAATAGCGCTATTCTCCACATGAAATGGATGCATAAATGCAAGGATACATGAATGTATGGACGCATGGATGGATGTATAAATACATAGATAAATACGTACATACATACATATATATATATATATATTGTGGGAGGAAAAAGACAAATAAACTACAAGTTCATCCCTACAAGCCTGTTGTAGGGATGAACTTGTAGTTTATTTGTCTTTTTCCTCCCACAATATATACATCGCTGTACTCTTATGTATTGAGCACTGTTTTGCGAGAGTCAAAATTTTTACACTATATATATATGTATATGTATAAACGCTTAATTAAACGATTAAATAAACGCTTTATATACAACATCCATGGTTGCATACATAGACACATACATACACCTCCCCCCCTCCTCTCTCTCACGAAAAAAGAGAGATTCAAATCCAAACGCTTCATTGATGATTTCTTCCTTGTAACTTACGTTTTCTCTTTTTCCACCTCCAACATCTACTGAGAACTTGCTGTACTGGTCTACAATGCATTTAGATCTCTCTTTGAATCCTTGAGACGAAGAACTGCTCCACCAGTCTTCAACAACCTCTCCATTCTCGTTGAACTTTCTCCCTGGAAAGCGTAAGCGTTATGAAAAAGTCACTGAAGCTGTCTACTACTTATCCTATCGGTCTTTAGGTCCACAGTATGTGCGCGGCCTTGATGAATCCAGCAAAGAGTGGGATTAAAATGCTCTAACTGAGCGATACAGAATAAGCAAAATAAAAACGAAATAAATAGCGAAAACAAAACCTGTTCAAAACTACGTGATCAAGGATTAAGGTAAAGTGCTATATCTTTCAGGAATAAACTTTCAGTACAATCAAAACCGGCACTTTTTAACATTTTTGCTTTACTGACCAGCGGCGTCAAATCCGTGAGATAACTCGTGTGCTAGAATCACTCCAATCCCACCAAGGTTTATGGATCTGAAGATGAAAAGTGGACAAAACTAGCCTATAAATATGAAAGACCGTTTAAATCTACTTTACAGACAAAGATAACTCGTCATTTCATATTTCGAATCAGTTAAGAGAAAGAAAGAGTGGAAAGCTTTTTAACTTCAACAACAACTGTTCGCGAAAAGCAGCGCCGTGTGTATTGCTCTCAAAACAAGTCACTTCGACACACCGCAGCGAAAATTTGCCTCGTAGGACATGTTAGATTTTTGCGAAAATCTCTGCCTCCGCGACAGAATTTTGTGGCTGCGATTAGTTGCACGGTTTCAAACCATTATACTAGATGCGTATATTTCTAGGGAGAAAGAGCTCGCAAAGTTCCTGAAGTTATCCAAAGTTTTCTAACTGCGTAGAACTTGAGTGATCCGTCTCTTCACATCAATTTCTCGACCATTAGCAGATGCCTGATTTCAATATTATGTTTTGACTTCTATAATTTTTCTCCTCTCGACACTTTCGAACTAAAATATCACTGATGATGATTTTTCAATAAGCGTTTGACATTGCCCTTTCGTTTCGTTACTTATTTATTTTTAAATGAAAGGGAGATCCTGCTCATACCTTGGAGCTTTTCGTCCGTAGTAAAATGGAGGCTGAAGAATTCCTGCTAAAATACCTACCGAAGAGATCATCGTCATGTTGAACTTGAATGGAGACGTTCGAGCTACAGTTCGCGTTCAGATTAAGAACTTCCTTTCGAAAATTTTAAAGCTTGTGGTAAGAGTAGGGATATGAGGAACGTGAGGCTTGATGGTTACAGTAGACGGTAACCGTGAAAAAAAAAAAAAAAAACTTAGTGCTGTTTCTTCAATTAAGATAAGTTAATGGTATTAAGTGTGTGCACTTAGATATTTCAACAATTTTTCTAGTCTTTATATGGGGATGATATAAGGATGATGTCGTTTCAAAAGGTTTGGTACAAATTAAAATCAAATGATAGCTATAAGCTATCTTTGTTTAAGATGTGATCCTACTTACTTATTTCGTTCCTGCTTCGTAAGTAAAATGCGTTAACTTTCTGAGGTCCAGTGAACCATCTGAGATGAGAGAAAAGAAAAAATGACTTAATCGATGCTATTTAGTCATTATGCTATATAATCCTTCCTTGGGCAAGGGTGGATCTCATTTCGTGGATCTCACGAAAGCTGGCTGAATGGTATTCAGCCAGCTTTCAGACTCCGAAAGGAGTGCGCGTTAAACCGTCAAGCGAATATGCAATCAAACAAAATGATGAGCCCAAGAAAACAGATCGGATTAGGAAAACATTTCAAACTGTCTATTACCGATCGCAACTCTGGAAGCAGTCATCTCAATTTGATTATAACATGTATAGTTTTGGAAAAGTAAACCGGTATTGGATCAAAATCTAACTAAAATTGGGTACTAATATTAATGGAACTGGAGGATTCCTTAGAAACACGAATACAACGGTAAGAAGAGCATCTGATTGCAAAATATAATGGTGATGGTCAGCTTAGAATGTGCACACTCATAGTTAAGTATCAGGTCTTTTGTACTTACTGGTCTTTGTCCACCGCTGTCTTAAGTTTTGAAAAGGCCAATCTCCTTTTCCATATCATCACACTCAAGACGTTCTTAAGATAATCATTCTCACTGATGTTCAACTAAAAAGGAAATTTGACATTAGTTGATCCGAAAAGTGGGTCCACATTAGTTTTGAACCGCTTTGCGTTGTCAACGTAATTTGTATGATCAGTACAGGGAATAGAAAATTGCGACTGTTTGTGAGATGGAATCTTGCCAAATTAAGGAGATTCAATGTAAGCGTAACGGTGTCGCCCTTTGCCGCTTGTCAAAAAGCATTTGGCTTTGCAATCGTATATGCAAGCGATTTTCTGCTCATGCTTTATAAATACAAATATAGCTGCATTCTCTAGTTCCAGGAAATTTAAGCGAGGACTTTTGCAGATTGCTTTCAGTATTGTAGAGTAGACTTGGATATGCCGGGATGTAAGGATCAGAGATTTTTGCAATCACAAAATATCGCTTAACCGCCTCATATCACTTCACACTTCCATACTAGACGGTATGTGCACACTTACATCTTTGTAAAACTCGTTCAGCAATGTTTCGTTGGCACAGAGCTTGGGAAAGCCAATGTGGAATTTCATTGCATCTTCCTAAAATCGAATCGTAGACAACCTTAGATTACCTGTCATTAATAAAGTAAGTGACCAATGCATATTATCAAAAGTGTGCTATTCTGATTTTGGTTAAATTTTACTGCACCTTTTCGTCAATTTTCCGTCGAGTTTCGTCGTCAATCCAATCGAGTTGGGACGTTTCATTTCTAAATACACTCCTTATTCTTTTTGACATATCTTGAATCTGTCACAAAAACACATATTTAAGTTTTAAACATTTTGCGTGAGAAATTTCAGAGACAAAATCTAGCTTGTTTAAGTCAGTTAAACTAACAAAGCAAAGTTTAAGGGTAAAGGGGGGGGGGAAGTGGGAAGGAGAGTCAGAGGGGAAGGGGTGAAGGAATTACGTGCGTGTATGTGATGAAGGAGTGTTTAGATAATTCTCTAAAGGCCAAACACTAAGATTGTCTACAAAACCACTGCTTAGTTTGCTAACAAGGAATACTCAAATGGTACGCTGTACTCACAAATGGTATAATTTCAACGTCGAACACTTTTGAAATCCATATATATCCCAAAGCAAATGTCAGTCCATGGTAATAGCCATTCTCGTCCTCGATGCACGAATACCATCGAGGAGGAGCAGATTTGGTTCCTATCGTCTCCTTCTGATATTCCAATAAAGCAGACCGGAATACATGCGACATGTAGGGAACAACAGATTGAACAAAATTCCAGATCACGTAACTCGCCATTGTCCTGAGGAAAGATGTTTCGATGGTATCAAATATCAAATTTCCGTCTGACTCCATGAACTTACTTTTTTACCGAATAAATATCTTTGTGTAGTTGATAGACTGATTAACAGATTGACTGACAGAGTGACTGGCCAGGTGAATAACTGACTTGCCGACTGACAGATCTACTATAAGCTGACTGACTGACCTGCTAGATGTCTAGCTGACTGAATAATGGACTGACTAATTGACTGACTGGCTGATGGACTGCCTGATTGGCTGAATGATGGATCGACCAGCTGGTTGACCGACCTGCTGACTGTCTGACTGACTGAATGGTGGACTGACTAGCTGAATGATGGACTGACTAGCTGACTGACTGAATGATGGACTTCCTGGCTGAAATGCTATCTGACTAGGATTGACTGCATCGATGGTTGATACACTGATCACAGCAGGTTAGTGACAAGCTCAATAAATACCCAATACTGAACAAAAGATGAGCAGAGGTTTTGAACTTTGCCTAGCAACAGGTGAGACTTAATGGCTGACTGACTTATTGAAAGGTTTTATTCACTACCTTTTTCGGGGCTTGATTCCTCCCTCGAATTCATTACATAAAGTAACTACAAGTCAAGCCTATTGAAAGATGTATCTTATCTCCTTACTCCTTGCTGGTGTTGTTCACAATGTAGGAGAGGTTCCGAAGATACTCTGGCGAAGGGACCATGACTATATCTGAAGCGTTCAGCGACACGTTGAAAGGTTTTAACAATTCGTTGATAAATTCCAACCAGGTGAACTAAAAGGGAACCACAATCTGTCATTTAACATTATTCAAATATGTCCAGATAATAGAGCAATGTTATTCTCCCAGTAACACACCAAATAAACTTGGGAAGGAAGATGTGTTTTTTAATAAGCAGCATTTTTCGGGGCCTATCAAATCCGAATGGAAAGTGAGAGTAAACGGAAAATTAAAGTCCAATCATATGGGAAGACATGATGTGATTCTACGTTCAATCAAATTAACATTTTGTGAGGTATTCATCAGGTATTCATCGTGGCGAATACACGAATCAAAAACTGTTATTGTTTCTTCTATTATGACGTTTCTTCTGATGCGTATCGAGACTCATCGACTGCAGACTATACGAGTGTCCCTCAGGTGATGAAACCGACTTGGAATGTATCACCTTGTGAAGCATTATGCTCCTTAAAGACGTATCTCTTTGTCGCAAAATATGCTAAGAAAAGATTTAGAACATAAACTAGAGTGAGCACTGAATTGGCGTTGAAAACTCGATAAGCATTTGTGTCGCTGTATCAGATCTCAACACCAGCTGCTGAATCAACAAAGATCTCTTTCAGGCTCAGAATAAACATAAGAAATTTCCTACCTCGAAACCAGGTGCCAATTTCTCGAGCTCCGTCATATTCATGTTTTGCAGGAAATTCTTTCCCAATTCGCTCGCCGGAGGTATTATCTGTAATATCAACACAAAACAGCAGTAAGTTATATTGCATGTATCGTATTCGTTCATTCTAAGGAGATAAACTTACCTGGGCCAGTTTTCCCTCCAGCTCTAAAACTTTTTCCATTTGTTCTTTTGTTTGATTACTATCAGGACTTCCAAGCAACTTTCCTATTTTGGTCATGTAATTCACGTATGCCACTCGTGTCTGAAATGGCCCCCAAAAAATAAAACATAAATTGTGAGGTTATGATTTTTTCATCTACGGCGCAACATCCTGACTAGCTCACATGGAAAATGTCCGAGAAATGTCCTTTTTAAAATTCCTCATAACGTGGCCGATGAATGGTTTAATCCAGCCAACTTAATGATATCAAAGTGCCCTCAACATTGATCATATTCAGTTGATAACAAGCCACAAAATTTTGACCATTAAACTAGTACATTCTCCTTGTGTCTGGGACTTCACAGCTTGAAGGTGGAATTGTTGCTTATATTGGCAGCTAACGTAACTTTGCAAGTTTTTTGAAATGATTTAAAATACAGGAAAGGAAGGATCAAAATTAATTAAATTACCATTGTTAAACTCTTTTGTTTTCGTACAACTTCAATTTAATTCTGTATTCATACTTCAGCGCGAAAACTAGCTCTCGTACAAGGGGCAAGCTTTAATAGAACACCAATTGATTCAGAACAGGATCCACTGAGTAAACATCTAGGAAATTATTTTCTAGTTTCTGAAAGTAAAACGTCGTGATTTTTATACCTTGTTATCCTCTGTCAAGTACTGTTCCCGAATGAGACTCAAAGATGGAGGATTGATCTATGACAAAAGAGAAAACCAAAAAGGCCCGGTTGAGACGCCAAATGAATTTAATTTAAATTCGGACTGACCCATATTCAAAAAAGTACACCTGTTGATTCATGTTTTCATTTTAACACCTTGTTTGATGCTACTGAAAATTGTGACGTTGTGAAATTGTGTTTGATAACCTTAACGCGTGATGAAGCAGTCGTGGTCAAACGCGGATAAGCATTTATCTTGTCCAACCTGGTTAAACATGTTTTACCCCGCGGATGCGCTTCAGGATCGCTCTCTTACTAGGAAAAATATGTTAGACAAACTTAAAGTTGCATAGTTGCTAGTTCAAAGATCTTTCGATGCATTTACACCTCTTGTTTCAAAATTATGCTCAGTCGCCAAAAGCCCTTCTCATCTTGTTGCTTGTCAATCATTTCCCTGTTGAGCGAACTTCTTAATTGTTGAGAGTTTGGTGTAGTACAAATAAAAACTGAAGAAATCTGCCAGTTATTTTATTAAATGAGTTGGAACGGGATCATAAACTTTGTGGAACTGCAAAAATATTGCAGATACTTGATCATAAGGAGAATAAACTTCTAAATTGTTGTGTCCGGCGTGGTAAAAATAACAACACAAGTAACCTAGCGGAGATTAGATCACCTGATGTGGAATAGAATTATTCATAAACTGGCTGGAACTACAGAAAAAATTTGCGAGCAGTTGTTCATTCGGAGTTTTAACTGAATGCACTTTACCATCAAGAGAAGTAATATAATCATAAAGAGACTACTCATATCCTAACATGATTACAATTACATGTTATGTCATACCTTTAGAATATATCGAGAAGAATCAAAAGGGTTTACATCCACAGTCATCGCAAACAAGGGTGTCGTAGCAGAATAATCACGATGGATTTCCAATAAAGCGTGATTGAGACTCCATGTTGAGACATTCCAAGTGGCCACATCTAGTGGCCAGGATCCGAAACGCCGGATAAGGCTTTTTAACTCAACAACTGTAGCAGTGTTGTTATCGTCGTCCTCGGTCATGCAAGATTTAAAATAGTTCTTCGCTTTCTTCACGGCATGTTCGCGCGGAAGCTCGTCGTCTTCTAACAGAAGTAGCAACAATCTTTCATCGTTCTTCTTTGCTGCTGTTATAAAAGTGGCCGTTGTCGTTTCTGATGGTGGAATTGGGTTGTTCTCGATCCAACTGCCACAGGAATACTGATAAAAATCTTCACACGGATCCACGGATTCGTTCAGGCTCTTCTTAACAGCGGCTGCCACTTCTAAGCATGTGGACGAAGTACAATACTTCACCTCGTCTTTGGTCGCATCTTTTTCTTTCCTAAACGAGAGCAAGATCGCATACGTAGCGAGAGCAAGACAGGCAAGTAATAAGACTGCACAAATGATTGTCAACAGCCCGAGACGAAACCGCCTCTGTTTCTCTTTAGAGAAATTAATAGTCCTACTTTCTGCAGACTCCATTCCAAAAGTCTGGGTACTGGTACTGCTGCCATAAGCCAAATCCATGTTCCCTTCGTTTTTCATTCGATATGATTATTGTATTGCAAATCCAATACGTTTTGAAGAGGTAAATGTCTAGAAGTTATATCTTTAAATAGTCTTGATTTCCGCCCGTCTTCGCTTGGGTGGTTTTCCCACGCAAGAACAATATCTTTAAAAAACATCAATTATCAGATAGATTGGAAAAATCTTTTACTGCCCCAAGCTTTAAGTTTAGGAAGTGGTTCTTACTCACAAAGGATACGACACTGAAGAACTAAAAAAATAAACTTTTAATTATTAACATCTGCACAAACTTAAACTTGTCACCACGAACAAGTTTCATAATCTCTCTATACACTTGAGTGACTATCAGCTTTTCTTACGAAACACTTTCAAATGAAGGACTTATCAAAATTCATTTAAGCTAACGTCTGGAAGTCACGCTGCATTAATTTAGCTAAACTTTTTGCCCTGTTTATGGCCAGAAGTTGTTTACTTGATAACTTTGATCAACACTTACGCTGTCGAATACTTTGATATTGAATAGTTGACTATAGTTTTCGCAGCACTCTATACTGCGCCCTCTGTGAGAAATTCAAAAGACCGTCAAATGTATTCTCAGTCAAGCCTGACTTAAAACAGCAGCAGCTTGTTTTAATCCGACTCAAGTACTTTAAATACGTCATGGTACATGCCTTTGTGAAGCACTTTTCGCTGCCAGCATTCATGGATAAATCTCCTATCAGAGAGGTTTCCGTTGAGCTTTCAGCGTATTCTACCTCTTATCACGAACGACGAAGTCGTGGCGAATGAGGAATAAGTAATTGACACACGTAAATTCCCTTCTGTCACCTCTTCGCCTGAGTGTTAGCTTAGTAATGAATTATTTCTTGACCTTAAGGCGATCTCGGGAGGATGGAAACAAAAAACACACTCACAAACCAAAACCAGAAGAGTTAGCAGCGCCATCGAGGACAAAACTCGAAAAACTTTCTTACGGTTAATTGCATTTTTGTGTATAAAAAGTCCTCTTGGGATAAACTGTTTCATGGTCTGTTTTATTCCCTATGGCTGATTTTCCGCTTTACTTCACAACACTGCATGATTTCCTGTTTTAGCAAAAGTTATGCTTAAAATAATTACTTTTTAAAAAGGTGGTTCAGACTCGATAGACTCACAAAGAAATTCCGGAAATCATGGAAAGCCTTTTTTTGGACGACGGGAAATAGATCACTTCCGTGAGAGTTAATTATTTCATCATGTGAAGCCCCCACAAAAATCTCTCTCAAATTATGCACTAAATACCCTCAAAATTCATCTCATGCCTCCTTCGGCTCTAAAATCCTTAGTCTCAAAATCCTTTGTACATCTCCTTCGTCCTTAATAGAGATTACCTTTTCTGAGCACGAACGTAGCTTTAGTGAGCTATTTCTTTTCTTCTGTCTGTGAGCAGAAATCTGAGATCTGTCTCAGAGAAAACATAATCATCTTGGAAGATAATGAAGACACCTGAGTCATATTTGTATCAAAATCAAGAAAAGATGCTATTTGTTTTGGCGAGTGAGGGTAAGAGAAAGAAAATAACAAAACGTGACAAGGCGAAAGATATCTTTCAATTACCATTCTCAGAATTTTCGATCCTCTTAATTATTTAGCACTTTCGACATTGCTGATCCCAATGGTATGCAGGACGTAACTCAGTGGTATAGCACCGAGGAGCGAGATTCATTTGGGGCTGTTCGATTCCTCTGTTTACATTTGTACCACTTGGCACCAAAAATACGATATTGCAATTTCATCGTAGTAGAGAAATTGCGTGTTATAATACTTTGATAGAGTTGACTCGAAAGCGATATTCGAAGCAAATGTATTTTAATTCCGTGGATGAGTTGGGAAGTGCCTCTCGTGACCTAACTCAGTAACTTTCGATAAGTGAAACAAGATCATACATAATTTGAAAAAATGTACTCTGAAAGTAGCCAGTTCTTCGACTCTAAAACTGAAATAATACGTCTTGCTGTGATAACTGAACGAGGCATAAGATATTTAAGGAACTTATATGGCCGTGCGTAGGTAAATACTTCATCCTCGAATGTTGATAAGCAAAACGAGCGACGGTTGAAATTTCGTCAACACAAGAAAACAGTAACATCTGTATCCACAAGAATACTGATTACATAATTAAAACATACCTAACAGCACCCTACGCTTTCGATTCATCAGAAATTCTGGTACTTGACCAATATCTCTTTTTAAGTAGATTAAAATATAGTCTGTAAACTTTATGCAGAAACTCTGAAAATAACGGCTCTCGAGGTTTCCACAACAGTATTTCGCCCTTTAAGAAAACTGGACATAAACTTGGTAGGCCATGCTTAGTGAAATTAGTTGGTCGGAAAAAAATTTCGTATGCGCAACATTTATAACACTTTTACGGTAGTGGAGGCAACTATGAACTTTAGCCTCGTTTTATTATCATTTTCCTCGTAGATTAGATTTGAAAAAACTCACCAGAAATTCTACCACGCAATAAAATAGATAATATAGATTTAGCCAGTGCTTTAACAGCGGAGCTTCATCTAGTTGATTTTCACTGCGCTTCACCGTGTAAGAATTTCCCTCAGGTCGTTGGTGAGTTTATTTGCAGCAACTTAGCAACTGATCTTCGATTACGTAGACGAAAGGGGGAGGGGGTGGGGTGGGAAGAAACAGGTCGGGGGTGGGGGTTGTTATCATTAGTTTCATTGTTTAGTGAGAAAGTTGCAGTGGTAATTAGTTGATTTTCATCTTCTTATTCAATTTCAAAAAGAACCTTTTTTATTCACCATATTTTGTAAAGTCTCTTATTCACGTTTCTGAAGTTTGGCAGACCATCTTGGATTTATTCGTCACAAGGTTGTTGGGTAATTGTTGTTGCTTCTAGAAATCTCCAGACTGCTGAGTCATGCTGACTTGCATACCATAGAACTTTCAAGAACATTTCATCAAGTCATGCATTTATTAAGTAGTACTACTAAAATAGTTCATATGTAAGCTTCTGGAATGTTCCAGAACACTTTGTGAACATTTATAAAGACTCACTAATGTGGTAGGAGTGGTATTTGTTGTTATCGGAGAGACGACGTTTTTGAAAGCTATACCGAGAGAGAGTTACTGCGGAAGATTGCTCATTTCAAGGAACTTTGGAGCCAGCAGTGAGATTGTGTCAGTAATTAATGAGCTGGGATATAGACTGTACCGGGCTTAATTAAGTTTATTAACAGTAAGTGTTGTGCTGCTTTTTAGGAGTCGCTCCTTGTTAAGAGCATTACTCGCTGTGCTTTGAAAGCAGTTGAGTTTTTGGGAATGAAGTGTTTTTCTTTCGGTTGGATTATACCGTAACAAAGTACCGATGGTCATTTCTGTTTCCGTAGCACACTACCATTAGCAAGCCGGAAACGAAAAGCAAGTGCTCGGTGAAATAACGTGACATGTTCTGTTTCCTTGCTTGTCGTTTCCTCATCTTTTCGTCAAACCCTCTGCTTTGAGCAACTACTTTTCACGTGATGAGAGTTTTCGTAGACACATACTTTAAATCTTTTTGCCTTTATTCTTAAAATGGCTGTAAGAAGTAGAGTTGTGAATAACAATTTTATAAGTTCCTTAAATGCCACATCCTGCGTGAATGAGATCAACATTGAGAAAAGCCGTTGCTCGCTGACATTCTTTCCCAAATCAGACTGGAAAAGACTAAAAATGAAGTGGAGACTGAACAAGAACAGAGCAAAAAGAACAAGGTGATACCAGTGATCAAGGCACCTTTAAGATAATACTCATTGTTCGTCGCAGACCAGAAACAGCAATGCTATGACAATGTTAATGGTTGTTACAAAAAGAGCGCTTTCAATGCCAGTCGTTACTTGTCTCCACGTTCGCAGAACGTTCGTTTCTCATTTAAGAGTGGATTATGGGGAGAATTCTTTTAAGCCTGTTTTTCTCTTCGACTTGAAATCGCCCTCTTTCCCAGTTCTCCTTCTTCTATTCCCCAGCCCGGCGATCTTACGAAAACTGATAGCCTCAGAATATGTAGACGCTGCTATGCAGAAATGTAGCGCAATGACAAAGTATAAAATGGTAATGTTTGTATTCAGTTTTGTAGAAACTAAGCCTAACAAGTTATAATCCACTCTGCTTAGACACAAGCTGTAGTAGTATTATTCACTCCCAATGAATAAAAAGTAATTACTATTTCATTAAGTCATCCCAAAACAAATCGTTCGCCGGCGAACGATGACTTCGAATAAATGCCACGAAAAGACAAAACAAAAAACTCTAACCGGTCTGCTCTAAAGTAAAACTGCCAAAATAACTGTAATACTTCTAGTTATTAAGCATGTATTTAATACTCGAACTAGCTTCATTTTTATGAAAAATAAGCAATCAAGCTAAGTCGCAAACCCTTATTTAAGTTGTGTTGGACAAAAAGTATGTTTATTAGCGAGGAGTCTAACTGCAATTGCAATTATTCACGTAGCTCTGGGAGTAGAAGCCCGTACTTTCGTTTCTTGAAGCTACTTGAATATAGAAATGAAACTATACAATTGTTGTTTAACGATCGTAACCAAAAGTGTCATTTGAGACAGTATTAAATTTCTGCATATTTTGTCCTTGTAGATCGCGTAAAATTGATGAGTACTGAGAAAATTGTCAGCTTCAGGACAGAAAATCGACCTAACGGCTTATTCTCTAAACTATAGCACAGCGAAATGAATGTATACTGAAATATTCGCATCCAGTAGATTATAAACTGATATTCTCTTGTCGCATTAAATTGGTAAAAAAAAAACTTAAAAACTATGTTATTATTTAACATATTTCGTTTATCACATTAGCAACATTAAATCTCGAACAAAATACCGGAAAAATGTGAGATATTCCAAAAGCTGTAATGAAGTTTTTAGTTCTTGCAAATACCCTCCACTGAGAAAGAAATACAGACCACATTTGTTCCGTCTTGGGACATTTCAAAAGAGCTGAGATCTCAGTTTAAAAAGGTCCCTTTTAGTGTTTTACCATATTTTACATTTCTTCTCAGGATTCATCCTGCTATCTGAGGGGCACTTGAAGACATCAGAGAACTCTTTCATATTTGAAAGAGAACCGATAACCCTAGAAACAAAAAAACAAATAAACAAACAAACAAAGGATCAAAGAATCATCGAATTTCATTTCCTTTATATACCTGTTCGGTCTATACCCCCTCCCCCCCTTCCCTTGTTACAGGCGAATTTCTTTCTATTTCCCTTCGTGTATATGTACCTGTAATTAGCCAGGGTATGAGTGTCTGTTGTTGCCAGTTCATAGGCAGCTGACGGAGTAAATGCACTGCACCACATCTGTCGAGAATGAAAGATTTCCCAGGTTATTGTAATATACCCCAAAATGTTACCTCTCTATGATCTTATTGGTTAAAAAATGACGAGCTTGTTACGTTTTTAAGCAGGAAAAGGATGGAGTATGGACCCTTTCCGATTTGAGGGGGAGGGGGGGGAGGGGAGAGTGGCCGCTGAAACTGCTGCCCTGTAACAATTTATTTTACAATAATTTTCACATTCTTTCAAATTGCTGATAGAGAATGCTGTAAAAGTAAAGCGCGAACATCAATTTATTGTTCACGCTTGTTTTTGTTTGACTCGTGCGACGTACTTCACCGAAAAAAGAGGGACCTAGACCGCAGAGGGTGTCTCATCAAAGAATTTTGAACACTTCAAATACTTCAATCCAGATCTTTACCTGAGCGAAGCTAACGAACAAGAGCTGCTCATTTGTCATATTGAGGCCAGGCAGCCGAAGTTCAGGACCATTTTTGTTAACCCAGTCTTTGTATCCCTGTTGGTAAGAACAAAACCTATAAGATCACATTCATTCTCATTAACCAGAATTTTCAAACCGTAAAAAATTGCGCCAACCATATGATTCTCATCACTGATTACTTGCATTTAAAAAGCATCGGAAATTTTTTTGTCGCGGTTTGAGATTTCGAAGTTAAAACTAACCGTTTGAACATTTTCTTCTGATTTGCCAAAGAATCGATTAAAGACACTGCAATTTCCAAAACAGTTAAGAGGCCTGGCCGCACAGGAAAACAAAAAGACGCACCTCACAGACAGCTTTTGTTCTGGTCATTACAAAGGGTAATTTTTCGAGCCAAGGTTTCTTTTTTGTAGCTTTCTTTTGTTCAAAAAAATCACCAAGAAACGGGGATAAGAGGTGTGTTTACGTTTTTAAAATCGATCCTATTGAACAGAGGAGATAGGCTTGACTGTTGTATGGCTTGGTTCTTTCCACTTTTAGAATAACTTGAGATGCCTTTCTAAGAGAAACTCATTATCAAAGAATTGATTTGTTATCAATGTAGCCAAAACATTTACCCAGTAAGCCAGTCTGATTCCTCCATTGTCGGCGATGTTTTCACTCAGAGAGAGCTCTCCATTAATCTGTTTGAAAGGTAGATCATAAATACAATTGAAGAGCACTTTGGATCAGCTAAAAAGTTTGAAAGAGTATTACTTAAAAGAATTATCGATTGAAATTGTACTGCATTTGAAATCTCTTTTACAACTTATTGGAAACCAGTCTCATGCGAAAATTCTTTCATATCATTTCTAGGATACATTGTTTATTTAGACTTGATTAAAATGTGATGAGCAGTTTTAATATAAAATATTGCTTTTTTAAAATGTTAACAAACAGTATTCTAAAAAGTTCCACAAGCACCAAAACAACAAATATTGTAAGTATGAATCCAAGAGACGAGTACGAAGCAGTCAACGAGGGCTAAGTAACCTGGTTAGAGCACACAGAGCCTGCTAATTACCTTTCCGGGATTCGAACGCAAAGATCTTTCTCGAAGAACCTTAAAAGTCTCAAGAGCTGGAAAGCTACAGTGGCGCTGATATCCATTAAATTAACGACTTCTCTGCTTTTTTAGGTTATCATTCCATCAAAACTTACATGTATTGGACCATTTTCGCCGTCCACAGAGTATTTGTTGTATTGATCGACGAAACACTTTGACTTCTCTTCGAACTTTTTTGAAGTATCTGCAGTCCACCAATCGCCTGTTATCTCTCCATTTTCGTTGAAATATCTCCCTGGTATAAGAAACGTATGTTAGTTACCGTGAATGGCAACCTGCTTAATGTAGTCGTTCTTCACTGAAACCCACAATCTGTTGACGATTATTTTAATCAAATTACACCATATCATTTCTTGGATACAACTCTGGATGTCAACCGTAATATGTAAGTATCATTCGATTTCTGTTTCGCGAACTAATAGCTTCTTTCCGTGTTCTCACGAGTCAGAGATCTGGTGCTGAGATAAAGGCGCGAGAACGAGGCTTTTTGACTGAAAAATGAAAACTGCCTTAATCGCCATTCTTTAATCTAATTAAATGCTCTGCATCAAAATTTTGTAGTTCAGCGTCTGTGTGTAATCTGCCACTGACCTATTGCGTCAAACCCGTGTGAAAGCTCATGACCAAGAACCATTCCTACTGCTCCAAAGTTGACTGCCCTAAAAGTGTGAGATATGAAAGGTTAGAGCTTAGATAATTTAAAACGAAACCTTGCCCCTGAATAAATGATAGGGGTACTGTCTGCAAATGACATATACAACGATGATGTTTGCTTTAGAATTTTTTATATCAGTGTTTGCGGAAAGCTAAGCTTTGGTCAAATCAGATCTTTTTTTTTTTTGAGCTTATCCTCTTGCGCGTGATTTGCCCTTCGTGCACGTTTCAAGTTTGTGTTGCGCTTTCCACGCGCTGCCTCCGCTTGACTAACACGCCCTTACATAAAACCTTCATACCTGGGTGCTTTTCGTCCGTAATAAAATGGAGGCTGCAGAATTCCTGCCAGGATGTCTAGTCGATCATGAATAAAAAAGAAATGTTTGGTTAACTTCAATGAACAACTGGAGTTTGACACAGACTTTGAAACAAAATGATATTGGGATCGTTCTTACTTGGTCCCTAAATTGAATGATACGCAAGGGCTTCATCAGTTACTGTACTACCCGTTGAACACCCCAACACACCTCCTTCATTTGATATTTTTCTAGCACTGAAGTAGTTTCAAGGAAATTTTAAAAAAAGGAAAACAAAGAACACGCACACTGCTTTTTCCTACAACGATTCTTACTTATTTCGTTTCTATTAGGCAGGTAAAAAGCGTTGACCAGCTGAGGGCCGACAAACCACCTGTGAAAATCAAATGAAAAAAATTGGGTGAGACAAAAGAGAAGCAGAAGTTAAACATGTCATTACATTGGCTTCTGTAAACAAGTTAAAAAAAAAGGAAAGGGAGTAAAGACAGGTACTCGAACCAAGTGGTCAATCAAGCCGGAGCTCATCTCGCTTTCCATATTATGAAGCGACTAGGAGTATCAGTACTCCCCTCTGGAAGGGATGCCATTCCATCACCCCCCAGGTTTTCACCAGACATCCCTGTCAATTCGCCAGTACCCATGTACATTCCTGGGTGGAGAGAGAGGCATTGTGAGGGAAAAGTATTTTGCTCAAGAACACAACACAATTACACAGCCTGGTCTCAAACCCGAAACTGTCGACTCGGAGTTCTGCATACTAACTAGGAAGCAACCGCGTCTCCCAAATAGAGGAAAAGAAATTCGATAGAAATCGTAAACTAAACAAAGATAGATAACAACGAACAACAGTAGCCAAGGCTTCATGCTGGACCTTTTGACGCAGATATCACTGCACTATTTTTTACCAAGCTCTCGCGTCTAACGCTCGCACGCCGTAACATGAGGACCTCATGGCAACGAAGTTTAGTGCCCCACTACTTAATTGGTAACTACTTACTGTTCTTTGTCGACTGGAGTCTTGAGTCTCGAAAATTGAGAGTGTGTTCGCCATTTCATCACATCCAAGGCATTTCTAAAATAATTACTGCGACTAACGTTAACCTTAAAACAAATAATGACAACGGAATGAAATTAATCTTTTTAATGTCAAGTCAAACAAGCTTCAGGAACTGAATGAAAAGGGACCACTCCTTAATTATTTGGGGTGAGGGGTGGGGGTAGAATGAGAGGAGATCATCAGAATACTACAGAGCCTAATCGGGAAGAGTACGTAAACTTTTTCATGACACAGGCAAAGTTCTTCGACACTCCCCTTCCACCTCAGGGGAGGGACTGGGTCCTAAGAAGCGCGCAACTTATACATGTTCCAAAGTTGCGTCAACGGTACTTACATCTTTGTAATACTCGTTCAGTAAAGTTTCATTGGCACAGAGCTTCGGAAAGCCAACCTTGTTTTTCATTGCCTTTTCCTGCAATTAATTAAGAGCTCGTCAAAGAGTCATCTGAAGTTAGCTATTTAGAGTTATATTTATTCTTTTGCCGAGTGAATACCTAAAGTTGTTCAGAAAGATTTCAAGGAGCGATTCCCTTGTGTATGGGTACCTCGCAGAATGAATCTTCATTTCACGAGGCTATATTCCATGTGTATAGGACTATATAGTGATCTGTATTCGAAGCTTCCCTATAGTTTTAGTTTTCTCTGGTCCGCGATCTACCCCGTCACCGTCCTGCTTCATTTTTTGGATATTTTTTCTATCGTGATCTTCCTCTCGACTTGAAAAAAAAAAGGATGGAGGGATACAATGTTACGAGGAGAAAGTTTGTACGGCTGTAATGCAGGTCTAAAAAGAAAGCCAATTTACTGAAGTTGTCATACTGAGGATTTGTGCGATTAAGGACAATGGATCAATAATTATGGCAGAATAACGAAAAAAAAGGGAGAATAGCTGAGTCCTAGGAGTTGAAGGGGTTGCTAAATCAAGCTACCAATCTAAGTTAAATATAAAACAGTGCTAACCTTTTCAATTATTTTTTGGCGTGTTTGTTCATCGATCCAATCGTCGCGAGATGTCTCGTCTCGAAAAGTTTGCCTTATAGTTGACATCATCTCTTGTATCTTCAAATAATCATATGATAAGCTGATTGATACACGCGCTTTGATTGGTTCTTACCTATGATCTATTGGAGGACGGACCCACAGATAACATCACCATCAACAACATTTCGCTTTTTTTACCATATAAAAAAGTAGATTCGATGTGGCGATGGGTCTATACAATAAATTATGACAGATGAAGTGAAATTGTGATAGGAACATCAGTGACACACTCGGCTGCGCTTCGTGTATCTCTTTTTTGTTCTTACCACATTTTGATTTCAGCTGTGCTCAGAAATAAGCGAAAAAAATCTTACAAAGCCGTAACTGCTACCTCGGGATTGCTCAGGTTGGGTAGGAACCGACATAAAATGGGTACTAATCGAACGAGTTCAAACCTTTCGTGGGTACGGAACGACTGGATATCATCTCAATTCTTATCACCAATAAACAGGAATTAAGGAAAGGTTTAGTTTCTCACTCACAAATGGTATGATTTCAGTGTCGAAGGCGTTGGTAACATACATATAACCCAATGCATAAGTAAGCCCATGGTAATAGCCATTCATTTCTTCCACACAGTACAACCATCGAGGCGTGGCCGATTTCTTTCCCTCTACTTCCTTTTGATATTCCAGTTTAGCTTGTCGGAAATCACGTGACAGATATGGAACAGAAGAGCGCACGAGCGTCCACATCATGTAATTCGACAGGATTCTGAAAAGAAAATTGTTCATGTTTGGCGCACTGACAACTTAAAGTATTTGAGTTTAAAGGAAAAGATCTACGTTGATCATCTTCGAACTGCTACCGGTGGAAATAATTTTTGGGGTAATTTAAGTCTGAAAAGAGATTATTATTAGAAATTAGAGTACACGTCTAACTGACATTGAGGTGAGAAGTTTCACCGATTCCAGCTTACCTCTTATCTGTCTCATAAACAATAGAGGACAAACTCTTCAGATACTCTGGCGATGGGACGAGAATGTTGTCAGTGATGTTCACCCATACGTTGAAAGGTTTTAATACATCGTTAATGTAGTTTAACCACGTGAACTAAAAGAAAATCAAGCATCGCTTTTAATTTTACACATGAGAAATTTAACTATCATAGCAAAAATAGCCTATTTCATGTCGTATAACTCGCTGGTTGTGGCAAAAAATTCACAGAGAGCAGAAGAACTTCTGTTGCAAAGACATTTGCATTCGGAAAAAAAAAATTTTCTCTAAGCAATTCGCTTATTCTGGGAATTGTTTGCCAGAAAATTAAAATTTTAGCGATCATAAGTTCCGACAGAGTCTCAATTACAGCTGTAATTGATTGTAGTTTGTTGTGATGCTCATGAAAAGTGATCTGACATTGTTTTGGTTTTCTGCATAAATTCAGTCTGTGGTTGATCTTAAAAACTCGCGTCATCCTCTCAATCAATCAGACGCAAAACGAAAACCAATCACAACTTGGTCGCCCGTGTTTTCCGACGTTACTGATGGTTTGACTGTTTTTAATTTGAGCCCTGACCGGCTAATAATAGTGTAAACCTTTGTTACGACTGACATTATTTTGGTTTTGTTTTTTCGACATTCAGTTGAAACCTTTTCTAACAACTTACTTTGAAACCAGGTGCTTGTCGTTCGAGTTCTGATATGTTCATGTTGCGATGGTAATTACGCATTAAAACGCTCCTCGGTGGAGTGATCTGAAATAACAATAGGGAAAAAGCTGCAGCTTTCATGCAAAATAGCCTTAAATAACTAAGAGTGAGGATATTTCGTTCTGCCAACATAGATGGTTGACCATCAGGTAACCAGACAGTTCGCTAGTATCTATCCATATTTCTGGGTTGAGAGAGGCTCTGTTTGGATAGAAGACAAGGAGATGAACCCGGCCTGATAAAACTGATGGGAAATTTCGATTCCACGATAACACCTCTCCGTCGCCTCTCCCTAGTCTCTCCCCACCCTCCCCTCCCCCCCCCCCCACCTATCTTTCCCGCATAACTAAGTCAAATACTCCAGTGAGAACGTTTCATTTGCCTTGACGGAAAAAGAACAAACTTTAATTTCCCGATATAAATGAAATCAAGTGGATTCGCTAACTTTTCTTTAAAGCAAAATGGCAGATTATCATTTGCGTACGTTTGCCAGCCTTGTCTCTAGCTCCATAACCGCCGCCATTTGATCTCTTGTGTCGTTTCCTCCGCCAAGAAGCTTTCCCACTTTTGTCATGAATTTCAGATAAGCCAATCGTGTCTAAAATGGAATATAACGATTACTTTAATTCATTTTGAATGGAAGAACTGGTCGGTACAGGTATTATCTCGGCCTTTTGGTCTTCAACGACATAGCGAACCATCGTGCGTGGGGGGAAGGAAACAACAAATTTAATGAAATTCAAGATCTCATATAAGTTCTTCTTACTGTCTGCCTTAAATTTTACGTACTTTTGGCCCTAAAGTTGATGTCAATTCACACAATATCCTCTGGTTGATATTTTCCACGTCCTCTCATTACCTTTGTCTTTAGCAATGTATCGGGTGATTTGTGCGAGTGAAAGCTTTTACCCTAAAAGCTTTTATACTCTGGTATTTCTTAGCCGTCGTTTACAAAGTGACACTGATGAATTAACTCAGTTTGCACATTTTCAGAACGGAAACCCTTATGAAAAATTTCCTATTTTTCAATTTTTTAAACGATATCTTCCCACCTTGCTAAGGGACCTCTCTCGATGGAAGAATAGAAAACAATTTTTTTCAGTTTCCCCACGCTTTGCCTTCATAATGGCTTAAGCTCGCAGGTTTTTTCGGCTTTGCCATTGTGACTGTTTAAGCTCTAAAATAATGGTCGGACCGCACCATCAGGAGACGTAATCTGCTTATCTTAGTAAGTACTGTCTCAGCGTTTTTCCGACAACTTGGTGTGACTGTATGATCGAGTAGAAAACTTTTAGTGATTAATAGAGAATACCTTGTTCTCCGGGGCTAGGTACTTCTCACGAATCAGACTTAAAGAAGGAGGCATTATCTGCAAAAAAGCATACAATTTTGACAAATTTAGCCAGTTGTAGTCCAAGAAGCTTAATTGATTATCGCTGTAAAAGGCTACAGTGTTCCGTTCATGATACATATTCTTGACTCTTTTTCCTTTCTTTGGTTTGGAGCATACCTCGCCATGTCACCAAACGTTCCAAATGCAAATTTTAGTCTATTGAAAGCCACTATTTTGTAATTCCCTTCACCCCGGAAATATATTTATTACCTTACAGTAAACAAGCACATCGAAATGAGAAACTCTCAAAGCCCGAGAGAGCAAGCAATGTATGGAAACCTTTTTTTTTCTTTTTTCATTTTTTTTCCACTTTGCACGGCTCGTTTACAGAGGTCTGTCAATATTTACGTCCAGCTTAACAACGGGAAACGTCCTCAATAAAGAATTAGGCGGTAAGACCTAAAAATACCAAAATTAGACTTCGAAAAAGCTTAAACAGCATAAACAAAATCCCTGGGGATAATGAACTTACTAAAAGGTGATCGACAGCCCAGTGATTCGTTGCATTAAATTGACCTGTTTCAGTCAACATAATACGATATGTTGTGAATCTTATTAGGCATCTTGGCCTTTTTCAATTGCAAGCTTTTGTCGTCGAAATGTAATCATTATAAATTATTCAATGGTCAATGTTAGCGCCACCATGACCCTTTTGCCGTTTGTATAGCTGTTACCGATAACCCTTTCGGGGGGGTCGTATGATACCTGTACATTAACGATAGCCTTAAGTGTGCATCGAAATATGTCAGTGATGTATTACTTGATTTACCGACGCTCGGTATCCTTTGATTAACGCGTTGGAAAAAAAAACCACGAAAGGTTCTCTCTTAGGCACCTTACACAACTTGGGGGTCTGCCACCCGTTTGAGAAAACAAACAATAGTAAGCAAATGGTTTTATGATTACAATTTAAAGCGTGGCATTGAAATTGGTAATGGCCATAATCATTTGATGAGCTCTAAAAGACAATAATTGTCCTAGTAATGTAATACCTGTAATATGTGTTTCGAAGAGTTGAAAGGGTTTACATTCAAGCCTAGTACAAACATAGGTGACCCGGTCGAAAAATCCCTTTGAAACTCCGCTAAAAGTTTGATAGGATTCCATGTTGACTCGTTCCAAGAAGCATCACTAAGAGGCCACGAACCGAGTCCGGTGATGAGGCTTTTTACTTCGTTTAAGGCAGTTTTTTCGATTTCTTCCTCAGCCATGCATGACTTGAAATAGTTTCTAGTTTTCCAAACAGCGTGTTCTTTGGGCAGCTCATCATTTTGTAGCAGAAGTAGCAACACTTTTTCGCTGTTAAGCTTGGCCAATTTTCCAAAAGTGGAGAACCAGTTGAGAGATGGTGGGATGGGGTTGTGCTTTATCCAACCGTCGCAGGAATAGTGGAAGAAGTCCTTACACGGGTCGACAGACTCGTTCATGTTCCTCTTCAATGCAGATGCCACTGCCAAACATGCATCCGAAGCGCATTGCTTTTGCATTTGTCCATTCTTCCCATCTGCTTTACCCGCTATATCTTTCTCATGGTCACGAGAAGCAACCACAACAAGATACACAGTGAGAGCAATGCAGATGAGAAGCAATGTTACACAAGCGAAAATCAAACCCATGATCACTTTTTTCCTCCCTTTAGAGTAAAAGAGAGAACGACTTGATTGAGAGTGGACACCCAAGCTCATGGTGCTTGAAGTAAAACCCGGCTCTGTATCAACTTTAGATCCATTTGAATCCATCTTAACTCCAGGTCCTTGTTACGTTGCCTCCTGCGGTAGCAACACTAGAGTGCTTACTTAACATCCAAACGTTTTGTATGTGTTTTATTTTATGACAGTATTGACATGGAATTCCGTAATGAGCTGACGTCAGATTGTGACATAAGATAAGCTTGTTTAAGTGCGATGTTTACACTAAACATTCTTTTGTTTCGAGATTTCCTTAGAAACCTTTCGGAACCTTTTATGAGGCGTACTGCCTGACAAACGGTTAATTTTTCCTCTCACTCTTTCTTATGCTCGCAGTGACATGCATTTTGTTATCTTTGACTTTTATCTCTTTTGGTCGCCACCCAGCGTTGCAAGAAGATCAATGCAAGGTGCACAGTTAAATATAGTGTGCTAAACTACGCGATTTCCCAAACATAATCACGGCCTGAAGTTTAATGATAATCTGAAGTTTCGAACTACATCCGCTGTAAGATCAACCTCCAAACATCAATCCACGGAAATTTAAACGTGTTCACAAATGAAGACAAAACACAAGAAAAAACAAACCAAACAAGGCAAAACAAAAAAGAATTAAAGAACAACGCAAGCCAAGATTGCATCATATGACTATTTGCCTAACGCAAAACTTGACTCCACCCACCTGAGCACTGTTATGATAAGTCAGTCAACATAATTGCATTAAGGGCACTCTAATTGTCAGATAAAAGGGCCGTCTAGACTCATTTCACCAGAATGATGAGTGATGAAAATGAGAAGATGAAATAAACAAAACAGCTGTGGGTCAGTTATAGCCGCAAAAACCAGTATATGAATTTTTAGCGGAGACAATAATTAGGCATGTTTAGACGGAGTAGAGATTTCTTTTTAATTACAGAGGTCTTCTTGTTAACAAAAGACGTGTAAAGAGGTTTCACATCAATCCGGGTTCTTTGAATTCAGAATTGATGTCTCTCTTCGGCATATCAGATTTGAGCAGGAAGCCATCGCAATCCGTCTGTAATTTACACTAAATGTATGGGTTATACCGCTCCAAGTTCTATGCTGTAATGATCTAACACTAAATACATGCGTATATCAAAGCTAATGAAACTCCAGTTAACCTCGTTACCACAGACGTGTTGTCGTCCTTTTGAACGAAGTACCACTTGAGGAGACTTTTCAAGAATTTGAGTTCACAATTGACTGTCAGCCACCCTGAGAGAGGACCGGGTGTGAGCAAATTTCGTGACTTTCGGGCAGGGGTCATGACGAAAAAAAAAAAACCAGTTCTTCTACTATCTATCCAACAGAAATTATACCACCACTGCATTACAAACTGACACTTTCCAACAGTCTATGATTTGCACGAGCATCACAGAAACTCTCCACTTTGCCGGATTACGTCTTTCTGATTGGACGCCGAAGTTTTGCACAATGTACCAAGCATGAGGCTCCACGGGTATTTCTCATGAGTCAAGCATTACTCACCACACTCTGAGTGGCTATTTTCCGAGGCTCGGAAATAATTAAGTTGAAAATAAAAAATTGACCCTTTCATTTCCTCCGGCGGAAGACTTTTGACCGAAGTTATTGAGATGTCCATCCATCGGAAAAGAGGTTGCTTTGTTTAGACATGTGTTAAACTGTCATATGACAACTTTCAGAGTTGTTTCCAACTTTGTGGGCCCTTCACGGGAAGCGAGCTGAAAGAAGGTCAGTGGGAAGAAGAAAAAAATCGACGGTTCTATGATAGAATGGTTATTGACTAAGTAAGGTCGAGCCAGACAGAAAAATATCTGGCTTTTAGAAATAAGGCTTGGACCTTGCTGCGCTCGGTCCGTACGCGTCATGGCCTAGTAATTTTTTTTAGTACTGTTTTATAGGCCATGACGACCCTGTTGCATAGCAGGAGTTCCGCCTACTTGTCTTCTTTTCGTCTTTGGTACAGATGTCGCGGCCCCCCTGTAGGCCCAACTCCGCAGAATGCTGCTTGCTTGAGTTCAAGTGTCAGTTCTTCACCCTCCGGGTGCGACGGACCTTTGAGATTCAAGCTTCCGCTTTTACTTACTGTTAAACTTTCATTTACTGCCAGAAATTAATTTATTTACCAATGCCTGATAAAATGTGTAATTATTCTTTAAAGATTCGTTCATTTACTTATTCATCTTTTAATCCATTACGTATCTTGCATACTTTTAGTTTTTAAATTTGTAATTTTTTTTTTATACGAGCGTCTTGTTTTGTCGAGCATAATTATGCTTCAAAGCACTTCCTGGAGAGGTAAAAAATTGATTGCTTGATTGATTGATACCCGTCAACACTTATTTTAACTGGGATCTATCGGATGACGAGCACCAATTTGGGTTAGGGGAGTATCTTGTAATAATTAAGATTCAATATTTCAAAAGATGGTAAATTCAGGGCAGATATGGCTCATTTTATGTGTTGCCGGTTTTAATTAAACAAATGAGATGATAATTTGCTGAATCCTTTCGAGTCGATAGACCGAAATTTGCCTTTTACAGCTTCTCCTTTGTCCTTCCGAAATATTCCACCATAAAGAGTAGAGTAGATTCTAACGAATCATGCATCACCGAATCGAAGATCGAAGTACTTCACCCACTGCTCCCCTACATTTAATGGAAAAACAGTGATGAAGGAAAAAGGTGTGAGTTAATAATCACGTAAATGAAGGGGGCAAGTTTCTATAGAAACTGTGGCGCTGCGTCGCTGACGGGTATTTCGTAGCAAATGACAAAGGGCTGACGCTCCAAACGTCAGCTTTGAAACTTTTTACGGTGGTCAATTTTAATTATCAACGCAGTTGAGAAAACGCAATAGTCACGTGGCCGACATGTGATCAACGAAATAGGTTACAGCACTACCATGTGCAAAGGGTGCTACACCGGATGTTGATTGATTTTTTTTCTGACCTATTTCAGCGTAAGCGAAGTTAAGTCGGACTTTGCTCTTCTAACGAATCACCAATGAAAAGTTCATCTCAGTTCCCCCTTTAAAAGCTTTGCTGCTCGTCATCTCCTGAGATGCTATTGGGTGAGTGAATTTGGTCGATGCTTTAGTCCCTTAAAGATTGGATAAAATATTATTAATTGATTAACTTTGATATCTACGAAAGGAATAACAACACAATGGTGCATGACGCACTTTTTGAGTACCAAATAAATCTGTTGCCCGGTTGAAATGATTTTACGTTTACTCTGGCACAAAGATGCTTCCTCTAGTGTCAAGATAAGAAATTTAATTTGTTTTCTGCTTATTAAAAGTTGAATGGGCTGTGCATTTGAAGGTTAAAAACATTGCCGGTGAATGATCTGTATGCGCACGGATTTCGGTTTAACTCAAATTGACCTATAAATATCTTACACAATGATTTGACAATCTTAATAAAAGGAAAAGGCTTGACAAATTTCCAAAATCTGTAGTTTCTAGCTTTTTTTTTTTTTATTTATCATGAACTAAAATGAAGATTAGTTAAAAAATGATAATGAATATTAGAACGAAGCGGGAGGCCATATTTTTACCACAGAGTGATTCCGGGCAGCAAACCACATCCGTAGATAAGTGCATATGCTCTTCTTTGGCTTCTCAATCAAAACTGGCATTTAATTACCGATTACCGAGAAATTACTCTCTCAAAGATAAGAACCAAGGCAAGGAAAACAGTCGATGAATACTGGGTACAGACGCAGTCATTTCGTTTAATCCATTACAGAAGAGGTTCGTCTCGATTTTTACAACAAAAATTACTGTTATATTTGCGTTTTAAGGGCTGAAATAAGTTTCTTGTATATAGCTATATTAATGGGTAGATACGATAAGCTGTTCAATAAATCAAACGTATAATCTAATTTAATAGTTGTTGGGTACAAAATTCTAACCTGGATTATGGATTATGGCTTATAACTTTAGGTAAATTCACAACTTCGATCTACTTGAATTCCAATTGAATTAATTCCTCTTCTTTCAAGCATTTACCGAGCTGGTTATTTCACTGACCTTTTAAGCCAAAATTTGATGAAAACACAACACGTTTTACAATCTAAATAGATACAAATAAACTCAAAAATCGTATTCGAGTAATTATTTCAGTGTTTTAAACTTTCACCCACCAAGCTGTTACTCACCGGAAAAGGAATATTTCAGTTAAAGTTTTTGGTTTCTTTTCCTCAATCAAACACAGCCTTACACAATTTTTTTTATATTCATAAGATTTCGACGTCTTCAAGTTTTTTTAATTTCACATCTATAAGTCAAATTTCCCACAAGCAAAGCTTATAAAATGCCTGGCAAAGCACAGCACGTAAGTTGATAAACAAAACGTTCCGATGAAGTCGAAAGGTCTCTCCATAGAAGTTCTCTCTAATGATTTCAAATCATTGATTATATTTTAAAGATCCAGACATAAAATCTAACACGTATGGTTTGAAATGTTGCAAGGACTTGCTCTGTTATTAATCTGTGGAATTATGTATCTTTATTTCAATTGGTTACGTAAGTAACAGCAGCAGCAGTGCTAGAGACAGAAAAGAAAAGGAGAAAGAGAAACTGAAGCACATTGAAACATTGAATAATAACTCACAATGATCACAACAGTACAAATGTCACCAGCAGCCAACATCCTCGCTTTGTAGAATTGATTCAGGGATGTTGCTTGACATTTTGAGTTTCAAACCAAGCTTTGCAACTGAAGCAGAAGTACAGCCCAACCTCGATTATCCGGACCTCGATTATCCGGATTTCTCAATTACCCGGAGTTTGTCTCGCTTTCAAAAAGCAAAAGCAGCGCTCGCACGCGTCGCAACTAATAAAGAACATTCGATTGAGGTCTAGTTGGCTTAGAGTTGCTTTATTGCTAAGTGAAAATGAACTCTTAACATCGCCACAGCTGTCAGATGAGCAAATTTTAGAGAGCGTTGTTGAACAGTCTTCTTTGGAAGATGAAAGCAGCGGCGATTAGGAAGATGAAGGCCAAGATGAGAAAATTGTTTCGAACTCTGAGGCTGTTGAATGCTTTAAAAAGTGTTTATTATGGATGGAAAGACAGAACAATGTTGACGCTATCCAGATTGTGCAGCTTCGAAGAATGATGGAACTCTCAATGCGCACGCGATGTTCTTCTTTAAGACAAACTGACTTACTTCGACATTTTAGGCCTATGTAAAAACATTTTTCACCAATTTTAATTGTTAATACACACTTGTGGAGGTATTCACAACAGTGTAGATGTAGACCACATTTTTTTCAGAACGATTTATAAATGTTTTGTTTCACGATTAAATGTCACTTTCTTCATTTAATCAGTTTTTGTATCTCATTAATATTCATATTCTTGATTATCCGGACTATTTCGTCCAGTCTCAACGAGTCCCGATAATCAAGGTTCAACTGTACTCCTTAAAATGTCGCTCAAATCTTTTTCGTTCAAATATGTTTGCTATTTTGCGCGGTCTTCTAGAGTCTCTTAGAAACAAGAGATTACTAAACTTTATCAGGAAAAGGTCACATTTTTTTATGTTTAGAGTAAACTGGTACCCTTAAGTTCTTACTTTAAGCCATTGTAAGCCTTTAAGGTTATCATAGGTTCTATCACTTTCTGTAACTGAAAAAAAAAAAAAACTCTAAAGAAGTAGTACAATATTTATCAGGCCAAGTTCAGATGTAATTTCTTTACTGTTATGAAAATCACTTACCAATATCATATGCTGAGAAGAATTTTGAGGATCGATGTCAATTTCTACGCTGAAGAGGGGTGTGTCTGTAAGATCTCTGATCATTATTTGCAAAACCTTAGACCATTCCCACTGCGAGGCGTTCCACGTTTTCTTATCCAAGGGCCAAGAGCCATATTTGGATATGTGTGGTGTCAGACTGGTGTTTGTTGCCTGTTCCACTGCTTCCTCATCAACGCAGGAGTGAAAGTAACGTTTAGTCTTCTTAACAGCACTTTGTTCCGGAAGCTCATCCACTTCTTCCATAAATTCACGAAGCTTCCTCGCGTTCTCGTCATCAGCTTGAATGAAAGTATCATACAAAATTTTTGAGGGAGGAATCGGATTTAGTCTGATCCAAGAAGCACAAGAATGTTCATAAAAGTTTTCACAGGGATCAACAGACGAGTTCATGTTCCGTTTCAAGGAAGCAGCAACCTGCAAGCAGTCCGAGGTGTAACAATGTTGATCTAGACTCATAGAGCCTCCAGGCGCTTTAGTCGGCTCCATGTTCGACCGATGATTCTTTTTTACTTCTCTGACAAGAAAGATGACTAAGATAAGGCAAGCGATGGCTGAAAGGACGGTAATCAACACAGCAGCCACGAGACAGGTGTTTTGCCGAGTTTTTCGGATGTAGAAGTCTTTTTTGAGTTGGTCAGCATCTTCACTATCTCGAAGATTCTTGTTTTTGTCAATTCCGAGCGCCTCTGTGCTTGATGTTCCGGCCGCGCCGTTCCATTCGTTTAAATTATGTGACATTATCATCATAAGGAAGCTACAACTGACTCGTAATAGCCTCTATGGAAAATCAACGTTCTTGATTTCGAAGCTAAATACTTTCTGATTAATGTCGAGTCATCCATCAGAAACTGACAATTAAAATCTTGTTATTTCAAGCCATTTAAGTCTAAAAATCCTATTGGCCCAAAACAAGAACATTGGCTTTTGATGATGGATAACTTGACAAGTAATTGTAAGGTTAGCATTAAAAGATCATAAGGACTTTTGAAAAAAAAGTTTCCAAACACAATGGAAAGACGAAAACAGCAGGTGAGGTCTGATGAATTAATACAATTGCTGGAAAAATGATCAAGTTACGGAACATTCATAACGTAAAACTGGAAAATTCTAAGCACAAAGATTCAAAAATTTTATATAAGGGCAAAGGAGAGTCTCTGTTCGAAAAAAATCAATATACTTGTCTGCATATGTTGTGTCACGTCTAAGTAATTTGAAGTAAATTGACCGTACACAATATTTTACCTAAAGAGTATTATAAAACTCTTTAAGTGCCGAGTTTAGAGGCTTTTCTTTGGCTTTTGGGGGTTGCTTTTGGTTATGATATAGCGGGGCTACCCATGAAGATTGTCATAACGGAGTTGCCCTCTCCAGTCACTCAACGAGAAGTGCAGACTCTGAGCTGAATTCGAACTTAGGGCAAATCGCTTTCGTGGGCAATATAAACGATTCATAACTTCTTGTCTGATTAATTGCTTCCGTGACTGATTATGGTCGATTATTTTTCAACTTAGGTCGATTGATACTTTTACCGAAAACGTTATTTGAAACAAGAGGATAGAGATCGGCTTTTAAGGCCTCGTAATTCCAAAATTTTAGGGAAGAAGTTACGGAAACAGACAAAAAGCGGCAAAAGCCCCATGAATTTAAAGCTTTGATAACCATTTTTAACACGCTCTTAATAACATGTAATAGCGTAGACTTGTGAACACGCTTTTTCCGTGTATTAGTGATGGATTACAGCTAGACTAACAGAGGCTTTTGGGGTTAACAAATAAGATTTGTCAACGGAAGGCTAGAAACATTTAATCATTGGGGCGGTCAGGAAATATTAACAATATTATTAAGAGGAACGTGCAGGAGAACACACAGTAAAATGTATGTTCATTTCGAAAATTCAAATAGCTACGGAATACTGAATGGATTATGTAATATTTACAACACAAATCCGCAAACTCCACTTTTTGTTTTCATGTGTTTTTTTTTTTCTTTTCTTGTTGTTTTTTATTTATTTTTCCTCGTTGAAAATGACTCTAGAGGTCAAAACTATCATAATTCTCTACAAGTTTCCGGTAAATTTATCGAAAAGATGAAATCAGTATACGCCGAAACGGGAAAAAGACCTAAAATCAACATCCGAAAAGACTGTTATCTTTAGCAAACATTTCGAGAGGTCGTAGGCCGATATGCAACCTTGTGGATACTTGAAATTCTTTGGCGGGTTCGGTCATGGCCGAGGAACAACCCACTGACTGGTTTCAAATATGATTTCAGATTTCATAAACAATGATCAATTCCTGAAAATGTATGTTATAAATCTCAAAAGACCTTTCATCCTTTCCCACTTTGGTTCGTGTTCGTGTAAATCAGGATCAAGGATTCACCTCACGAAACTCTAATTACCTTCAACGGATTAACTTAAGTTGCGTTAAGTCTCCACAAGGAAAACGTTACCGACTTTGCAAAAAAAAAAAAAGATTAACCGTGTTTCCTTCTCTCTTACTTAACCTAGTTAACACTTCCGATAACTTAAAAACCACATAGGGCCCTCAATCTCCTTACAACACTGGTTACGTAATTTTTCAAATTTCATTAGAATCTTGTTACCTTGGTCAAGCGAAAAAGTGACCTCTGTTTGTAAATCGCATTGGAAAAATACTTTTGTCTCGTCATAAGAACATTAGGATTGTATTGCTTAAAAGTTGCACGCGACAAAAGAATTCTAAAATTTCTGGGACTGTGCTTTATTATGAGATGCTGATTTAATAAACTCAGCGCGGAGTAACACGCCCCCTCTCACATAAGTAATCAGCCCGTTTTGGATTTCCCTATGAGCGGGCTTTTTGTACCCACATGTTGTCAGCAGTTTCGGATTACCATATAGGAATAGTTCCTTTCCCAAAACTATTTCTGCGGTTTTTAATCTACATCAAAATGACCGACACCATTAACAACATTAAGAAGCTTACTTGACAACAAATGTCGCAGTCAGGGGAAATAGAAGTATACGCAAACAGCCGTTTAAGAAAAGAAAACATCTATTCGCCTCTTATCTTGAAATCTAACCCTAAATGAGCCTTCCTTTCACCACTGAGCAATTTTTGAATGGAATTAAACGAAACGTATTCTATCAGAGGTAGATCCAAGCAGAGGGGCGTCGTCCATTGTTTAATTTCAGTTTTTGTAGAAGTAGGAAAGGCGACGAGCCTTAAGGAATCCTTTAAAAGGGACGTGATCTAATGAAGAGTGCAATCCACGTTACACGTCCGCATGTGCTGAACTCTGGCCTTATATGGGAAGGGAATGCTCCTAATACTGCGCTATACCTCATCAGTTTGCTTGACAGTGAACAGTTTGCCTGCTTATGTTTGGGTAAATCTGCACCTGGTTCACCAAAGCGCTTGGTGCATACAGCATGATGATCAAGGTTGAATAGATTTCCCTGCCCTCGCATAAGCTTTCGCATTCTGTCACTGATACCTGTTAGATTCGCAAGACTGAAGCACTTTAACACTCCAATGACCACCCGTCGGATTTACCCAATAAGCCCGTGCTTTCCGGTCACTAAACGAAATAAAATGGTGCATACTTATGAAATTACCCAACTAGGGGGATAACTTTCAGCTGAGAATCGTCAGTTCGTGAATTATGAAAAGATCAAATGCTGGCACAATGAGAGATAAACCGACAAAACTTACGGCTGCCCGGGAGAAGCGTTGGGGGAACTTCAACGAGATAGGGAAAGTTGCGTTCTATTCATAACAAAACAAGATGTCTTATTATCTTCTTTAAAAAGCAAGTAGCTTTCTACAATCCAATCAGTTACACATGTCCGGAAAGTCTTTCACAGATTTAAGATGTATGGGAACGTGACGATTCCACAATTAAAAGATGAGATTTTGAATGGAGAGCGCACGAACGCAAGTCAAAGGTTAACAATTTCTGTCGAGGTCAGGCCGGAGAACGCTTAACGCAACCTCTCCATCAGGGGAGGGGGATGGGGAACGGTTTTCGCTTCGAGTTAGAGTTTAACCCAATTACCTGAATAACCTTGCATTTCAACTTAGTCCAATTTTTCAAATAATCGGTCAGATATAATGCTCTGTAAAACAAGCGGTGAACCGATCATAAGGCTGCCTGCCACGCGCAAATAGCCGCAAAACACAAAACAAGAGAACGACGTTAATTTCAGTCAAATTTACCAATTTATTTACAATAAAAAATTTAGAACTCTTGAAATAAGTTAATATGATTGTAATATTTACAAGCCATAAAATTATTGTCTCGAAATTACAAGAAGGTTCCACTTATCCTTCTTTTACAGATACAAATCTTATTGCTTAGTGTTTTTTTTAACAGGAAAGGAGAGTTACTTAAATAAGATTAACTCATTCTGCAAGTTACCGGGCGTCTCTGTCGGCGATGCTTCATTCAAAGTCGTCTGTTTCGTACCTAAAAACAGCAAACAACACTGTGATGATCAAACTTACTAACCCTCTACACCATACTATCAGTATGCATACCCTCCAAACTATTTTCCAGGCATTTCCAAAGGTGCTGACAAGGAGAGTTTTATTCAAAATCTAAAGCTTTTCAGTTGGTGATCATTTCCTTTATTCTTGTGTCCTTAATGTTTCATTCAGGGGTGATATTGTACAGAGACATTAGGTGCTAGTCACTTGAAAGGGTGAAAGTGTTAGAGACACATTTCCCTCGGACCAACTCGCAAAGAGAATTTGAAAATTTGAAAATTTGAAAATTTGACAGAAAACCGGAGAACCTAGAGAAAAACCTCGGGGGGGGGGGGGGGGGAAGAGGGCGCGAGTGCTCTAACCAACTGCGTCACTCCTACGCTCCTATAAATTTCTATACTACAGGTTGCACACATAGATCTGGGGATTGAGTATCTCGCGCAAAAACTGAAAGAAACGCGACAAATAGAAGTTTGCGGCGCAAGTTTTCCCCCTGCTACAGAGGGTGGACCCTAACTCAAACTCCATCCCGGCTGCAATCTCCATCTTAAGGATCACAGGGGTAGATTGGGGGCAGTCATTCGCGCAGAAAGCATGATGACCCACTGCAGGACAGGGTATGGTGTCTTTCCTCAACGGGAAGTGTAATTTTACGCGAGTCCGTCTAAATCATCAATGCCAGAACTTGTTCTTTCATTTCACTTATAAAACACCAAAACTTCTCTAGTGACTGTCTAGAAATAGTTCCTTCTAGTAAAAATCACCTCGCCCAAGGTGACTAGAGTATTATATGACACAAAACGTATTAGGGCGCGTGCATCTCTCTAATCTCATATGGGGACAATTAAACTAATATACTGTGAGCACATTACCATGGTCTGTCGTCCTGTTGATATCCATCAAACGAATAGGGTAACGTTTCATTTCCAAGGTTTTCCTATTTCGAGAGTAAAAAAGGTATTGATCAGTTATATTGACGCAAAAAAAGACCTTGGTTTTGACAAAACTCATCAAGAAGATATGAACAACGACTTAACGCGAGACACGACCGTGCAACTTCCACCGACAACAGACAAGAACATTTCTCCCTTCAAACACATGTTCCCTTTAAAGCATGTTTGAGAGAGTCCTAAAGTTTAAAACCACCTTCCTCAAACCTATCCAGTCTTTTAAACTAACAGCTTCTGAGTACGCTAGTAAAAGCTACTATGAAAGCTTATGTTGCCACGCTGGTTGAAAAAGTGAGAGTCGGCCTTAAAAATATGCGACGGTTTCCTCAGGAAGCAGCTACAAAATAAAATATAACGATACCAACAAAGAGGATTTAAAGCTCTCAAATGGTGCCATAACCTACCGGGACAGATTGGACAGGTTGTTGAATAACTACAGACGGAATAGAAACATGCTCCACACTTTTCATGACTCCGTTCCTAGACAAAGGACTTCGACTCACTCGACCATACCCACTCGTACCAGTACCAAGCAAAGGAATCCTGCCTGTCCGCGCCGGCGGTTTAGGCGGTTCGCGGGATTTCTCATTAGACATGTCTGTCTTCATATTAGATACACTGAACTCATTCGGTGATTCATTCCACGAAACAGTTTTCGTCTCTGCGCTCCCAACCTCGGAGGATTGTCTATGCAAAATTTGCCTTGAATTCGTTAAATTCTTGCTGTGCTCTTTCGATCGACTCGACAGGGGGTACCCCCTTCGAGACCGTAGTCCGTTGTTACGCTCTCCATTACGTTCAGCATCACTGTCCGAGCTTGTAACTGTGCTCTCAGAACTAAACGAAGGAGATTTACGTCTATTTGGGATTGATCGTAACCTTGAAGGTGTGCCCACTCTAACTGTTTCACTTGTAGATTTTTTCCCGTCTTGAACAGCTCTTATTTGTACGTCACTCTTTTCTTTCGCAGTATATGTGCCAGAGTTTGGTCGGCTTCCAGATGTCGAGTCTGTCCGAGCAGGAGAATGGGATCGAGATGACGACGGGGAATAATAATTGTCGGTTGGTAGGACTTGTAGACTAGAACCTTCGGAATGAATGATTTTTAAGGTTGAATGTAAAGTGTTTTACTCAAACTCGAACTTCAAACCAATGGACGACAACTAATTGCACATATGCCAGGGAAATAAAACGTGTTCAACACACCTTTACAAAGAACTGAGGAGGAATTAGTTAGAAAATTCAAAGGTTTACATGTGTGAGCTATTGCTTGGCACATGGAAAATACCTTTTATGCTCGGCTGCTCCAAAGACAAGCCACCAACTCTGTCAGGTGTCAATTTGGTCACGATCAGCGATGATTCCTCCACCTTTTGAGCATGTTTCGACACAACAAGTCTGCGAGTGTTAGCCGCAATTTGTTTCCTACAATAAGAGATAATTATATACATATCTAAGGTAAAATGTGAATAAATAAATACATAAAAAACCATCTATCTCCCACCATGCATACCCCGCCGAAAGTTTAGACTACTTAGCAATATGGATGTTTAGTCAGGATTACCCATATAACGCCTGAGGAGCTTTTTGTAATTTGTCGTTGTTGCACATGTTGATGTGGTGTTGCTCGAAAACAAGTATCTTTCATCATTGTTCACACAAAAAAAAAAAAATAGCGCAGCTTTGTTGACGAGATTTGTTTGGTCTTAGAAGACTTCTAAGAGAGTTTGTAATGAAAAAAGTAGTATCGTTAAACCATAAGAAACATCTTCGTTTTATATACTTGAGGTTTCGAAGATATCATTGAGCATATTTTGTTCATAGAGGAGTCTCGAACGAAACTAAAAGCTTTAATCTTCTGCAATCACTCCGCTCTCAAACCTACTCACGCTGGCTCAAGTTTTCTCTCTTCTAAAACACTTACGCCATTACATACTGCATGGCCGAGGTATCTGTCACTGTCTCGGACCTAGACGTTGGTGAAGAGACACCCGAACCTCTGGAGTCTATGCTTCCCCTTGCACTCGTTTTTCTAAGATTTTTTAACTCTTCAAACTGACGAGCGCTCTTCACTTTAGCCTCTTTGTTCATGACTGTCGCACCATCAGTATTACGCTTTTGCTGCTGATGCCATTGTTCAGGGCTTTGATCTGATCCGTTGACGTGATAGCGATATGCAGTTCTAAGTGGCACAAGAAAGAAACCGTATGAAATAAAGTTAAAAGCAGACAGTCTGTTATTCCCTTCTTAAAGCAATCTCTTTACTTAACTAAACAAAAGAACGGGGTAGGTTTCCAAAAATCTGTAGTGTTGCGGAAGTGAGGGGTATTTCAACTGAGTTAATACTGTAAATTGGTAACCGTAAAGAGTTCCTAAAGCTGCCGTTTCGACCGTTAGTCCTTCGTCAGAGCGAACGAACGGCCCCCCCACCCCACTCCCCCCAAGTCGACGAATACCTTTGCATCTGATCGGTTGAGAAGGTGGCGCAAGTTTTCTCGACGAATGGCAGAGCGAAGTGAATTATGTATTGAACCGAGTTGTGATCCCAGATTACTTTCAACACTCCTCTGAACACTGACAGTTACATCAAGACGAGATACCAGTTCATTACAGTCCACCGTCACCTGGTTCGAGAGGAGGTGACTTAAATGTACTGTCAGCTATTTGTGCGGCGGAGGGTTTTTCATCCTCGTTGGGTCTTGTTAGGTCTTCTTTTGTTCTAATTGACTTCAGTGATCCGTTTTGTTTTGGTTTGAGAGCACTCCAAGCTCCGCGTGGTGGCTTTGTCCCCGTCGATGCTTGTAAAGGAAATGTGTGAGCACTGGTTTCTACCGTTATTTCGGGTAGTATGAAGTCTATCAAAAAAAAAACAAATGGATTGGGTACTATATTTGATTTGCTCACCTGTCATGCCCAAATCCCTTAGGACTTTCTCCATCTGGTGTACCATTAGTCCGACTTCTCTCACTGTGTGGGCTATCTTGTGATTTAGCAGCCATCTCATCGTCCATTGGTTTCGTAGCTCCAGTGCTACTTGTATCGCTCTGAAAGAAAAAAAAACACAACAAGAAGAAATTAAAAGATAGGATTCATCTTAAGACTGAAACTCAAACTAGAACAGGGCTCATACAGGCGAGCGCAACCTTAAGAGAGTTCTCACCTAAACACACCCTTTACAGGCCGCATTAATTTTGTATTATTGGTGATAAAAGACGCACACCGTTGTGGGTTTCCTAATGTTGTTTTAAAAGCGTGGTATTTTAGAAATTCACAATGGGTTCTTTCCAGTAAATACCAAATAGAAACATGATTCTAGTAACACTCAGTCGCTACCTTTTGTCGAATCTCTTTCTGATGAGATACTCTTACCAGACTATACCGTAACGTATACAATAAAAAATAAAATTGCCAGGTGGGCCCTATAACGGAGAACATATTAAATGGGACGATATAGGGCTTATTTAGGGCCAATGCTATAATCAGTAAATAGCATCGGCCTCGAAGAAGCTCTCTGATACAGTGCCAGCCTTTTAATTTACTTGGTTTAAATTATTTCTTTATGTGAGAAATTTTACCAAAAAATATTAATCGTACCTGATCTCCTCCTACAGCCTCTGGTCTGTCAGGCATACCAGATCTTGCACGACTTTCAAGAACCTGTTGGCATAACAACCGCACTGTTGAAACTCTCAACTCAAGAACATGAAACTCGACCATAATTTACCAAAAAGCGATGACTTACTTCCAGCCTCTTTTTGAGGTCTTTGTTCTCCTCTTTGCAATCTTTGAGTTCTTTGTGTAACTTCGCCACCCTTTGGGAAAGTAACCAACACGATTCTTCCATTACCAAGTAACGGGCACAACCGGTCTGACCGGCTGCGTAAGCGTAATCAGCAGGAGAGCGCCCATCTTTATCGGCAGTGGTGACATCAATATTGTGATCCACAAGGGTCTGAAGACAAGTCATGTGACCCTCCCTAGCAGCGACGTGGGCAAGTGTGACACCGGATGAATCAGCCACATCTGCAAGGAAAACGTGTTCAAGCTAATAGGTCAGAAATTCAAATTATATTTCATCGTAAAAGATAATGTCAAAGAATAAAGGGAGAAAGCTGGTGGCATGCAAGGGAACGGAAGGGGAGGGAGGGGTTCTTGGGCGAGTTCACCCGTTGTCCAGCCCCTCACCTATCAACCACCCCCATAACTGAAATGTTTCCTCTCCCCAATCTTCCCCCGATTTGACAATCTAAGATGGCGGCCACACACTTAGCAAAGGTCGGCAGAAATTTTGAGAGTTAGACTGGCGTGAATACGCCTTCAATGTAAGCTGAAGAGGTTAGAGTTGCACTCTATAGATTTTGGTTAATATAGATTGCAATACATGCAAACTCCCACAAGTCAGAGGACACTTTGAGAGGTGAGACTGAAATGCAAAAAAAAAAATACGCACCACTCATCTATCGCATATTGAAACAAAATGACAATATCTCCTTGATTTCCTTATTTGATTGCTATAGTCAAATTCCGAAGCATTTGAAATTTCTCGTAGAAAAACATCCAAAGGCAAAGAGGATAGAAGATAGATGATAGAAAATTATACCCTCATTAATGAGGCTAAGAAAAGCCACCTGTTAAGTAAACATATTTATAGACAAATTCAATTATCAGATATTATCAGAAAAAAAAACGCCTTTTACCAAGCTCTAAATATTTGCCACTTATGTAAGACAACAGGTACTTCAGACACTCATCCTGTCCACTTTGAATTGTCAGTTGGATCAGTGCTAATCTGCCAGGATTACTAGACATTTCATCAGCAGAGGAAGTGTTTTCCAGCAACCACTGTGCACATTGAACACTTCCATGCTAAAAAAAAAAGGAGAGAAGAGTATAATAAATAAGTAAATGGCTTAATAAAAAAAACAAAAATAAAAATATCTTTCAATTTTAAGGTAAAGTTGTTGAGCCTGCACAGGCAAGACTGAAGGGAATTCTTCCTTACAATGTCAGTTAAGCTTTTGACCCCCTACAAGTGACTAGCATCTAATTTCTCTCAACAATATCACCCTTGAATCAAACATTAAGGTCAAAGAATAAAGAAAATGATCCCCAACTGAAGCAAATCCTGATTGTTGAACAAATTCTCACTGTCGCAACCTTAAGAAATGTATAGAGAATAGTATGGAGAATATTCATATTGATGTTTGGATGCAAAGGGTTAAGAGTGAAGAGAAGAAAGAAAAATATCAAGTAAGGGATATTGTTGAATTAAGAGGCAAATTCTCAGAGCTTAAATTATGAGAACTGAACGAGAGAGGGTGTGGAGAATTGACATTTGCATCTTGAACATTTTTAAGGGGTAAAGGTAATGTGTTCACTTGAGCAACAGTAAAATGAGTGTGAACAGGGCACAGGGCACACATGTAAGTGTCTACGTTAGTGGAAATGTGAAAATGAAGTACAAAATTGTGTTTTACCCATCATTTCAGGCCACCTGACCATTAAACCCCCTTGGAGTGAGAAATTTGTCCTCAGAATGTCACCCCTGAATCAAACACTAAGGTCACAAGGATGTGAGACATTATCACTGACTAAAGACACTCATGACTGTGACAGTCAAGTTCTCCTCATAAGCACCAAGGGAAATGCTTGCAGAATAGTATAGAGAATATGCATATTGATGTTAGGTTATTTATATTCTTGGGTGGAAAGGGGCACTTTGAGATTAAAACACCTTGCTGTAAAATACAACACAGAGACAAAGATCATAGCTGCACCTTCGAGACTGAGATCCAGTGTACTAACAATAACACTTTGGTGTCTCCCTTTCCACACCTTATTGAGGTACAATTATTCTGGTGGTATAGAGCTGGGTTAAGCATGATGTTTACAGCAAATGATAAGGAGAATTCATTAAAAAATCAATAGTTTCTTTAGATGATGATCATTTCCTTTATTCTCATGACCTTCAAGTGTGTAAGGGGCTATAACTGTAAGGAGAAATTGGATAGTCAAACTTAGATGTCAAATAGTTAAGTTCACTAATTCTGAACTTAGCTGCTGCTTTTTTCATTCCATGTCAGAAACAGAACAAACATGTGTAATGTTAAGAGTGAAACTGTGATGTCAGTTATCATGACGATTTAAGTAACATAGAACTCAAACCTTCAATGCTATAGCCAGAGGTGTGTGGTAATCTTGGTTTGTAATATTCCTCACACAGTCATTTGGAAGCTCTCCTACAAGCCACTGAAGGCAAGCAATATTACCAGCCTGTGCTGCTTTGTGTACAGCTGTGTTTGCACATGAATCTGTAACTCTGATTACTATTTCACTAGTTCCTCCAAGCTTGCTATAAGCCTCTTGCTGTTGGATAAAACAGTGGAAGACAGTCAAGTATATTATCACAGCTTCGTCCTCTATAAACAGAATATGATATAAAAAAAAGTTCAACTTGACCTCCCTTGGTTTAAACTACTAGTACAACTATCACATTCTATCATTCAGTGGAAGTACCAATCAAACTAAGAGGTATTCAATTTAACCCTGTATTTGTTTTAATTTCCAAAAGTTCATAAAGTGATCAGCTATGTTGAATGCCATAAATCAGAAAAATCAAAATCAAAAGACAACAGGTTTATCTTACCATGCCTCTCAAATCCCCAGCTTGTGCGGCTTCAAGGAGATGTTCTTTCCATTCATCTGTGTTGAACACACCATATTTACCCCAATTATTCACCTTTGAAATAGATGCTTGCACTTTAGAAATTCTAGCAGATCTAAGTAACTGTTCTCTCAGCTGAGAAGGGGAACTACTGTTAACTACATCAGTGCCATTGACAGCAGTATCTTTAGTTGCTGTGCCCCCAGGTTGAAGTGCCTTGGATGCTGAACTCTGATTGGCTGAAAAAGCATGGGATGGCTGGTTATGATTCCTTGTGGTGGCATTGTTTTCCTCTCGAGCTAATTCAGCGTGAATGTTAAGTAGTGATGCTGTGCTGGCAACTGAATTGTAGTCATCAAAATCATATTCCTCCAAATCACATTCCTCCACCTACCAATAAAAATATAAGATGCTGATTAGTACAAGGACAATTAGAAAAAAAAAAGGTGAGCTCTTTACTTGAGCCAAACAGCCAGTCCAGCCATTTCCTTAGCATGAAGGGACTAAGAGTATTGTTACCTCCTCCCCCCAATCCATCACAAGGTTACCCCCTGACAATTTGTCAGAACCCATTTATACTCTTAGGTGGAGAGAGGTAGTGTGATAGTAAAGTGTTTTGCCCAAAAACACAACACAACTGACTTGGTCAGGTCTCAACCTTGAACCCCTCAGCCCTGGACTTGCCAAAAATAGGCCAGCACTAAAGGGTGATTCACAAAGTAAATCACACAAATAGTTCACAACTCTGAGATTAATGCTTTTTGGTTTGGATTGTCCAAGGGATGTTTTTTCGTTTGCTGTGATCATGTGTTGTTATCATCTCGCTTACCTGCAATTCTTCAGGACTGCCATTAAGTACTTTTAGACATTCATCTAAATACTGTTCGTCTTTTTCAAAGCTTCGTGGTTCATCAACAGAACTTCCCTCCTCTAGGATATTTGTAAGGATCAGATCTCTTTGTTTTCCAGGTCTGGAGAGAAATCAGAGTTACTAATTTTAAAGGTTCTCTTAGAATTGTGAATCAATGCTGCTTTTTGATATTTAGTTTTATTTACAGTTACCAGTACCATAAGTTTTGAAATTCATATTGGGAAAACTGTTTTAACTTTCAAATTTACCATGTTTTCTAGCTGAGCTTTCAATGCAATTGTTAGAAATACAAATGCTAACAGTTTTCCGTTTTCATTTCAGGTAAGGTGGTTAAAGAGACCAATAAGTATACAATTTTCTGATCTAAAATGAAAGACTCCTCATAACTCCAAAAACAACTGTACAGATCACAGTTGAGAGAATATGTATCTTGATATTGGCACTCGATACTATTCACAATTTATCAGTAATCATTATGAATAAATTTATTGATCAAAAGCTCTGAAAAACAGATTTGATGCAAACTTACCTGTGAATTGTTGCTTCAGTTGTGTGCAAGTCTGGTCCATCGCTGTGATTTTTCAGGCTAATGGCTTTTTTCACTTTGTTTAATTTGAACATCAGTCAGAGTAAGCATTCGCTGGTTCATTCATGCCAGACCAGCTCCTTAGATAAACCAGCTTGGCAACTAAAATGTTTTTAAAGTTTTCAGTGACTTGATCATCTTGGGAACTTCACATGTTTGAGAAATTTCAACCTTGAAACAGAATAACAGGCAAACAGAATGATTTTAAGATTAATAGAAGTCTAGAAAGTTCATTGTTGAGCTAACATCTAACTAATGTAATTTGAATTTGCTGGTGCTCTAAATAGCCATCATTGCCATCATTACGAAGTGCTTCAAGTACAGGATACAAATTCAATACTAGTCCAAGTATATTATACCAATAATATGTAATTTTCTTTCTGTACTTCCAATTTTATATTACTACAGTAATAAAATCTTGCCTTAAACTTCAAATTTCTAATAACCATCCCAGCCCCTCTCCCATAAGCCCCATGCTTTTCCCTTTTCCCATAGAAAAACCCCAAAGTAGTTATTATATACTGATATTTGTGCAGGGTAGCACCTAAGGACAGGTTATGCACGTATTTGGAAGCCTGTGCCAGTTTCCGCTATAAATATCAAAGGTTTTCCAATGCAAGAAATGTACCCTACTCAGGGTATTCATAACATTTGGGTATCAGTGAAAGAGAAAAGTAGAAAATTTCAGTTTTGTCCTCAGAAGGTTTTTAACATGCCCTAACTCATCTTAATACACTGGAATTTAATAATTCCCATTTAACAAAGGCTTATTTGAGTACATGTATTTATAGTATTTACTTTCAATTGTCTGTGAGTGTGGGTTCTTATCAACTTTTCATATCAACATGTTGGGTTGTGATTATCTTTTGTTTGTGATTATTTCACTATGATTTCTTTTTTGCTGTTATATTCTGGCAGTTTTGCTGGTGATTTATTAGAGAAAAGCTAGAAATTTTAATAAGAGCTCTTGGGCAATACACTTTCCTCTCAGAATACCTCTCTCCAACCACTAGTGCTGCCTAAGTCTTACCGAGACATTATGATAGAGAAGCGGGGAAAGAGTGTACTGGATTGAATAAGCTCCTTATCTAAAGGGATTGGCACATCCTCAGTAATCTTGTTATTCTATGGAAACCGGGATCAACGCCAGCCTTTCCGCATGTAACCAGCAGTTTACGTTTACAATCCACAACAGCATGTAAAATAATCGTAAACAATTAAACATTTTCGGTTTCAAAAATGAATCTTTGTGAAATATCAGAGACAGCTAATTTGTATCGAAGATGACTACATAACTTTAAGAAAATGTCGAACGATGGCTGGCTTCCTTCAATTCATCATTGCTGACACGAAACGAAACGATAATTTACAATGTAAACAAAATCGACGGGGGTTGATCAAATAAGGCTGATGGCTGAGCATAAAGTGCTCAAAACATTTTAACATTTTGAGACAAACGCAAATAAAATAATCAAGAAAGCGATAGATTTATAACTTGATTTAGAATTATAGCTCGAATATGCGATAAAACCGATATACATGACCTTGGTTTAGATATCGAAAAGGGAAGTCGAATGTTTTTGTAATATAGATTTGATATTTGACTTTTCATGACAATTCGACCTCTACAATCAGATACGATTTGCAGGCTCTTTACGATGATCTGTTAGCGAGAAAGAAACAAAATCGAATTGTTCAAGATATAAAGAATGAGTCGGTGAATAATTAGGTTCATTTAGTGGACTAAGCAGATTATAATTTGACGTTTGAAAATAGAAACGGATATGGTCGAGGTAGACAGATTTGTCACTGGTCACGTCACAGCGGATTTCGATGTGTTCTGTTCGATGTCATATTGGTTCTCAAACTCACGCATTCACGTAGTTTTGCAATGCCAAAATGAAATTTTCAGTCAGTATTTAGTTCGTACTCGTGACTAGTCTACCCTCTCGGGACACAACTGTCAAGATAAAATGTGGTTTCAATAAATATTTGCACAGCTAGAGCTCGTCACAGGATTGTGTACACTAAATATCAGCGATTTTCATCCGCGTTCAATATTTACAGAGTGGTTATCTCGACATCATTTCCACGTCTTTATCAAATATATTTAAAATGCACTTACCTTTAAGTACATAAATGGCGATATGAAGAGCTTCCACCTAGTCAAAACACGACGAAAAGTGTACTAAAATGGCCGACGGCGTGAAAAGATTCACTAAAGCGCTTAACGAGCGCACGCACTAAAGTAAAGAGAATTTCGTTATGCATCACGAATGCACACATTTAAGCCCCTTTTTAAGTCTATACTTCACATATGATTGAAAATCACCTTCAAATGAAGAACAAAATCAGTATTTTGTTGAACAAAAAACAATCTTCATCAGAATAAGATCGTTTTGAAAGAACTTTTACAGTTTTTTTTTACACCTTGAAAGGATCTGTGTTAATTTCTCAATACCAAACAGTTAGATGCAAAACCGCAACCCTTGATGAATTGTTTCGAACGTAGTTGGCATGCGGTTTACAATTTGCGGTTTTAATTAACAGCAAAAAATTAGATGGTGGAAAAAGAAATAAAAAGATACATATACGTCCTTAGCGGGCCTGGCTAATTATCAAATTATATTGCGACGCAAAATAAAGAGATGTTGGTTCATAATGTCTGAGGTTGTACAAAAACCACACGGTCCAAAGACTCTACAAATAAGATTTTTAAAATTCAAGAGCACTCCAGCCCTATGTGGGAAGGAACAGAGAATATTTGTTTCTCACTTACGAGATTTTCCTAATAGTTGAAAATTTATGGATGGTGCAATTAACGTTTCTGACGCTTTTAACTAAGCGATTAGAGGTGATAACTTTCCATGCTGACAGTGTATTAGCAGTCACTCTTGAGGGCAACGTTATTGGTTCTTTGATGGTAAGAAAGAAAAGAAACCTTTTCCTTTTCATGTTGTATTTGCTCCTTTCGATTTCATTGCAAAAGATCAAACATCATAAAATTTGCTTCAAAATGGGGCTTATGATAACGTGCGTGGCTTGCAGTTTCGTGTGCGCCCTTAGTGTTCTGCATATAAATCGCCGAAGCTGTGGTCCCCAACCCCTCGCGGCTCCGCCGCTCTTCCGTTTGGTTCAAAAGTAGACAATTAAATTAATTAATCAAGTAACTGCATGATGGCCGTACAAAATTCGAAATTTTTGTCGAGGGGAAGAAGAGCCCATTAGAAACTTGATGCTCAAGAATGAACCTTGTTAGGCAGAGGTTTGGGGCTAATTGGAGTGATCACAGGTATATCGCAAAAGACCTAAGAAACAAAACGCTCACTTAGTTCCTCGAGAAATAGGCAAAGAGCACATATGTACGTAGCAGGTTTATGTTTTCATCAAAGGAGCTACTGAATGAACAAAAAAATGAAATTGGGATCGATCAACCAGGTGTTATTAAATGCTTTCTTGTGCTTGGTCAACTATGAAAAAAGCGAATGATTAAAGGGGTAAATTTCTAAAAAAAAATGTGGTGCTGCGTCGGTGGGAGAGTAAAACAAGATAATTTAGTATTATCAACCGGTTTATATCGTAAATTGGCCACCGTAGAGAGTTAAAAAAGCTGACGTTTCGAGCGTTAGCCCTTCGTCACAGCGATATGAAAAAAGCAGCGGCCTAAATTCTACATAAATTCCGTGTGCTTCCCCGTCGGTGCTTAGATATAACTTGAATGATGAGATGAAGATGACCAACTGGCCATGTATGGTTTATAGGATGGTTGTAAACAGGAAAACCTCGGAGAAGTGAACCGTTGTAGCTTTCACACATTAGCTAAGTAGTTGGTTAGACGAACTGAACTGGACGGATTAGGCTGGCGATCGATCTTTATCGATCTTTGATAGTTACATTTTCTCTTCGTTCGTGTTTTGCCTTTTATTTCCCAACAACTTTAATTTCATCAACAGTGATCTACTCTGGGACATTCAGACACAGGTAAAATCTACTCATTTAATTATTGATCAATCTGAAGAAACCCTCATGAATCTTATGTGGGACATAGCTCTGTGCCTGAATTCGTATCATGATACGACTATTTCAGTTTGCGCTCATTTCAAGTTCTCCTGATTATGTAATAAAGTTACCTTTTATCGCGTGTGGTCCCCACTGCAAATCTATTGTAAAATGTACCCAATCATCTCGGTAGGTTCTACTCTAAAACTGCTTAATCTTAGGATACAGCAATCCAACTTAAGAGACAATTCTTGTCTAACTGTTAACCAAATATGAATTGGAAAACGCGTGTAGTGGATTCTCGCAATAAGCTTCTCAATTTCCTGTCTCAGCGCAACATAGATAAGGCAAGACATCTCTCATGGGTAGCTAATTAAATTTTTCAATTGGCTGTAATTAGAGAAGTCTCGAATTTAATGTAAAAATGATATCAAAATTATATAAAGGTGTTTGTTCCTAGGATGACAGTACACACGAACATAACATAAACGTGAAGAAGTTGCATCACTTTTGGGAGTTCAAAGCACGCATTTCTCAAAAAGTAAAGACTTCTTCACGGCAGGGGCCACACAAGGTTTCTCGATCGGCATTGGCCATTGAACATCTCAAACATCGCTTACTCTTGAGTTATTTCACATCAGTTGTCCTTTTTGGAAGGTAACACCTCAACGCAAAGTGAAATCAAAATAACCGATGCGCTTGCTAAATCTGCAACTGCCACGGCAAGAGCAAAACCTCGTTCAAGATGATTGAAATAGTACATGAGTGAAACTACAGGTACTTTCCATGCTATGCGATAAAACACCGCTGCTATCGGACAGGCCTCGTTTCCGTCTCCTCCTCCCAAAACTTGAAGCCAGCCAATAACCACCATCTGCATGAAGAACACGGATACCATGCCCTTTGAAAAGCCTTGAAACGCGTCCAGGCCCATCAAATCACGCGCTACATCGGGCCTTACTATAAGGGTAACTGATATCACCATTTCTAAATAGCTGATTATTTGCACGATGTTCGAAGACCATTTTTTTGCGGGACCAAGGATGGGAATCATCAACTTTCCTATCTCCACAAGACACTTTTTTAGAGAAGCTTCTGGAGTATTACGATACCAAATGATGTATGTTACAATTGCCAGCACAGAATCAAGTAACGAAAATGCCGCTGCAAAGGGTAAAGAGAGCAAGGATTGGTAACACAGCCATACCAAGACTGCCACAACGAAAAGCAACCTCTCGGGAACGGTTCCCAAAATTGCACCGTTTCCAGTTATTAGAGGACGAGATTTCGCCATCACAATGTAGAGAAAACCTATAACAGTGAGTAAAGCACAATTTATCCTCCAGTACGCTTTATCACGGCCAGTAAGTTTCATGAAGAACAAGGCAGAGAGCAGCTCAGGGAAGACGACGCCAAGTAAACCACTGATAAAGTAGGCCAGGACCGCAGACCACATCGTGAAGACGCGTAGAGTGGCGGAAGTTTGACTTTCAGGGATAGCTGGGATAGACATCATCCTACAGAACCAATTTGCTTTCGTAAAGTTACGAGAATCAATTTTAGCCTGATGGAGGAAAATTCATATATGATATTTAGTGTAAAACTGACGGTTGGTATCCTCATCTGCAGTTGAAAAGTTTGCAACCACATGAAACCCGCATGTAAACCCTTGTCTCTTTCGTTTCCGTTCAGTCTGACCTGCACGCCTCACGCACGGACTGATAAATAGTGTCGCTCACATGATCAATTTGGCTCAGCGCCAAAGTCCACCCAGTAGCAAAATCTTCATCTGATGTATCGTCACCAGACGCTCAACATGGGAGGCGAGCGATGGAAAAACGTGAGTAACCGCACGCGCGCTGTTTCAAACAAGTGGGAGTTATTAATCCTTTACACCCTAACATCAGTTTACATATTCTCCAGACTGTTCTCTATACATTTCCCATGGTACTGACAAAGAGAATTTGGTTAACAATTAAGAGCTTTTTTAGATGGTGATCATTTCCTTTATTCTCATGACCTCAATGTTTGTTTTAGGACTGATACTAATAGAGGAAAATGGTTATTAATCACTCTTCATTAGGGGTTATAGGGTTAAAGACACTCCAGCGGCTAAATTTTCCTCTTCTATTTTTGTTCCTTTTTGCGTTTATTATCTTAAAAATTAGATCAAACGTCGACCCAGCTTAAAACTACAAAACTACACAGCAAATAAAATTATTTTTCTCTAAAATCAATTTAACCGTCCCAACGGAACGCAATAAACGTTTTTGAGAAGCGGACGGCAGCCGAAAGCTGGTGCTCACTACAACCTTTTATTCAGCGCAGTTTGTTCAATTAGAATGCTAAAATGGTGACCTAACTCAGGGTAACAGCTACTGTTGTGAAAGACCGTTATGTGTCGTAGCACATAGGTCGCTGACTTATTAACGATGCTTTCCTTCTTGAGTCTGTTTTTATTTGGTTGTATTGTATCAATTTTTTTTTCTCTTATTTTTGACACGGGAGGATAACAATTATCTCAAACCAGAAACCGGAGGCTTACCACTTCGGAAGGCGCTCCAAGGTATTAATAATTGTCATGACTGTTACTGGCCCGTAAGTACTAAAACATGGAACGACCTAAAACAACCTGAAACCACCTAAAACCACCTACAACCACCTCCCCCTGAAATCTTACTCTCCCTGGTCCCATGGCTTAAATGAAATGCAATAGCATGCTAATTATTTTATATTCCCTCAGTAGCAAAAGACTTAAAGAACTTTACATAATGAACCAACAAGTTACAAAAAATAATAAATAGGGAATAATACATGGGCGCGCGTAGATATGGAATTAAACTTCGAGTGTTTAACATCTGCTTTTGGAACCACGATTCCACCCAACACCGAGATTTGATCTGTGAGTAGGGCAATTTGTAAAATCATCGATATCTTTTGGCGTCTCGAAGATGCCGGCACGCGATAAAACAAGATCAACTTCATTTTCTAGATCTGAAAACTTACAACTCTGCAAGTGACTTGAAATGTCTTTTTAACAATCACGCGAGGGAACGACTTAGTCTTCTCGATAACTAAACCCACAAGTTCCACCAGCGAACGATTTAACTAAACAGAAAATCTCCATGTTAGCATGTAAGATGAGACGCTTATAAAACAGATCAGTTAGCTAAATCAGTATGTAGCTTGTCAATCAAATTGGCCATTGTAACCATACTTTGACTTCAGCTGGCAAAGGAATCATCGATGGACCAATGCAGTAATTCCTGAAAGGTTTTTCTAGATGTCATGCAAAGAGGAAAAAAAAAAAAGAGAGAGAGAGAATTTCTGTGTCACGCTTGTCACGCAACTGATATAATATGATAGAGAAGATCTATAAACTGGAACTCAAATCTGGCTAGAATGTGGTAGAGCATAATTAACGTGATCATCGAAACAGCTAATAAAATCATAAATAAACAAGGTAAGAGTGTTATGTTAGATTTTTTGCAAATTGTAGTGATTTATGCCAGTTAACGGTGGCGACAAGTAGGCGCACCATGTAAATTCCATAGTCGCTATCAAGTAAATTTTGCCGGACTTTGAGTTCGTCTCAAGATAGAACACAAATACACAAGGAAACTTTACAGTAACTTTATAACCATCCTTTGGTCTTTTAAAAGCTTGAAGCTCAGTAGATTCTGTCATATCGGTCATTATTAAAACTGTCTTTGTTTTGATACTACTTTTCGACATAGGAAAAGTATATCGGACAAAAATATTCACCAAAATATAAATATTTCTTTGCCAGCTTCAATAATGACAAGGGATTAAGTTTAGATGATAAAACAAAGGATTATGTTCACAGAAATACCGTAGGTCTAGTACAGTCGTTACATGAGATCACACAACTCGGGTAATATTCACGGTGAAAATTTGCATATTTGAGCGGTCGAACGAAAATAGTCGTTTCTTGAAAACTAAAATATATTTTTACAAAAAAGTTACACCACAATTATTAGGACATATTGGGCTACACAATATGAAATTAGGAGTGAAAACAAATTCGGTGACTTGCCGCTTTTTGTTTGATGCATGCTGACATTAGCTCTTAAGATGGAAAAATGCTTTGAATCATGATTACAAAAACTTCCATATCTACGCGCGCCCATGTATCATTCCCTATTTATTATTTTTTGTAACTTGTTAGTTCATTCTGTAAAGTTCTCTAAGTCTTTTACTGCTGAGGTAGTAAAAAATTTAATTGGCATGCTATCGCATTTAATTTCGTGAGATGGTTGATTATACATGGGACCAGGGAGAGTAAGATTTCAGGGGGAGGTGGAGGTTTCGTTCGATTCTCGTATTTCGTGTACGTGACATGTTGTTGTTTCGCTTTATTTTAGACATTTATGCCTTGTTTTAGATGGTTTTAGATAGTTTAGATAGATAGTTTAGATAGTGGCTGTAGATGTTTTTGAGGTGGTTGTAGGTGGTTGTTGAAATTTTTGAGGTGGTTGTAGGTGGTTGTTGAAATTTTTGAGGTGGTTGTAGATGGTTGTAGGTGCTTGTAGGTGGTTTTAGGTGGTTTTAGGTCGTTCCATGTTTTAGCGTTACTGACCCCCGAACAAGTCACCCGCACGTTGTCTCCTCATCTCAGTGTTATTTCGAACGTAATAAACAGCTACCAAACTTGACACCTTCTGATTCTATTACTTCTTGACTCTCAAATGATCTCAATCGTCAAGGGAATGTTATTTTTGGAAGATAAATATTGTCGTGCTGCCAAAATTAAATTATGGACTTGAGACTGAGTGATACCTGCGGAGTGCGGCAAATCCACAAATATCACGAGAGTCAGTAAAAGCTCTCAGTTTATCTCTAGACTTCATCGTGGTCTGATTCATTTCGTAAGAGACCCATGAAAATCCAGTTACTTTCAGCCACAAATTTAATCATCTTGCATATCATAATACACTAACTTTGAGCGAACTTCAAACTCAGTTACACTATCATGACTGCCTCTGAGAATTCAAGCAGACCACACTCTCAGATGAGATTCAGATCAGTGTTTCAAGTGAAGGGCCTCTCTGGTGCGTACGAGCAGTAATTAATCGTAAAATCGCACGGCATATTTACTAGCTAATTATTGAACAAAGCATCGGGGTTAACACTCGTGCACTGCACCGCAATTACCAAAATTATTTTTGGAATCTTTAAAGAATTGAACGAGTTCAAATACTTACTGTATTCTCCCTTCGCCTTCGGCTTTGTCTTCGACGTTTGACGACCGTTTCTCCGGCGCGAAGCACTTCAGTCAAATCCTCCATGGCGTCGAGTCAAGTTTATTCGATCTGGCTGTAAGTTATTCAGTAGTTAATGGAATTATCGATTATTCAACCGGTAACAAAGACGGTGGTTCTTCGCAAATAATGTCGTTATGCGAAAACTGGCACCCAAGGAAATGTTTGTTTACAGAACATGTTATGTTATGTGATATGAACTTTCAACAATGTTGTTTCTTACATGGCTCTACATGTACAGCATAACGATATATTGTTATGTCCTTCGCCCCGGTATGTATCTGGTGTGAAATAAGTGATCGTCGCTGATCGAATTAAGATCGGTTCAGGTCGGAACAACTCGGATCTCTTCGGATCAACTTAGGTTGAACGAGATTTGATAACGATGTGTTAAGCCACTGACCCAATGAGGAACTCTCTATAGTCGGTTCTCAGTATTAGGCTGAACCACCTTTACCTAGATTGCAGTTTGCTATACACCGATCAATTTGCAGCTTCTACACCCCCCCTCCCCCGGGCAACACACAGGAATTTGACCGTCGTCCGTGCCCTGAGGGGGGAGGGTATGGGAAGTGCCAAGCCGTTCCAGCGGATTATAAGCGTTATATCTTTCACTTTCAAGAGCGAATGGCTTGAACCTGGTCAATGTGTAGAAAGTCACGGTCACCGATTTTGCGTCTTACAAAAAAACTGGGAGGGGCATTTGAACACAATTTGAAGAAACCAACCTTCAAAAGTTCCAATGCCCGAAGGGTTGCCCTACATGTTTAGGGTTTAAATAAAAACCCAGCACATGAGATTTTGAGGTGACAATTTATTTTTGTCTAAAACTATTCATCACCAAAGTGATCTATTTCATCAATTTTTTTGTAAATCGTTTAATCCAGGACTAGTTTTTTTTCTAATCAAGTGTTCAATAACCCAATATGCTGTGGAGTACAAGCATATAACATTGAACTAAGTAGCTTCCAACTAGTACTCAAAACTCCAGTCTCATCAAACTTTCTGCTATTTGTTTCAAAATTCCTGCCTGATCACAAGAATTGAGTGAACAATATATTACAACTCTGATAATTTTTACTCTCATGATCTACATCAGTCTTGTAAGAGAAGGAGGAGAACAGGATGAGTGTTGTTAAGTAAGGAAAGGAAACAAAGAAATTGGACATGCTTAACTTATAACTCTAGCAACTGAGTTTAATACAAAATAGTTCTTGGATACCATCAGCATTCAAATAATAAAACATTTTGGTTAAGAATTAAATGTAACAAGAAATATCTGTCATCAAAATATTACAAAGCCCAATGATGCCTCTAACCCAAACTACCATCATTTTTCCTGGAGCACCTTATTGGCAGTTATATATTCCCTTGAGAATACACAAAGAGAACTTTCCAATAACAAATATGAACTTGGAGTAAAATACTTTTTAAGATTATGTATATCTGAACCATAGGAGATTCATGGAATACATGTGCCTCAACCTTTAAAGTGGATCTTTTCCAAGCTCCGCAGGACTACGCGAAATATTTTGATGACTAATTGTTAAGAACTGTATAAGCAATTGGAAACTGACACATGCAAATAATTGCACTACAGGCTTTGTCAAAGGAAATGATGTTTTTTTTTATTTTTCTTTCTTTTTTTTAAGGAAGATCAAAAGAATGATTTTTTTTAATCATTCAGCTCAACAAAGACAGAAAGATACCTATGCAAACTTGTGGTAACTACCTAGAGAGGCTGACAGATGGATGAATAGAAGTGATTTGAGAGATAAAACTTAACTCCATCGAAGTGGATCATTTAAAGAGGCTCTCCAAAGGTTTTGTGGATGCCTCTACATTGTAAAAAGCCTAGTACAAGCATAAAGCCAGATGATCTTGCTGCCTTAATGCTTGCACTAAATCTGCAAAGTAAATGTCCATGCATCTCACAGTGCCTCTGTAAACATTCAAATGGAATGGGAACAACATGCAATTTTCTCTTCTCGCACTTTTAGCAGCACTCAGTTGGACAAGGAAGTAAGAATGTGTACATACAAAATGGTATAATCATCAAAGGACAACAGGAAAAATTAATCAGGGTCACCCAAAGGAGCCTGCTAAGTTTGTATACATAAACAGTTATGGAAATACTTCCAGCTAACCATTAGGTCCTACTAATGATCATTCATTACATATAAAGCACACCAGTATGAGGAACAACAAAGCCCCCTTGTAAAGGCTCAGGTCTGGTTCAACTTGTGTAGCATAAGAACAACATCAATGTCTTCATCTTCAGCTATCACAGTTTTTGTGTTCATGAGGCAACAGCTTTTCAAGATGATTTTTTTAATAAATTTGATGGAGTTAATATCTTTTCTGTACAGACTGAAAGAAGCATGATTTCTTCAAGCAGCAATGTTTCAAGAACTAGATGGTTGACCTCTTCTCAGCAAAAAATCGCCTTAAAATGACTACTTGACAGATTCCAACAGAAAGAATTAGGCAAGCTTCTCCAACAGACCACCACTGTATCCTTTCATTTAAATACTCAGCCATGTCCCGTCCTTGAGACTCACGTAAACGATGGTGGGTTTGGTAGTCTGTTGCAATCTGAATGAGAAATATTAAATAAAAGCTCATTACACCTGCTTTTGTTTATTCTAATTATCCTTTTATGTTTTCTATCAGTCATTTGATTGGTGTCCTTATTTAGTGGGTAACCACCATATTTATTGACGCAGTAATAAAGTTATCATCATTATTATAGCAACTAGTTTACACCAGTAAATCAAGTTATTCACAGACAGAGCAGAAATCATTTCAAATATATTGTTGGAAAATGTTTTGAATAGACAAATGAGAGTCTCCCACCAGAGGCCACATGAGAAATGACTAATCATTGCAAGTTAGTTGCAACTGATGAAAAGTAATGGCAGAATTAAAACCAGGAAAAATAAAAGGCCTGGGTATAAAATTTGTGCCTCCCAAATGTTAGTTGGTTTTTTTAATTACATACATCAGTTGTCATATCCATTCTAAGAGCAAGTTATTTTTCAGCTCACTTCATCCATGAAAACCCATGTTTTAAAGTTAAGCTTCTTTTTGCTTGAAATCATGGACACTTCAGGTGATTCCTCAGAAAAAAAAAGTTATCAAACAATTTTTCTTAAAACTTTCCCTAACTGTTCCCTACCAATGTCTGATTTGAAAAAGATTATAAAAAGATACATCAAGTTGTGCTTGTTTAAGAGATATGATGAGCCAAACTCACCCTATATAAGCCTGTACTGGCACTAGTAACACACGTTATACATGTACATGTATGGTAGCTGGAGGCAAGGGTTTTTAAAGTAACACTTGAAGAAACTTTATGGGCAGAAAGTACTGAGGGAATGGAACAATTTGAATGATAACTTGTGCCAAAATCACACAATTTTAACCATTTGACCCTTAAGAGTGACTAACATCTAATTTCTCCTCACAATATCTCTCCTGAATCACACATAAAAAGGTCACGGGAATAAAGGAAATGATCATCAACTAAAAAAGCTCTTGATTGTTAAACAAATTCTCCTTGCCAGTACCTTAGGAAATGTATAAAGAACAGTATAGAGAATATGCATACTGATGAACATTAGGGTGTAAAGGGTTGAAAAACTTCAACTCCAAATGTTCCTCCAATCATTACTTTCAAAGTCACTGTTTCCATCCTCAAGTAACAGGCTTCTAGTATGCTTTTCTCTGTATCTTTTTTCTTCCAATTTTTTTAAAAACTTCTCCAATCTTCAGAGGATAACCCGTACACCAAAATTATGCAATAAAAAATATAGGTCACATTGCCTGTACAAGAACTAAAGACCATGGTATCTCTTTAACTGGTCCATTGATTGAAAAAACAATGCCATGTTCTCTGAATGCCTGTGCACTTATTCCCCTGATTACATGATTTTTCATGCCCAGTAGAGGATGCACAGTGCACTACTGAGGAATCACCTTTAGGAAAGCTAAGTAACAAACAATTTGCCCCTGTCCTTCTTAATCTTTTACATCCTAACATTAATATTCACACTCTACACACTGTTCTCTTTACATTTCCTCTGATACCAACAAGGAGAATTTGTTTGACAATCAGCAGCTTCCTAAATTGGTGATCATTTCCCTATTCTTATGGCCTTCACATAGGATTTGAGGCTGGTAATGTAGGGAGAAATTACATGCCAGTCACTCTGAGATGTTAAAGGGTTAAAGGCAAGGTGTACACAGTACATTTGGCTTAAGGTTGTACAAATCGCATAGCATGGGCTGCATGTCAACAACTATGAAGATTCTGCTAAACAGGACCAACCTTAAGGTCTTCGTGTATGGTTACACATGCTGTCTCCATCTGTGTGAGTGCTGTTTGATGTGCTCCCATGTCTTTAGTTAAAGGCATTTCATCTCCAGCTTGGAAATCAAAGTAAACCACCTTGTGACTAAATGTAGAAAATTCATTGCTGAAGCAGAACTTGTAAATTCCATCAGTCTGAGCTGTGAAAGAATGGCTGTCATACTGTTTCTTTTGGACGTTGTAAACTTCGTTACCATTTTCATCATAAAGAACTACATCTACATCATAGTTTCCACCACTTATGACCTGAAGAGAAAACCACATTATTTAGAAATTCTACTTCTGCTTTGGTTTCTGAACATTTTTGAAAGGAAAGCTTTTTAAATAAGGTAATACAGATACACCCATCAATGGAAAGATAAGACAAAATATGTGCAATGATGGATAAATACCACAGTGACACACTTGCAAGATCAACCTGATCAATGTTCTCCCTAAAACAAGAAAGAGTTAGCATTTTTTATGACAGATCTTTGCTTATGGAAACCCAGGAGGGGTAGCCACAGTAGTTGTACTTAGTTAATTAACTTTAGCTTTCTCTAAATGACTGCATACCTTTGGTTTTAGACAAATTGTAAACTCTTGTAAGTCCATTAGCACACTAGATCCTTAGATAAATGTCCTCACAAGCTTACAGCTTTAACAGTTATCATTTTGAAATATAGGATTTGATTAATGAAATAAAGGATTTAATTGATTGTACTGGGTATAATTTTTTTCTCATCTCCGTTAGCAGTGCTCAAAAATAGTGGTCATCTGGTCATCAGAAACAACTAAAAAAACAGTCCAGACGACCATTTTTCTGTAAAATTAAAGGCCTGGTTGTCTGAGGAAAATAACACCAGACAAATCAGGGGAAATTAAGATACTTTCCCTTACAGTGAAGTCTAACCCAATAACAAAATAAAGGTATGTGAAAGACTTATATCTGGTGATATTGTTCGTTAGTTAGCAAACTGCCATGTTTACAAACCCAGGCCTCCCCAAAATATTATGGCAAGCAGGTAATCATTCTTTTCTGAGGCATTGTGGGAGAGCAGTTTGCAAGTTGTTGAATATACATTTGCAGGGAAAAAAATTATGTCAATTCATTCTGGCTGTCGGAGAATAGCAAGCCAGCTTTGACAAAAGCCATCAATGCTTAATTATAGGGTTTTAAACTAGGTTGTTATTTAGGGGACATATAACTATGTTTCAGAAAACAGGGGACCATTTTGTCTGCTATTCCCTGCTGATTGTTTGTTGGTCGGTCTTTGTTGGACCCTTTTGGCTTTTTGCTGATGTAGCTGTATTTCTCTTTCGTGAATATGCATGTGCTATACTTTCTGTTTCAAGGAAGTTCATTTACCAAGTGTTAAGTTGCTAACATGAAAGCATGAACATCCTGCTTGAACAATGTTTCCAGGATGCGATTTTGCACCACTTTGCAAAAATTATGTCAGGTAAAAGAAACCCTTTTGACCACAAAAGTTGTCAGCACTGTTGATTTATCTAGCTTTCAATGAAGTGTTATACATGCAATTGCCCCAGTAAAACAAGTCTTAAAATGTTTTGAAAAGAGCTGACTCATTAAACTGTGCTAAGTGCAGTCAAAAAGTATCTGAAAACTTGAAAGTTTAAAGTATTAAGAGTATTCATTACTGAACTGTGATTGCTGATCATTAAAACAGGATTTAATGGATAGTTACACTAACATTATGTGCAACAATTAGGTTTTTTTGATTTGTAAATTTATTATCTGAGCTAATGCATGACAGTTCAGAGACCTGTGGAAAGGTTGGGGTATCTAAATATTGTATATGTGGAAGCTTGGATATCCTAGATAACCCTCCCTCCAAGCCAAAAAGACTGTTAGCCATTTTTTACCAGTATCAAATCAGGCTAAAATTGGCCCAGGATGGTGAAAAATTAGCCTTGTTTGCCAATTATTCCGCATATACATTTCAAGGCTAAGGAGGATGATGCAATGTGCCTAAAGCAACTTCCATTTTATTAAAGAGGATATTTTTACATCAGCAACATGGCCATATTTGACAAAAGATAACTGCATTTGCTTTTAACATTAATTCAACCATAGAGGTGCCCCTAATCACTTATTGCAATGGTGCCTTCAATAGGCTATTTGTAAACATATGTAGCATAAACTCTAAGTCAAAAGACCTCACAACAAGTGGTCTTTGTTGAAAATTGTTCCTGGTGACAGCACCTTGATATATGTAAGACAGTAATTGCAGATTTCAAATGTCTAATTTTGAAGGCTAAACTTAATAAAGAGGGTAAAGTTTCTTCTTAAAGTTCCTAAATACAATGAAATCTTGATTGTGCAATAATAAATTCTAAGTGCTGAGTATAAAATTTTTAAATAGATCAGTTTTAAGTCCTCTTTATCATCTGCAGGTGTATAACAAAGAATAGTCAACAGTACCTTTTCGTTTCATGAGACAAAATTGTAACCCCAAGACTTGTGGAAAAATCTCCTAATAACATGGGGGCATTGACAAACCAATACCTATCATTTTTTCCCTTACAATCAAAGAACGTTTAAACAGCGAAATATTTTTCTATCAGTAGTATATGGGTTGAATATACTAGTGGTCAGTTGTACGCAATTGATAGTGATCAAATTAAGAGGTTTTTTTGTAAGTGTACACTCCGAAAATTACACAACAAAGAGTACCGAACAAACATTTATATTATGAATCTAATATAAAGTAAAAGCCATATACCTTTGACTGATCAAACATCAGCTGATTTATAGTAAGAGATTTTAAAGCTGATACAGTTATTTGTAGGCACATGTCTAATTATCTAAAGATGTTTCAAATTACGTCGCAAAAAAAATTAGAAGCTCCTCAAGAATAGATGGATAATTACAAGAAATCTCAGTTCTCGTATCCTAGATAAATTGAACACTGACCTGAAACTCAAGCGTTCCTTTGGTATCTTTTTTGATGTCCTCATAGAAACATTGTCTAGCGTTGTCTTCCAACTCAAAAGTCAACTCAGTACATTCAACTGGGATCGATGCTAAAAACGTAAAAACTAATCCAACTAAAACAGTACTCAACCAATTCATGGTACGCTACTTTCACTATCAGCTCCTTGGCCAGATCAGCGGGGAAGCAAGTAATATAAATTGTTTTAACGCCGGTTTTATCCGACGCAGGATTTTTGTTTCGGTCAAAATGGCGCTGACTATACGTGGCATTAATGAAACGACCGTAGAGCCCTGTGGGAAGAAAAAGTTTCGGCGACACGTTCTACTCAGCGGCAGGCTCAGCGGCTATCTCCATAGAAAAAAAAAAAAAATTTCCTCTACCCCTCCCCTATAAGTCAGTTTTTGTAAATTTTATAATCCTCACGACTCCTCCCCTGTGGGACTTCTTTGTTATTAGTGTGTAGATACTGGCACTAGTAATAATTTTCGCGGGCAAATTCCCATGAGATATGAATTCATCTTCTGAGTTACAATCTATTCATTTCTTCGTTTTTTCTGGTTTATCATGAAGAAAATGCTTGGATCGAAGATTAAGCATCCTGATAGATAATTGAGGAATGAGTGTTGGGATCAGCCAGGTGAATTTCGATGCTCAGGTATGCATTTGCAGTTTGACAGGTTGAAGTCAGAGTTGTGCTTGAAATCAACTTTGGCTGAGAGACACAATGCACCGAAATACTGCTTGCTTTCGCTCTGCACATACCGCTTTTAGAAGCTATGATTTGAATCACTCGTCATCTCAGCAAAATATTTCTGGTTTAGCCATCGATAATTTTGTTCCTTGCGGCTTTTTTACAATTCATTTGGATCAAATTTCACCTATAATTTTCGTGTTGTGTGTTTGAACCGACTCAATTTTTGTTGACCCTAATTATATTGACAATACACAAGATTCTTTCTTCGTTCACTTGTAAAAGTGATACCTTGATCAATTATTTTGGGTAAGGCGAGAGGTCTAGATCTAGCAAACAATAACAAAGATCTGGATGTTTATTGCCATTTCACACAAGAAGTTACTTTAGCGAATCTTTAGTGGGATCTAGGAGCGCGTTGATTCTTTGTGTTTTCGTGTGTCAATGTTTGCTGATCACATCTGCCATGCATGCCAATTTTCCCATTTCCTTGAGACTGTTTTCGTCAAAAAGGTCTTTTAGCATCCAAAATGACCGTCGAAATACACGGAATCTAGCAAAATTAAAAATATCAAACAAACCTCAGTTAATTAAGAATAGGAAGCTTGCGGTTTAATTGAATATACATGAACTTATTAACATCTCTCAGATCCAGGTATTGTGTAAAGCTTATTAAAAGTGGAAATGTTGGCAAAAAATTTAAAGACATCAAGAATGTTTTTTTCTCCTGTATGAGCCTGAATCAGGCAAAATGGCAATTCTTTAAAATACCTTTACCCCCTGCCTTCATTTTAAAAAGGTAGTTGATGTCATATCCTAAATTTCCCATGGACATCCTGTCTTGATGAAGATTTTCTTGTAATCCACCACAATCAAACAGGAACACATAGATTTTTTGAAGTACCCTGCCAAATATACATCGATAGATATGTGACAATATGAATTAGATTAAATTTCTGAAAGAAAGTTTCTTGAACTCGGCCAAACCTGGCAATGTATATGTCTGCATGCATTTTTTTTTCTGGACAAACCATCTGGTCACTTTTTTTTTTTTGTTGTTGGTTTGTTTTTATTTTTTTTCACACTGTGCAGTTTCCATTTGAAACTGTGAAATTAACACCCTTGAGTCTTGTCACTTTAGGGCATTTTTTGATATGAGTTTTAATCTTACTCAAAATGGAAATAACAAAGCAAAAGCACTCAAGGGTTTCCCATAAGTTCCTTGCTGTTAACAATATGACACCTTAAAGTGGACATGCAAAAAAGCAATTTTAAATAAGCCTACTTTAAAATTCCATTTTCCATGACTCAGAGTTTTTTACATAATTATAAATTCATGTGTTTAGAATTAAGCATAAAAAAATGAGTAGCCCTCTTAGGGTTAAAGCTGACAGGCAGTAAGATCAAAAAAATTTCAGAGATATGCATAGATATAGTTCATATCATCAGACAAAAAAGGTTTCTTGACCATTTATAAACTTATCATCCACACCGATTTGTGATTAAGATGCAAAAAGAGAAAGATTAGGAACTCATTGTCAGTGCCTTTTTTTGTATGACAGGTGTTGGAAGATGAGGAAGAAGCAGCATTGGAGAAAGAAGATCAAGAGAGAGAGCAAGAGGTACAATGAATTTAACCAACTTTATAAAAAGAGATCATGTTATTGATGTTGTTTTATAATTTTCATAGGATTTCATTTTTTTTTACTTTCTTGGTGACAGAAAGAGTATGAGATTTATGCTAAAGCCGAAAAAAAGATATGAAGACGATAATGATCTTGGCATTAATGAACACTGCTTAAGCAGAAGTGAAAATAAGGCATGGAAAAAAAATCAGACCTGTATAGGAGTTGAACCCATGACTTATGCAGTACCAATCACTCTCATCTTCATTTGTTTATCCACAGTTAAAGATATGATGTTCATAAATTCACAGCCTTTGTATTATAATGTAATAGGATTACATGCAGTCTTATTTTGAAATAATTGAATGAAAAAATTCTGACAACAGCCAAAATTTCTTTTGGAATATAGTTAGAAAAAAATAACATCCATACATTCCATACTTGGAACTGCTTAATTTAGTATAAGTAATTTTGTTTCTATTCATGTATTTTTGCATTTTATTATGTTATATTGCTAGCTTACTGTTCAATGCCAGGTTTTGTTTATCCTGTGTGGAAAGAGATTAGGTTATTAAGACCTACAGTAAAGTTCAAAAAATAAACTTTGTCTTTATTCTACATCAAAGTTTAGCTAGTGTCTGATACAGTATGCTGCGTTTATTTTTCTTCCTATAAAGATTCGAGAGTTGTTAGACCGTGAACTGGACGATGGACTTCTTGATGATGATAATGCATCGTTTTCATCACACGATCTTCGAAGTTCAGGATATAGTAGAGAAACTCCATTCTCAGATGATTTTTCTGAACAAGTACCTCCAGCTATCTTTAATGGACAAGATTCCAAGACAATAATACCATCTGAAAATGGGGCATTTGAAAGACCACCTCTGATGACACAGCGTGCATTTCATCTAATCAATGAATCAGGAAAAAGGAAAGAGATAAATGCAAATGAAGCACAAGAACCTTATAATTATGACAATGGGTATCAATTTGAGAATCAGTATGAAAATCAAGCATTTTATTATAGAGAGCAGGAAAGTCCTGATGATGAAGGCCATGATCAGTACAACAGAAAATATAATGGACATGAAAATGGTGTGAATTATCATCAAACTTTGCCGAATGATGTTGATGTGGATGCTGATGAAGGCTTTGAACAGTATGGAAGCTACAGTCCTCATCAACATTTACAAGGACAAGCCTCTCCACAGTATGGTATGTATGGCTATCACTCTACACAGCCAAAGTATCCTCACTCAACATTAACAGAAAACAACAGTAACCATGGTGGTTATAACTTGAATGAAGATTATGGAGGTTACAATGAGGAACAGGCATATTCACAAGCTCCTGTACAAAATATTTATGCCCATGATGCAGACAGTATACAGTATTCAAATGAACAAAATCATTACAGAATGGACACTCCTGGAAATTACAGAGTTCATTATCATGGACATCATGAGAGATATCCCCATGCAAGTGACAGGAGAACTGTGAGAGAAGAACAAGGAAGAAGTGACGGTGAAAATGGATTTTCAGGAGATGGTGCTCAGGACACTACACAGCTTCAGATACTTTACAAAGCACGAGGCAGAAAAATTGAAGAGTTGACACATAAGCTCCAAAACCAGGAAGAGGAGATGGCAAAAGAGATCCGTATTTTAAAACACCAGATTGCAATGATGAAAGGTTTGTAGAAGTAATGAAATTTGTAGTAAAAACCATAGCTTAATTAATCACCTCACCAATCAGAGAAAAGGTGCTGGTAAACATCTCAAGGAGAGAGAGGAAACTGAAAGGAAATGGGTTAATTGACCCTCATGAGAACTTTGTTCATACACTGCTTCATGCATTTTGCTGTTTTTCTTAATTTATATCTCTCCAGATGAGCGTGACGGCATTTCAACAAGTCTTGAAAACTCACAGAAAATGGTGCAAGCATGTAATACAGAATTGAACAACCTGAAAGGCCAACTTGCTGCTGCTTATCAGCAGATTAATGCTCTGAAAGAAAGTAAAGAGGAGGTAATTGAAAAACAGATTGAATTGATTCATTGGAATTATAATCATAATAGACAGATGTCACTCAGACTTTCTCTTGTCACTCTAAGGAAAAAGTTTAATCCATGAGTTATATAAACTCAGAAGAAAATTAGAATTTTATTCCTATTCAATTTTTTTGTATTAGTGTAAGCAAAATAGGAGTATTATTTACCACCAAGATGGTGATCTCTCTTATTCTAGGTAACCCCTTTTTTTTATCATATTTCCTTTGAAGATTTAAATGTTGCAGCCAAGAACACATCACCATGACCCTGGCCAGAACTTGAACTCTGACCTCTGACCTCTGACCTTGTGTCATACCAGAGTTCATGGTTCTGACCAGTAGGTTACCACATTTTCTATTCCCTCTTGATTCATAGTTTTTTCAATATTTTCAGGTGGTCAGCAAACTTCATGTCAGTGAAACCACAATTGACAGCTTGAACCAGCAGTTGGTTGAATTAAGTCGTTCAGAATCCTTGACTAGAGCAAAAGAACAGCATGAAAGTGTCACAAATGCCATGAAGAAGAAACATGAAGAGCAAACCCTGACACTAAAACAGAAACTGGATGAGGCTATTTTATCAAGGGACTGCAAGGTGAAAAAAGACAATAATGTATTACATTTTTTGTTGTTTATGGAGTTTGACAGACATTCCATTTAAGACATAAGTTGGTGGAAATAATGTTTAGTCCAGTTAACATTATAATTTCTTATGTTTTTAGCATGAAGAAGTTAATCAGTTGAGGGATGAACTTGTCCAGAAAGCAGAAATGATCAATTCATTAACAAGAAGTCTGGATTCCAGTCAAAAGCAATGTCAAGAAATCCTTAAGTCAGGTACATGTAGAAAGATTGAAATGATTGCCAATGAACCATTTGTGCAAAGACACAAG